AGGCGCATCTAATAGGACTCGACCAACTGTATGTAAAACGTTTGCTAAGCGTTCTCCTATTGTTTTAGTCCCCTACGTCTCAAGCTATTGATTTGTCCTCTTTCCGCGACTGCTATTATTTACCTATTGAGGCATGTATCTTTATAATATATAAAATATCTTACTAATTTATATAATAGAGTATCTACGATGACTTTCCTTCTGATAATAATCAACCACAAAGGATAATTGTATATATTCCTATTATATTATATTTTTATAAACTAATAGTATTATAGGATCGTTTACACGGAAATCCAAATCAGCCAAAAGGAAAAGAAGGACAGCCAGTAAGATTATTTATAAACTATGTATAATTCATTTTATAACTAATTAATATARGCTACAAAAAAAGCCCGAATTCAAAAACAAAATAGCTTACCAGCTAGCCCAGAAGCGCAAGACGATACAGACAACTCTATTCAGATACGGGACTGTCCTCTTTTAAACGGGGTATATAAAACTCTAAAATTCTAAAACTATACTAATAATATTTAGAAGCCAAATATAAATGCAATGCGAGTACAGGTCCAACACCTATATAAGATTAGAAATAATGGTCGATGTGATTTATGCCGCTCAGATAGTAAGTATATATAAAACGAATTAAAAACAAATTCTAATTAATATCCTACTAGAGCGTAAATGTCCGGATATACTTGCAGATAATTGGGAAAAGTCTAACTGCAAGATTATCCAACATTTTATCCAGCCAGAGGACGACTAGCTGTTTAGTCTTATTATTATTTCTTTAGTACTTTTCTTTTCTAGTATTTGGAATTTTAGTTTTTATTATTATATATATATTCAATATATGTTTTGCAACTAATTAAAAGATGATTCTATCTATCTACTAAAAGGCGTAGGTAATATCTCAACATTAAGTAGTTCATTCTCAAGCTTTCTAGCCTGAAGCTGTTTAATCCTTACTTCCGCTTCTAGTTGCTGGACTTGAAGGTTACTCATTTTTGTCTCATGACGCTCGCGTGCTACCCTTGCCTGTTTCTCAAGTTCCCATTCTTCCCGTTTCTTCTTCGTTTCCCAATTGACTTCTTCGTAATTATTAGACTTTGTTAGTCTATCCTGAGCCAGCTCCTTTCCTATACGCTTTACACGCTTCGTCCCTCCGCTACTTGATACTACTGGCTGTGGCTCATATACTTCTGGGACCTGATCAGAATTATCAGGGTCTGTTGAAGGAGTTATAAACTTGAGCCGCCTTTTCTCTAATCTTTCTATATATTTATTAGTATATAGACTAAAGTCATTTTATAAACGAATTCAAGTTGATTTAATAATCGTTTAGTATAACTCCACTTACTGATTTTATCGTAGATCGCATTTACGGGATTTGGAGGGGTATATGAAGACTGAATACCATAGCGTTTATATTGGTCAATATATTCTACTAGCTTTTTGTCTAAGTTGATGCCCCTAATATATAATTAGAAAACGATTCGAACTCAATTACAAAGTACATACTTTAGAATTGCTAGTAGAAGTGCTTGCCCCCTCCCAGTTCGATTTGACATCGACATTAACGAATCAAGAGACTGGTTTGTTCGAGTACAGTTATTCCAAACGTCTTTATCCCCTTTCCAAAAGAGAGGATTAAGACCTGACTTAATCCACGGGACCCGTTTATGAGCTGTATATGCTGCTTCATTAGGGCTATAAGAATAAGAATTAGAAATAATATATAAAACGAATTATATACGAATATAACTTAAAGGGAGAGTACTTACAAATTCTTATCAACTTCATCTAGAATTGTATTAAACATTTCTTCGCTATTAACGTTCAATAGCTCACGCATAACCTCGCCCCATGCAGAGCCAGATGGAAAGCGCGCTTCAAGACCACGGAAGAAATGAGTTGTACAGTAAATAAGAGTCCGCTCGACGTGCCACTGCCAAGGTCTCTTTGGGAATTCAGGATCAATTGTCCAAAAGTAAAGACCCAATGCTAAGACAGTTAGTAAGTATTTGATAAGTATTTACCAAGTACTTGATAAGTGTTTGAGAAGTAATTAAAAAACTTACCATGAGCTTGGGCAGGACACATATCTACTACAATAGCCTTGATACCCTGGCCATGTATGTGGTGCCACTGTAGCCCTTTTCTAGGCTCGGCTTGCGAAAGTATATTATCTGCTACTGAGAAGAACTCCATAAACGCCTTATAGTATGCCCAGATTGACTGCTTATTGGTATAAACTCGACCAAAACACATTACTTAAATAATTAGATAATAGTTGTAAAACGTTTGCAGAGTATTTACTTACACCGTTGAAACTCTTGCATAAACTGTCCAATAAGAATTTCATTAAACTGCCCATGAACCCGTTTATATGACATGTCGATTTGTATAGTATTACAGGTAGCCATACATTCGATTTGCTTTGTAAATGCGCAGGAAATAGTTCCAATATCGCCGTTATGTACCATATTCCGAATATATGGGATCTTCCTACTTTGWCCTTGGTGATACGAGATATAGTAACTCCAAACACCTATATACGTTTAGAAAATATTAAAAAAATATTTACAGAAGACTAACCTTCCCAGTCAGTACCGTCTGGATATTGTAAGTAGATCTGCGCCCGACGTAGAGCTGCAAACCGACTAGTATTAAATAGTGTAGGGTCAAGAGTGCAAATATCAGCGTGTGGATCTTTCTTCTTGAGGTCTATATATAGACTAAATAGCCGATGGCCATTAGGTGGAATAATATGAACAGGAGTCCCTTAAAATAGTTAATAAACGTCTCAAAAACAGAAGTAAAGTATATTATATACCTGCTATAGCTCCGACTTTAATATGCCTCTRGATCTCTTTGATAACGAGCTCGCCAATTTCTTGGGGAGTTTGATTAGGAGGAGGAGGGTTATGAGAATGAATTCCATGTGAGGAAAATAGAATAATCGGTGTCTTCTTTAAGTCGACTGGGATTAACATGTTGAACTTGACTGAACATGGAATCTTCTTTATTAGCTGGGAACTTTGATCATGCGGAACTCCTATAAATATTGTTAGTATTTGGCAATTATTTAACAAGTATTTAACAAGTATTTGAAAAACATTTGAAGAATATTTATATAATACTAGATACGTACCACAAAGACGTCTTCGTGATGTTTGAGGGAGCGTGCGAAAACACTTCTCTTGTACTCCATCGTAGCCATACTCTAATAGCTGGGCTAGATGTGCAAGGTGTATATGAGCGTTGGTAGGGATGGAGTAGTAGTAGTGGTGCGCCTTCTTTGCATATGTCGCCTGATTGCAGGTAATATAATACTTTTTGTTTCCATTTAAATCCTATTAATTAAATAATTAGTAAACGTTTTATAATTATTTGGAAAGACTATACCCTATGTTCAGACTCTCGTACAACAGGCAAACCGCTACAAGGTCGACTAAGTCCAGTATCATTATAGTAACTTGAAAATGGACAGCCGTTCCGGTGTGGACTCTTGAAATCCCGCATAACTGCATTATATAGACTACATAATTAGAAAACAATTTCAAAGTAGAAGGTAAACACTTTACTCAAGAGTCGGTTTGTATGTATCAACAGGGTGATATTCCTCCATAAATAGCCGTTGTACAGCAGACATTCGCTCTGCTTTTCTATCCCAAGCATCTATATCCCATTCCGTATGCGGGTCTAAAAGAGACTCGTGATGATRGGTACATACTTTAACTCCTGAGCAGCGGAACGTAGTTCGAATACATGGGACATTATTTAGGAATTCGGATCGAGTTAGTTTATTATGCGGTTGATATGTTGATGAATAACTATACTGGACCTATATAATATTAATATTTATACATTTTGTAAACAATTTCTATGTAACTTACATTGTACATTAATGTTTTAATTGTTAGATCTAGTGACTCTAGATACCCAAGGGCAGAGAGACAATAGCCTACGCCGGACTTTGATGTTTTTGGATACCAAGGTAGACGGGTGCCATAGAAAAGTTCAGAGACTCGTAGCCCATCCAAACTAGGATTGGTAAAGATTTTTGGGATATTTTCATTATCTTGCATAGAAGTAGTAGGCTCCTATAAGTAATTAGCAAATATTTGATAAGTATTTGGCAAGTATTTGGCAAGTATTTGGCAAGTATTTAGCAAGTATTTGGCAAGTGTATACGTACAGAGAATGAATTGTCTGGAAACAACAGAACATCTGGGAGGGGAATAACAGGATACTTCGTTTCAGCTTCCTGGTAAAGATATTGTTTATCATCTAGGGAGAGACTTGAATTGCGGAGAAGCTCCTCAGGTATAGGGGCAGCAGTATTCGACATAGCTAGAAATTAAAGCTTTATATAAGAAAAGTTGGTCATATAATAGAGATTAATAGTATATACAACAGACGAAGGCATATTTAATACAAAGCTTTAATTGCTCTTGTCGCGAAACACACACGTTAATCGCGCACGGTTATTCTGAAGTTAAATGACATTAATTTCACTTTTCTTAAATTACCGAGCTTCGAATACAAATCTTTTTTAAAACACTTGACAAACGTTATTCAAACATTATTCAAATGCTGTTTAAATGTTCTCTTAGAGGGTCATCTCAGGTCCTTATTTGCACGGCCATTAACTAGGGTGCCCCTACTAGTAGGACTACTATGTTAGGGTTCGACCAGGCGCGCCCGGGTTTAAATCTAGGGGGCTGGCCAGCCACTGTGCGCGTTTAGGTGCAAAGCTCGTATGGCCTATAGCTAGACCCTGTTTAGTCCTTGTTAAGGGCCATTCCAGCTGCTGTGACCGGTCATACCAACTACGCTCTGCCCCAAGATTTTTGTGGAAATGGGGTTGGCGATGGCACGTGATTGCGCGCAATCGCGTTTCCACGCGTTCTTGGCCTGGCTGATATCGTTGATTCGGAACGGTGGACAATTCAATCAGGGGCTCGCATCACTATTGTCGCCCCCAAGACCCAGAGATGCCTCGCAGATCGAACCGTGGATCTGAAAAGCAGGCGAGGATAGCCAAATCAGATACGATTAGGTCGGTCCCGACTATCGCTGTTACTCCCACGGTCAAAGTCGAAACACGCGAGCCTGTCGCTGAAGGGGATACCTCGATGCCAAAATCAAGGTCCATAAGGAAGAAGAAAATCAAAACCGAGAGTGACTTAGAGAAGCAGACGATTAAGACACCTCTTACATCTCCCGAGGAAATCAAAACGAATAGAGTAAAAGCAGAGGCAATCCTGGGGGAACAGCAAGCGACCTTGCTCAAGGGGGCATCGAAGAAGCGCAAGGCGACGACTAAGGGCGAGAGCGGGGAAGAGGCCCCAGATGATATAGTGCCTAAGAAAAAGCGGAATAACAGGAAAAAGAAGGAAGAGGAAGTCGTCATGCCCCTCGCTGAGAGGAGTGTGGTTGGAATATTGAAGAAGTCGATGTACATTGGATCGCACACCAGTGCTGCTAAAGGTATATATCTATCTATCCATCGTGCATCATGCTTCACTCACTCACTTGCATCTCTTCTACAGGGGTCCATAACTCCATCGATAACGCACTCCACGTCGGTGCCAACTCCTTTGCATTGTTCCTCCAATCTCAACGAAAATGGGTAAACCCCCCTCTGGCTCCGGAGGCACGCGACCAGTTCAGGGCATTTTGCTTGGAGCACAAATACGATGCAGCAAAACACATCCTTCCCCATGGGTCGTATCTTGTGAATCTCGCTGAGCTCGACGCCGTCAAGGCAGAGAGATCCTACACCGCATTTCTAAACGATCTCCAGCGGTGCGAAGACCTTGGTATCAAACTATACAATTTCCACCCAGGAAACACAGGAAAACGGCCGCGGCCCGAGGCAATTGCACGACTTGCAGCACAACTCAACAAGGCACACAAGGCAACGAGCACTGTGATCACAGTCTTGGAAAGCATGGCCGGCGGGGGCAATGTTATTGGCTCGACATGGGAGGATCTCCGCGACATTATTGCCCTAGTTGATGACAAGTCGCGTGTTGGTATCTGTATCGACACCTGCCACTCCTTTGCACATGGCTATGATCTAAGATCGCCCGAGGCCTTTCGGAAGACCATGGACGGCTTTGCATCGACCGTCGGCATGCAATATCTCAAGGCGCTGCACTTGAACGACAGCAAAGCCCCTTTTTTGTCTAAGCGAGATGCCCATGCAAATATTGGGACTGGATTTCTGGGGTTGAGAGCATTTCACAATGTCGTCAATTTTGACGCGTTCCAACATCTGCCGATGGTACTTGAAACCCCGGTTGGAGAGAGTCCTGATGGCAAAGTCAAAGATTGGGGGACACGAGCCAAAGAGATCAAATTGCTGGAGGGGCTTATTGGCCTTGATCCAGAAACAGATGAGTTCATAAAAGAGGAGCAACGCTTACAAGATATCGGAGCAGCAGACAGGAAAAAGTTCCAGGAGGTATGGGACAGGAACCAGCAGAAAGCTTCCAAGAAGAAAAAGATTCAGGTGGAGGACAGCGACGGCGACGATTCCGACGCAAGTTGTAAGAGTTGTGATCATTGAAGCGAAAAGTGAGCAATCCTGGACTCCTGTTACTTCTATATAAAACGCAACATATGGCGAAAAGCCACTGGAGACCGGAACCATGATTACGAACCATATGACAACGGCCGTTATCTGCCACATTTTCTGTGGCAGATGCTCTAGTATTCAAATTTATCACTGGCTATAACTTTGGATGGGATCGTCCCTTGGGATGTACCGTTCGTGGCCTAGGAATTAGTAGTGGATGAAGCCCAAGTGATCATTCATGTGCCTTGCTCCGCGCCCATCAGACTTGCTTTGGCCCCAAAATCCGATGCGCTGCGAAAGGAATAGTATGCTGATCCTCCAGCCTTGTTACTCTATGGACTGTCTAGCGGTGGTCGGACAAGTATCCGATATTTATTCATCATATCATGTATCCTGGAGCGTTTTGAACTCGTATGCCTGCCCTTAGGCTTGTCTTCAAGTCCTTAACTTAGCTAGCTAATAATATTTTTGGCTTGGAAATGGAAAAGTTGCGGCGACTCTTTTAATCCAAGGCAGAGATATTCAATCGTGGCAAGGTTATTCAATCCAAGTTGGTCCCCTCGTCTCCATTTCTCAAGCGGTCCAGTCAGTACTGAACACTTCGAATATCCAAGCGCAAACCAAGCTCTTGGAATGCTACGTTATGTTGGAAGCGCCTCGTTTGCTTCACAAGTATCAGCTGCTGCCCATCGTTCTTCTAAGGCAGCAGTACAGACTGAGGGCCACATAGCACCATACTAGAACCGTCAGCCTCATTTCCATATCAATCTTGCTCATGGCAACTAGGTATCTTCTCCTGTGACTTCCCGCGATGTCGGAGTACAAGCTCGTATCTCTCGACCTAGAAAACATTGATGCCGATTACTACTCGGATGGTGCATACTATTATCGCTCCACGTGGAATTTTGCTGTTCCGATGAGGATCACAATTGTTTGCCCTGACAAATTGGTTGACAAACTGTGCGACCTCGTGTGTTATATAAGTTTGGAGGCAGCATACGATACCCATCGCCGAAAATGTTCAGCTCCGTTTTTCCTATCTCTTGTTGCCTCCCATGCAGCCGCTCTAATTCTCCTGTCGCATTCCCTAGATATAGACATGATATACAGAGGGACGCTGAACCACCGATTGTCCTGAATCCCATTCTGGCACCTCGACTTCCAAATGTTTTTCGCGGATCTCGATTTCTAAATCCCATCCGTGTGTCCCGGCGTCGAGATCCTATTCGAACACGTCTATTTGCAATACCCCGACCTCTGCCCGTACAACCTCCCTTCGAACCCTATATTCCACCAGAGCCGCTATATCCACGTCCCATCCAACGGCCATATACATATCGTATCCCACAGCCACATCTACATCGAATCCCTCAACCGTATCTGCATCCTATCCCACGACGATATCCATCGCCCTGTTTATATAACCCTCCAGTCATTCACAGAGTTCCCATTCCACGACCCCGTACTCCACCTTGTCGTCACGACTATCCCATCATCCATAACATTCACATCCCCAGACCTCCGTCACCGCATCCCAACGACCCTCCAATCATTCTCCAAACTCTCGTCCCACGAACTCCGTCACCACCGTGCCCCTTGCACAGTCCAGTCATCCTAAAACCTCACATACACGAAACGGCATTGCCGCGCCTCCGAACTTGGGAAAATGAGAAGATAATGATTGACGTCATTGCTCGGCTTATGGGGGTGGATCACCTCTCTCCCAACGACGACATCCGGCGAGCTGGGTTGGATCTGGGGCGTCTGCGTGGTCGGAATGGGCAGTCGCTCGCACAAATCGTCAGGGATGACGATATGCGGAGGTACATCTATTTCTATAAACTGCAAAATTACAAATTTCTAATATGCGAGTGGAATCATCAGGATTAAAGTCACCACCCAACTCGCCAATAACTTTATTACACCGACCATGATGCACGCGGAACTACATCCCAAACCCTGTAACGATGGGCTATTTCCGCGAGACTTTGAACTCCCTCGTCCGGTGAAGGAATTCCTGTTAATGGATAGTATGTGTCTCTCCCTTTTTCCCCTTTATCTCGCTTCATACCTTCGACGTCCCTGAACATACCTCTTCGCCTTTACAATCTATACGTGTTTCTCCGTATTCACGCCAGAACCCCCATTAGTACCAACGCTTGACCGCATCTTACGGTCCTACAACCTCCCAACCACCAACCCCTACCCCTATATTACCAACCGCGCCTTCACCTTCCTCCATGGTAACCTAGCCGGCTTCCCCAATCGAGCTAGGGAAGCTAAGTTGTGGATGCTTTTCGAACATCTAGGCGTCGACCTGGATAACAGATTCCGTGCTCGTGTCCGAGCTTCAATGACCGATCCTGCTGCTGTTGCTGAAAATAATGCTCCTATATTAGCGATAGCTGGCAATGCTGCTGCTAATGGCAATTCTCCAAATCAGGGGGTGGCTGGTGCTAGTGCTGGAGCAGTTAATAACGCCCCACCCCGGAACGCAAGCTCGAGTCCTGCTCGGATGGAGGGGAGGGTGAGGGGTAGGGATCCGGAGGGGCGACGGGAGCCAGAGGGAAGGAGAGAGCGGACCGAGCCAAGAGAGAGAGGAAGGGAGGGCGGAGGAGAACGAAGGCGGGGTGAGGAGAGGGCAGGCGAGGGACCACAAGACCAGGAAGAAGAGGGCAGGGAGAGGGACCGGGAGAGGGAGAGGAGAGAAACTGAGGAGGATGATAGGAAGAGGAGGAGGGCGGCTAGAGGTGGAAGACCATTGCATTTGGCGGTATAAGATTAGAATGAAATTCATCTTGCTATGCGACTTTGATGTTTTTGTCACTTGCGGGCAAGCCCATTGGCATGTTTCAAATTGCCTCTATAGAAGAGATAGCCGGAATAGTGTGACGTAACATAGGATGATATCACGTTACCGATGCTTACTTAGTTATCGGTAATTTGCAATTCCTATTTGACTATCACCTAGACTTTTATCCCATCCCGCCCGCCTCCACCGCTTTAACTAAACCATTTCTACCTTGCCGGCCTCCCAGCGCTAGCCTCGTCTCTCTAGATATGTATATATATATATTAAAGATATAAGCTTAATACAGGAGTTAGGTGATCTTAAGCAGTTATAGAGAGATTAAATAGCTAGAGTAATTAAAGTAATTAGTAGTATTCGAAGTAGATAAAATAAATAAAGAAGTAAGCTTTCTAACTTTAAGTTTAATTAGATCAATTAAATATATATACTTAGTTAATATTTCTTAATACTAATATTAAAGTTATATGATAATTATATAACTAATTCTTAATATACTTCCATAGTTATATAACTATATACTTTAATACTAGCAATAAAAAAGAATTTAAATACTAGTTATTTAGAATTATATATAAATCTATAAAGAAAGAGAAATAAAGTATATTATTTAAATAAAAGATATATAATTAATAAAGAAATAATATTAAATTAAGATTATTAATAAAGTAAATTCAAAGCTAACTTTAATATTACTTTAGATACTATATACTATATTCTACTACTGTAGTAAGGTGGAACTGCAGGCAAGCGTCACGTGGCAGGGGAAAAGGGGTATAAAAGGGGCTTCGGCGCGTGTGTATTCTTATTTTCTCTCCTTAGGCAGTTACAACTCCAAAATCATGATTCGCAGTCAACCACTTCCCTCCCATTTACACTAGTTCATTTTTCGACTCTAAATACACCCGTCTAGTTTATTTTCAGAAGGTCAGCTAAGTTCAAACCGTGATATATAACAAACACCAAACATGTAACTCATTATCATTCCATCATATACCGAGTACCGCTGTTCGGTTTTCTATGTTTGGATATCAATATCTCTGAACAACACTGCGGGCAACGCTAACTGAGCGGCATGTACGGCGGCCTGTACGATCCTTCCCTCGAGTGTCCCGCTTCAACCGACACGATTGGATATTTCTGGCCAGAATTTTGGCTGCTGCCGACGAAAGTATTGAGCTCGTTGCTCACAGGGGTCGGTGTCGATCCAAAGAGAGAAGGCCAGTGGTGGGCGATTAATGGCCGTAGCGCAGGGCCGGAAGCGGCGACCTGATGGCCTTCATGTTAGCAAGAGTCTAGACCAGAAAGAGCTGAGTCTCGGACAAGGAGAACCATTCAACTAACCAGGCCAACACCAATCTCAACAACTGTTACAATGCAGGTTGGCCAGCCATTCCATGTCATATCACCATTTTTGTCCTGCATGGTCACGAACAGAAAGTAGGTTCTGAGGGCCCCTGCTATGTTGACTACCACGCCAAGTCCAAACAATGACATGACCGCAATTTTTTGCCTTCTGGGTATCCGCAGCGTCGCAAGAAGCGGCATGGGAATCAGTGTCACAAGAAGATCAGTGAGAGTGTGGATGATGCTGGTAGCAAAGATACCGGCGTCTGTTTTGATGCACTTGTGGGGGTAGGTAGGAAATATGTCCCAGTATGCATAAATTGGCCTGCAGAGACGATTGTAGTGAGCAGCCATAAGAATGCATCTCAGCAGGGAGTTGCGAACTTACCAGCATTGAAACAGATAGTAAAAACAAAAGACCACCGTATAAATAGACACGAAAGCCATACTGGCCAGGATTACATAATTCATCACTCCTGTCAACCCATATTTTACTGGGACCAAGACCCGCCGGCAGAACCACATGACGGAAAGCTTGGTGAAGGACGAAGCAAGGATGACCGTAATCTGGAAGGAAAAGTACAGCTGGCTTGAAAGCTTCATCGCGGTTAGAGGAACATCCCAGACGTGACGATTCCACCCCAGACGCAGCGAGGCATAGCACAGAGATATCATCAAGGGATATGCACAGAGCTAGGCACATTCCTGTCAGCAATAGAAGATCATCTTTGCTCGGTGCTCTCAGGACTCACCTGGGCCAGAATAATCAGCACATCTTCAGCACCGAAGTTGGCGGTGATCCTCAGCCGGGAATAGAGGCGGAGGGCAGTGATGACCGTGGTGAGTGGCAAGAATATGGCAGAGACGATGGCAAGGCCATGACCGCGGGTGACCGGGTCAATGTAAGTTGGCTTAGGCCAGAGTAAGATAGTCTCGAGGGGAATGTTAATTGTGCTCATTGGTGAGGAAGAGCAGGATATGCAGGATTGGATGAGGGGGTAGGGGAAAGTGGACGAAAGGCAGCCAGACAAAGTTATGTACTCAGTATGGAGTACTGAGTACGGAGAATGATGCACCGTCCGGGGGATCGCTCGGCCGAGGTGGAAGGAAATCCGCAGGGCGGAAAGCCACGGTTATCATTTTGATCGCTCTGACATTAAACAAGAAACACCCGCACACGTACTCGGTGGTTGGCCGCGCTGCAAAGCACCGATAGTGGTGATAGCGTGGAGCCCAGTGAGCCATGCCCACATCTGGTTCGTGCTCCGCCGCAGGAACTATGATCATGCATAGGGCGATGGCGCTCGTGTGGGAATCGAGACTTTTCGTCGAGTGGTGAGTTCGTCGTCTGGCGTAGGGTGGCGCGGAGCTGCCGGCATTTCTTCAGCCATCTCTCAGAGACCCCGACGGTCTGGGATCTATCTATTATCGATGGTTCGCAGACCGTACTCTAGGGCAATCGAGCACTTCGTATGATCATGTACCAAGTAGCTGAGAGAGAGTAGCGTACGAGTGGTGTACGCTCGCACACGACGAAGTATCCTTTGGTAGCCTTGCGGGAGGGCGATGTGATATCGCCAAAGGCAAACAAGGGCCCATGGGCGGGCCCTGACTCGGTCACCTGACGCGATTGGAGGGCAGCGTGGTCGATGAGCGACGAAGGACGAAGGACGAAGGCCGATCCAGATTATTATTTCGTATACTTCGTACGGAACACGGAGTAGTCGTGCGCAGGGACTGGCGATCCTCCAGAAAGATCGCCGCGTTGTCAGTGCGCGCGTCTGTTTTATGGAGTAGGCGGCTGCGGCCCGAGCGATCTTCAGAGCTACTGGTACTGGTACTACCAGTAAGTATAGTATAGGGCAGATAACAGGGTCGCTTCGACGATTTCGTGCGTTTCCGTGATGGGCGCCCACAAGGTACAGGCACAGGTACTATCGATGTACTGTACATGTACGTACACTGTACCTCGTACTCTGAGACAGTCAGGCTCCGTGCCACGGAGCTCGTTGTGGACGACCAAGCAAACTCGACGATGAATACTTCGTAGAACGGTATTCACTCATGTCCTAAAACCCATTTGTAGACATGAATGTGGTTGCAGTATGGATTCGTAGATGCAGATGTAGATGTCATGGATTGGGCTGTCGTGGAACCTCATGGGGCTCCGTGTCACGTAATAATCGGGGACCAGGAGATGTTGTGCAGAGACGTTGTTTGGTCTGTGTATCTAATCTCGCTCGATCCGCACAGGTCCGTATGGGATCATCCACGTCCGGCACCCTGAGAATGCCGAATGCTGCCATGCCACACGTCCTCAAACGACAGACTCTCCCCTTTAAGCGTGCTAGCCCCGGCGTTAATGGCCATGGCCATGGAATAAGGAATAATATGCGGCGCCATTATTTGCGCACAGATTCTGGGAAAAGAGACGTCCTTGGCGGGGGGTCGCAATGCCCGTGCCCCTGTCTCAGGGATATATATATGCTAGAGTGCCTTGCCGGTACGGTGGCGCAGAGCTAGTTCAATACGCGAGGTAGTTCCGTCGTGCGCCTACTTCATACATTGCTAGGGCCTATTTGTTGCGGGCATATAGCCAACCTTATATAGCCCGAGGCCCGGGTAACCAGGAGTGTTACTACAGAGAACGACAGAGACATGTGACAAGGTCCTGTGCGGGTAGGAATCACGAGCGAGTTGTCAAGATTATGAACTACGAATAGGCCCCAAGGATGGAATATTAAATGTGTGTGTGACCGCTAAAATAGAGGTAGCAAAACCAAGAATGCAAGAAGGGTGTGGAAGGAAATACATTTCTGACTTCGTGAAATTCTGAAGAATCGCAATTTTCCGTGATGCTCGTGCTGATCTATGGCAGATGGAGCAGTGCGGAAGAGAAAGCAACCGTTTGACAACCATTTATATTATACACATTGGTATAGTATATCACTCAAGTGGTTCTGAATTGACCTGCCGACATAGATTTATCCCGCACCGGTATTACTACTATTATAGTGTAGTATATCACTCAAGTGGTTCTGAATTGACCTGCTGACATGGACCTATCCCGCATCAGTATTGCCATCATCATGGTGTAGTATATCACTCAAGTGGTTCTGAATTGACCTGCTGGCATGGCCTTACCCCGCATTGGTATTACTATCATCCCGGCGACAAAATCAGGAAGATCGCCGCCCCGTTCACGGAACTTCTCCAGACTTCTTGATTTTTACCTGTGCGGTTTGACTATTCATTTGACAGCAACCGAAGCCAGCACTATCCCACGCATCCCTTCTGAAATGGATTAAAGACAGCAAATGGACGAATTCTTGTGAAGTTAAATCGAATATAGGTATCATATCTAGGATTGACTTGTTAATTAGCTAAGGGAATAATAAAATTAAAAATCTAAGATGTTTAGCAAGGCTCGGTGTTTGTATTATTATTAAACTTCAAGCTATTAATTATAGTGCTAAAGCCAAGAAGCTATGTATGTATTATTTACTGTTTTGTCTTAGGTAAGATATCTACCCCTTAAGTTATCTATCCCGCACCTACCCCGCATTTACCCCGTGTTCATCTGTATTTACTCCATATTCACCCCGCATCCATCCCGCATAAACACTCCTAACGTGCCCATGGGAAAGTAGGCATCCCGCAGCGATTTTTCTTGCGTCTGTGTGAAGTCGAATACTTCCTTCCTTTTATATTCCTTATATACCTTACAATGTTGGTCAGGTTCATTCCAGTTAATCTCGAGTCGCAACAGTCATTCAATTCATTTCTCTCAAGGTGGTCATAGGTAGATTATCCTACACCTATACTATTCAATCTCATATTGCCTACCCTGCCATTATCATGGGTGAAATCGAATCTACCAAAGACGTTCCCGTCACTGAACCTGTGGAGAGCAGGATTATCACGGAAAAGGTTATCACTGGCTCAGGAGCATTGGCCGAAGCTGCAGTATTGGAACATGTCAACCCCTTGAGCAAGGGGTTGCTGCAGCTATACTTGATCATGGGCATCATGTTCCTGACTTCGACCGCCCACGGATACGACGGTAGCCTAATGGGAACCATTCTCGTGACAAAATCATTCCGCGAAACCTTCAACACGGGCAAAGTCGGTGAGAAGTCGGCACTCATCACGGCCATGTACCAGATTGGTGGTGTTTGTGCGCTGCCATTCATGGGCCCACTCATTGATCAGTGGGGACGTCGTGTGGGTACCATGTTTGGCACAGGAATCATCATTGTCGGCACCATTCTTGAGGGGACGTCCGCGGCAAGCCAGAATATAGGACAATTCATGGCTGGCCGGTTTTTTCTCGGATTTGGAGTGTACTTCATTGCGGCGGCTGCTCCCACCTACGTCGTGGAGATCGCCCACCCCAAGTTCCGTGGTGTTATTACCGGTTTGTATAATAGCATGTACTACACTGGTGCAATCCTGGCTGCTGGCGTCACTCGAGGCGCTCAAACATCCTCTGGAAACAATCCCTGGCTCATTCCAACATGGGTCCAGATGGCATTTCCTGGAATCGTCTTCCTCAGCGTCATGCTCTTTCCTGAATCCCCACGTTGGTTATTCACCCATGGCAAGCAGGACGAGGCAAAAAAGATATTGGTTAAATATCACGGGAACGATAACCCGGATAGCGTTTATGTGCAGCTTCAGCTGCGCGAGTTCGCCGAAATGCTCGAAATTGACGGTGCCGATCAGCGATGGTGGGATTATAGCGCCATTTTCCGTAATAAGGCATCGATCCGCCGTATTCTGTGTAATGTCATTCTTGCAGTCTTTTCCCAATGGTGTCAAGGCGGCGTCAACTACTTCATTGCTGGCTTCTACAACTCGGCTGGTGTGGAGGACGAGACAACGATTCTTGACCTCAACTTGGGCAAGTATGTGATGTCTGGAGGATTTGCAATCTGCGGTGCGAGTATGGCGGACACATGGGGCCGTCGAAAGGTTCTCATCTCTACCCAGTCCCTGCTGACTCTCTGCTGGGTTGGAATCACCGTCGGAACGGCATTGTACGCCACTCACCATACCAAAAGTTCCTCCATTGCTGGAATATTCTTCTTTTGGGCCTTCCAGGCTGTCTTCTCCTTTGGTTTCACCCCTCTCCAGGCACTTTACCCCGTTGAGGTCTTGTCGTATGAGATGCGAGCTAAGGGTATGGCGATTAATTCTATGGCGAACTCCGCATCTTCGTTGGTCAATCAATTTGGTACAGCCACTTCCTTGGAGCGAATTGGATGGAAGACATACTTGGTGTTTGCTTGCTGGACAGCGTTCCAGACTGTATTTTCGTGGTGGTTCTTTGTTGAGACCAGAGGATTCACTCTCGAAGAGTTAGATCACATCTTCAATGCGGAGAATCCGAAGAAAGAGTCTTTGCGCCACCGCAAGTTGGCCATTGATGCTGAAAAGCACCGAGTTGTGGCTGTGGAGGAGCTCTAAGTTATGTGATTAGGAAGCCTGCTTCCTCCTTACAATAGATTTTAGGTGGGGCGTTATGTGTGTACCGACAGGGGCTGGAGAAGGGGTGGAAATTGTGCTAAATGTGGATCCTTACCCTGGGGGAGCAGAGACATATCGGCGCTCAGAACTGAGTCCAAGCAAGCAATAAAAACACTCATTTAACTTGCCGTCATATTGGAGTCTGTTATAAATAGATGATATCTGCCCTGCTATCTTTTACGTTTAATGATGACATGGAAACTGCAAAGAATTATCAGGTAAACTATGACAAGTATGAGTGTTCGTAGTAAATGGAAGCCAGATCTAGCTAACTTCGAATGATTGCGGATTACCGTAGCGACAGATAGCATTTGCATGCATTATTGCCTAGAGCAACAAAATTTAAAAAGGAAAACAGCGGATCAGATATTTTGATATACAACCGGAGACATTTCATGAATACTACTTTCTTGGCTTTCGTAATACTCCCCATGGATTCACTCAAATCAGGATATATATAAGATAACGTCTTGAGGATTGAGGTGAGTTGACTATTACTGCCATTTTCTAGATATTTACCAAACTTTGATTAGTCAAATGGATAGTTGCTTTTTACCCCTTTGTCGAGCTATCTCAACCTAGCAATGTTTCCGTAAAACATCTTGAATGCCTCGGCCACTGATCACCAAGTTCCTCAAGCCTTGGATGTATGAACTGTTTCCTCTTCCTCCAATTGCTCATCCACATTCTTCGCCCGCTTTGCTGCGACACCAAGGTCTTCCACGTTGGACATGTCGGCGGCCCCAAAAATCTCATCCATCCGCTCCAATGAGATCTAAAAAGGTGAAACATGGTCAGCTTCGAATTCAGATGAAAATCGGAAAATAATCTCCACATGGAGGTAATAACATGGTACACTTACACCCTTAGTCTCAGGGAGCCAAAAGGCAAGGATCCCCATAGTGAGATTCAATGATCCAAAGATGAAGTATGCTCCATATGGCTTCGAGAATAACATCACTGGGGTCGCTTTTGACACAGCCAGATTGTGTAGCCAGTGTGTAAGTGACGCCAGTGCAACATTATAGGCTCTCAGCCGATTCGTCGGTATTTCAGAAACATAGATCCATGCTGAAGTGGAGAATCAGCATATGTCGGTCATAATGCCTACAGTACAGAAGCGCCAGGACATATTGCCCAATTTTAGGCTTGGATTTTACTTACATACAGGCCCCCAACCCATGTTGAAGGCTGCAGCGAAGATGTATACCATGGCTAGAGCTGCAATACCAGCTGGAGGCGGGCTTTCGCTCTCTCCAATCTTAGGCCCGAACCGGACGTACTGTGTGCGTTAGTTAGATTATACAGAGAATTCGGAGAAGCTTCTTGACTCACAAAACCCAAGAAAAACATGCAAAACCCCTGCAAGGCGCCGCTCCACATTAAGGAAAGGCGTCGACCAAGAGAGTCGGCGAGAAAAAAGACGAAGATCAAGCAAGTAATCACCTTAACGATGCCGTATATGCCTTGGGCAAAGAGGGCCGTAGTCGTGCCCGAGAGGCCAAGGTCTTTGAAAATTGTAGGAGCGTAGTAATTGATTGCACCAGTCTTCATGCTCGTACATGGTTAGCCTCGAAAAAGATGCAACCAAGCAACAGTAAATTGCGTAGTCGAAGGAAAACACTGACCCCTGACCACTGCTGAAATGTAATCATCCCGATAGTTAGCAATGCTCGCTTCCGATTCGTGGCGACCGTCCAGCACTCCTTTTGCAGTGCCCAAAATCCCGTTCCTTGCATAATAGCATTTTCTTGGTCTAGCTGTATACGTAACTCGAGTAGTTCTTGCTGGATGTATGGGTGCTCGACCGGGAGGTGTCGCACGTCTGACAACACTTCGGTGGCTTTTTCCCACTGGTCCTGGGATGCCAGCCATCGAGGAGACTCGGGACAAAAGAGCATGCTGATGAATAAGAGCGTCGGGCATATCGCTTGGCAGGCCAACGGAACCATCCACGAAGCCATTGGCTGAGGATAGAAGAATTATTAGCAATGTTACATTTGTGAGGCGTGCTGGGATAAAACTCCTTACCGGAAGATGTAGCAGAGAACCATAGTTGATGAAGTACGCGACCATGCTGCCCATTACCAAGAAAAGTTGGAAGAATCCAACCAAGAAGCCGCGGATAGCTCTAGGAGAGTTCTCAGACACGTAAGTTGGCGCAAGCATTGTTCCTGCGCCGAGGCCGATACCTTCAATGAATCTGATCCTGATGTTAGCCGAATACCCACTAAAAGCCTCTTGACCGGAGACTATACAAGAGACCTCACCTTCCGATATAGAAGACGGGCAGATGGCCATAAGAAAACGCCTGCATAATCCCACCAATGAGGCCGGCAATGGCGACACCAAGAAGGGCAGGCTTTCTCCCCTTTCGATCTGCAAACGGGCTGGATATGAGGGCTCCCAACACAGCACCAGCTTGCATAGTAGTAACAAGGTTACCGGAAAGATCAGCAACGACACTTGGTGGTCGTGTATCGAGACCAAATTCTCTGTTTGCAAAGGAACAGATCAGTCCTCAAGTTAAGTGGTATTAATGGCCATATATATACGAGGGCGAAGCATACCTTTTGAAGTCAGGCATCACCAGGACGCCGCCAATAATTCCCGCGTCCACTCCAAAGAGTGATCCAGCAAAGCATGCCTGCACAAGGATGAGATGAGGAAAACAGGCCTTCAGGGCAGAATCACATTGTCACACATACCGAGGAAGCCAAAGCAAGAATACGCCAATTGTACACCTCTGGGGGGTCAATACGGATAGCATCATTGCGGACAACGTGCCGAAGAATTGAGTAAATCGTCATCTCTGCAGAGGGGCAAGAAGAATCACCCAATTTCGTGGTTGTTTGTCAAGTGACTGTCAACTAGTTAGCTAAGCAGACGCAGAAACTACAAGAAATGCAGCAAATCATCGTGGTATAAGTATTGTAGGTGTACTCGAGTACCGAAACCTGCAGACATGGATTTCAACCCCACACATTTTCCCCAGGTTCTCCAGGCGAGCCATATGAAGGTCTGAATCTGGGGTGGACTTGGAATCGGGGACTCTCGGTTACTATCCGACAGCAATCGCAATTGTTGTCTAGTGTGGGTGGAGTGTGCGGATGTTTTGAATCTCCACAATACCAACACGCGCTAGACGGGGAGTATCGGGCCCCTCCCGAGAGCACCAAACTTGCGTGGCTTTTTCGACTAGAAACAAAAGGTACACAAAACAGGCATAGGTCGAAGAGCATCAAAGTAAGACACAAGTGCTATGATAAGAATACTATAACAGAGCACTGGCTATACGAGCTATCAACATGCCCTTTTACTGAAATCGTTGTCTTGCAACGATGAGTTTCCATTTGAATCTTAAAGTAATTGCTCGCTCTTTCTTGAATAATTGTTTTATTCTAGGTAAGTTTTGATATACCACTTATCATCTTACCACAGGAGTGCGAACTTCTTCGCAGGTTCATTTGCTCTATTTCTTAACCGTACTTTTCCAGTGTAATCAGCTGTTCGATGGCCGCTGACCAAACAGCCGGCGCCGTTTTTCTGTGCAATATCTCACCAAATCTTTCACGGAATCGTTCAACATTTCCCAGTTACACTTACAACTCCTAGTACGTAGAGTCAGAGAGGTTAGGATTATTACAATATATGCGCGTTCCTCCCTATGCAAAGAGGACTGGCCGATTATTCCAAAGATTCTCATGATTGTAAATCCCACCAAGCTTTGTTCGTGCTTGCCCAAAATTGTTCCAGCTCGGAGCTTAGTGACGGTGTTGGCCACCCGCACCTATTCCGACACGAGTCGAGCATTTCGAGAACACGGCTTCTCTGTTGAGGATTTTGCAAGAACTTTCCAGCTACATAATGCAAAACGTTAAGAGCATTCTATGCTAATCGCTGTGGACGACGTACCAATGAAAAGACACTGCGAGGATAGCATACTGGATGCATCCTCTGTAATTATCGTACCAATGCCACAGACGACCTCTATGCTATCCTGGATCGTCTTCTGGCGGTTCATGAAGTTCGTCATGCCACCAGGACTTGGCTCATGAGCGCAGATGAGAATTCTAGAAATATGATGAATCTGCATCGCCAAGCCTGCCACCAAAGGTTTAGCATTCGGATATGATAGACAACCGCAAGGGGGCAATAGTTACCAAAGCATTGAGGGTGTATTAGGCGCGGCTTAAATACTTCATTGCCTCGACGACTCATAGCAGGCAGCTCTGAGAACTCAATTGTCAGACACGATTCCCATTCTTGAAGTATCTTCTTGAGTGCCTTTGCCCATCCAAGCCTCCCTATAATCATTCCTTCTGTCTCTTCCACGGCCAGGTCAACGGCACAAAAGTTTATTACTTGTGCAAGAATCCAGACTGCGCGTGAAGCCAACTCATGATTGCTGAGCTCAGAGCATGACTTTTTGGGAATCCATGTGCTGTATGTACGGCGCCTCTCGCGGAAAGCCACCCAGATATCCTGACGAAGCCAAGCCCACCAGGTTGTACTTTCGAGGCTCGAAGTTTCCACTTCAATTTGCCGCGACCGTAGAATCCAGTATACTCCCTGGAGGTGCTGCTGCCAGTCCTTTCGAGACCCTCGGAGCATTTCGTAAGTGGAAATTATGAGAGTTGTCGCCATCAGCTCCCGGCTATTCTGGTATGTCGAATAGCGCATGGCTTTTTGGACATAGTGTAGAGTCTGGTAATAGTACTGAAGTGCAATATTCAGGTCCGCACGTTCTCCTAGAGGAATAGTTTCGTCGAGCGATTGGTGGCAGCTCGAAAGAGCCAAGATGGCATTTAGCAGACCTGCATTCCGGGCGGCAAGATGTGGTACTATGGTTGAGAATGTGCGGGCAGTGTCGAAAAGGTCAAGCTGTGATATACATAATGAGCAACTTCACTTGCAGAATTTATTATTTGCGTTGGGCAGCATACCCAAGAGCTTATTCGATGTAGAAAGTTTTCGAACAAGATCTGTTCACGTTCAAGCAATGAGATGCTCTCCTGTGCTTGCCACATATCTTCCTCTCTATCAATTACCAAGTCTTTTTCTGGCGGTTGGCTGTCAATGATCTTAGTTGCGCGTTGCAGCGGTGTTGCATCGTCCTTATACTGGTCATTTAATGGATCGAGAAAGCCCCCTTCGAGACCTGGCTCTACATCCGCATCTTGAAAAGTTTCACGAGATGCATCTTTGGCCAACAATCCAAACCATTGAACCGCGGCAACACCAGTAGAAGCAGCAGGAGTCGTTGCTGCTGAGTCTGGTTGCTGACCGAACCAGTCGTTGTCTATGAAGGGATCCTGATGCTGCACGGCGCCATTACTATCCCAACTCAGAGCGTTGTTAACACTATGGATTGGGATATTGTTCGCAGCAGAGGGCGAGAGAGCTGAAGCTGTATGTTGTGATTGTGATACGGCGACTGAGCGAATAACGTGTAGTAGATCATCCTGCGAATTGAGTATCTGGCCTAGCTGCCGAAGGATTTCTAGACTGGCAGGGTCAAACCTAGCCAGAATTAATATATGAGTATACCTGAATGATGACTACGATCACTACTCAAGCCAGACTTACGCTGAATGGTCTTTTTCAAGATCGTCGTACGAGCATGAAATTTTTACTGACGCACAAAACCCACACGCGGGCCGCACATTGTCGCACTTGGTTTTCCTTGCCCGACACACATGGCAAGCTTTCAGACTCCTCTTACGAGGGTACCGGGCATTTGAGGATGAATTTCCCGGACGCTTCCTCGATTCTTGCAGCTCGTGTCTTGAATCGAGGGACTGATTCGGCTCCGTCGGGTTCTGGTCAGCCATGAGGAGTTGGATAGCACCACAGAGACGCAGCCAAAAACAAGAAGAATATTGGGGAGAACCAAGGCAAGCCAATTACCCCGAGAAAATCCCGTAATGACAAGCAGACGCCGAATTTGAGTATGTTAAGCTACAGATGATAGAGGCAGGGTTCGGGGAGATGTGGTTATGTTATGTTCTCTCCTCACGCGCTACAGAAGTTTTAGTGGGTCGTACTAAATCCAACACAACCCTAGGTAGAACCACTTAAACACAGCCCGAGGTAAGTAGAGTGAATACCTTTGTAACTACTTTCCAAGTACGAAGAGGGGATATTTGTACCCCCAGCTAACAAAATACAAGAGATAATCATAGGTGGGGGACGGTCATGCTGTCGCCCTAGCCATGGAACTAACCATAACAATTTACCCTAACCTTTTTAATCTGTATAATCTCGACCCGAAGCGTATTTTATAGGTATAAAAGCATAATATAAGCGCTTATAGCGCATATTATGCATATATACCATATCTAGAGCGTTTTTTATGTCTTCCAAGATCACCTAAAAAGACGACCGGAGGCCACAGCCAAAAGCTGTGAAAATAGTATGACCCTCCTTCCACCGGGGAGCTGAAGCCGAAACCCGATACACAATGTGAAGTACTTTGGTACAGATTATCTCAAATTCCAAGATGATACCGATGTCACCCAAGCTTATCTGATAATGATATAACTATTTATCCGTCGGGGACCTTCGGGAAGAAGCATGAAGGAGTTCACCCACTGTGAAGCTATCTTGGCACATGATAAAAGCAGGGCTGTACTAATCTGCTATTGTCACAACTGTCACTGCTCTTTATATAGTCGCGGCAACGATTGTTCTTTCTAAACTGCTCTTTAGGTTAAACTGTTCAAGTCTTATCCTGGATTGTTGATCACGATGGGGGATTTGAGCTCGTACTCGGAGGGCGAAGCTTTCATCGAGGGCGCCCTGGTCAATGGCATTAGCTCTGCAACATCTTCGCAACAATTTTATCCGACATCGAAATCTCAGGCCTTCTCAGCCGACGTTCTTATCGTTGGTGGTGGACTAGGCGGAGTTGCTGCTGCCCTTGGGGCTTTACGCAGAGGCCGCCGCGTCTTCTTGACTGAGGAGTATGAGTGGTTGGGTGGGCAGCTGACAAGCCAAGCCGTACCTCCGGATGAGCATTGCTGGGTCGAGCAATTTGGCGTCACTCGATCGTATCGAGCATTGCGCGATGGGATCCGCCAGTTCTATCGGGACCATTATCCTCTAACAAACGAGGCGAGACGAAGGCAGCAGCTTAACCCAGGCGCTGGTCATGTTAGCAAGCTATGCCATGAGCCTCGCGTTGCAGTGGCCGTCATCGACGCTATGCTCATGCCATATATAGGCAGCGGGAAACTTGTAATCAAGAAGCGTACGAAACCTGTCTCGTGTGAGATGGATGAGCAAGGAACCGTTCGCTGTGTGGCATTCCGACAACTCGACAATCAAGGCACATTTATCGTTCACGCCAAATATGTCATTGACGCCACGGAGCTTGGAGATTTGCTGCCCATGAGCAACACTCCATACGTGACCGGATTTGAGTCTCGTAAGGACACCGGGGAGCCTAGTGCACCTGAGGAGGCGCAACCACACAACTCCCAGGCAGTCTCCATCTGCTTCGCAGTCGACCACATTGACGGAGAGAATCATACGATTCCGAAGCCTTCGAATTATGATTTCTGGCGCAAGCACCATCCAGAGTTCTGGGGTGCGCCGCTACTCAGCCTGAAAGCGCCTCATCCACGAACGCTAGAGATTGTTGAACGGGAGTTCACTCCGAACCCCAATGATGACCCAGCCTTGATTTTCGCAGATCAGCGGAAATCAGGTGGAGATATGAATCTCTGGACTTTCCGCCGTATTGCAGCACGCGACAATTTCGCACCTGGCGCCTATCAATCTGATGTGTGTCTGGTCAACTGGCCAATGATTGACTACTTCGAGAAACCCATTATCGACGTCAAAGAACATGAGCTTGAAGAACGTCTCAGTGACGCCGCTTCCTTATCGTACAGTATGCTGTACTATCTGCAGACGGAGTGTCCCAGAGCAGATGGACGCGGCAAAGGCTACCCTGGGCTACGACTACGAGGCGATATCATGGGCACAGAACACGGACTAGCAATGGCGCCCTATATTCGAGAATCGCGCCGTATCAAAGCTGTCACTACAATTGTTGAACAGGATCTCTCCTTGGATATTCGTGGCGACCAAGGAGCAATACATTATCCCGACAGCGTGGGAATCGGTATGTACCGCATCGATCTTCATCCGTCTACTGGCGGCGACAACTATATCGATGTTGCATGCTGTCCATTCCAGATTCCACTGGGCGCTTTGATCCCACTGGAACGCCCTAACTTGCTTGCGGGCTGCAAGAACATTGGGACAACGCACATTACCAATGGTTGTTATAGGCTCCACCCTGTCGAATGGAATATTGGCGAGGCGGCAGGCTTGTTGGCAGCCCACTGCCTGGATACAGGGCTCACGCCGCACCAAGTACAGGCAAATACGGAATTATTCGGGAAGTTCTCTAAGATACTACTTTATGAAGGCGTTGAAATGGCATGGCCTGATATTTCGGGATACTGAGTAGAAAACACTGAAGCTGTCATAGGCTAAACGTGTACAGTTTACAATTCTGTCAAGTTGACACAAATATATTATCACTTTCACATAGAGCAGAATATTAGTGGCAATTATATATTATCAAGTACGAACGTGTGAAAGTAACCAGTTGACTTATGATTATAATCAAAGAATCAATCCTCCTTCATAACGCTTTGATTATTTGATTTAGTATATAAAGGCAATATAGTTTATCAAAACCTCCTACTTGTCTCTACATATAGCGCATTATAGGTAGCTTTTGGAGTTAAACGTGTTTTTCAGGCCCTATGCGCCCCCGGGGTATCATCGAAGTACTAGGAAACGGTTCGGTGGATGAGCTAGATAGATTTATTTTCTTATACTCTAAATTAAGTTAGTACACAAATTACTTACTTTATTCGCGAGTCTAAGTAGATTACTATTTGCCAACTGTTGGTTTAAAGTTGGTTACATGAGGCGCAGTAATGCAGCTTCGCGAAACAGAAAAGTACTAGGTGGTCCACCTATATAATGGCACATGGCCTGCCACCACGCTCTTTCTCGTTCTCTTCCCACTCTCTTCCTCTTTCTCTTCGTCCTTTTCTCAACTATCCCAGGCTCATCAATCTCCAACATGGGAGAACCGCTCAGATTCCCCCGCCCCCCCGATGACTCCCCCCTTCGAGGCTCCGAGTGGAAAATACCACGGCTATATTCAGTCACAATTGCATTTGTAAAGACAAACAGACCGGCAACATCTCTCTATATCCTTCTGAACAGCCCGGAGAATCGTGCTAAATACGATGCGCTCTTTGATTCTATACATCCTCCGACGACCGAAGCAGAGGCAGTAGACCGAGCAGGCGGATACTTTTATACTCACTGTGAGCACGGGGTTTCACTATAGAATATATACGATGAAATACTTCGTGAAGAAATAGAAATTACTAATGTACAAAAAGGGCATAAATGCGAAGTTCAAAGAGATTGGGTTCAGAACACGATGACGACTAGCCTTGCCTTTGGGCTGCTAAAGAGGACCGCAGAGATTATCCGGTTAGCTGAGGAACAAATTAACCAAAATCCTTTTAATCTCGAGGAGGGATTTCTAGAGGGGGAGAGAAAAACGCTTCAGTGGGTTAAGGAGGAGTTTGAAGATGAGAATGGAGTTGAATAAAGCTTAGGCTCAAGAGTAGGATCTGGAATTCACTGGATCCAGGGGAATTTTATAACAGGGCGCTATCTTTACTTAAGCTAATATCAAACCTTGGCTTTCCTTTAAACTTTTGGAAATTGATTGGAGTTCTCTAGTTCTATATAGTATAGGCAAAAAACTATAGTCAAGATCCTACTCAAGCGCGCAAATCCCGAAGCCTTACAAGTCTACTCGGGGAATTCGAATCAATCGGATGAACTTTGAGCCTATCTACCTAGATAGGTATTAAAGTCGAGCAATGCCAGTCTACTCAAGTGTCAAGATCAGTCATGTAATGATGTTACGTGACGCATTGTATATCCCACCTAAGGTATAAATTGTATTTGCGAATAGTCCACCTACGTGATTACTGTAGTCTTTTGACCTAAGTTGAGTTTGATGTGCGATCACAACCCGTCTCTTACATTTTGTAACATTCTACTTCGTTGGGATACGAGCTATTATTCAAATGATAGTAATTACTAGTAATTCATTATGTAAGATATACGAAGGTGGTGCCTCTAATCCTCGAAATACATGTTTACCACATAGCATAGCGAGTTGCTATCGGATGAGTGGATGCCACTTACCCTAATTATTGTACACATTTGCAATAATTTGTAAGCTCTAAGAACGACCAACTACCTAGTTATATCTACCTTCGGCTTGTAAGCGTACTAAGCTGTATCTTCTACAGGGCTATATATAGGGGTACACAAGCTCCCGCGTCAGGTTAGGGGTGAAAAGCAAGCGTAGTGTGCGGGTGTACAAACCGATTAGGAAAGAGCACCAAAATTAGTAACAATCCATTGCCGGCGTTGTAGCGGAGACAGTATAGGCGTGTTGGTTGCAAAAGCCCAAGTATGAGGCCGACACTCTTCATTTCCGACAAGAGAGTTGTATATATTAGAGGCTCATTGGGCGAGATCTCGTAGCTGTACCCGGTCTTGACTGACTTCCTAAAGATAGGGACATCGAGTATACTCGGCTTGAAGAGCAGCTCCAGTTGCTGAAGGCCGGGTCGGATATCTAATGTGTTCAATTGCGTAGCACACTTAAGGTTCGGAGCCGCGAATGCTCCGTCGGCAGAGATAATGCATTGGAGGGAGACGTGTGGGCTAAGGATGAGAGAGGGATCAAAGATGATCTCGGGAAGGACGAATTTAACCCTAAAGTATATGTGAGTAGTGTTTCGAGGAAGAAATGAGGAGGATGGACATAAAACTTACGCATCCTTTACCCCAAGAAACGTCTTTGTAAACTCGCACGTGAATTCTATCCAGGTCCGATGAGGGCCGCTATTTGGATCTCGGAGTAGTGTCACGATGATATCACGGTAACGGAGGTTGAGGAGCGCTTGAGGGCGGTTCTTAGAGAAACCAGCGAGCTGGCAGAATAGAGCAAGCTAGATGCGTTGTCGGCTGTGCGTGAATCGCTTTTTCATTGTCGTCAAGTTAGTTTGGAAGTATTCTATAAGATCCTCGACGTATATTACGTCTTCTCGCGCTTCGCCGTCGTTAAGCCGTGCTTCTTCGCCAGCTTCCGAAGGACTTAAAAGACACCAAGTGTTTATTAGATTCTCATTTACAATAAGTCGGACAAGATCGACAAAAAGCGCTACTCACCTAGTATATGTTATAATTTAACTTCCCGTTGATCTTCTCCCTAGCTCCCCGTTCGTACTATAACGGGGTAGAAGTAGTTGTTTGCGAATCAAGAGTTATTTGGAGTTGTAGCTGCCTAGAGAGAGAATAATACACGCGCGCCTGGAGCCCCTTTATACCCTTATTCCTCCTGTCGCACACTCACGTCACACCTACAGTTCCACCCCACTACACTACTCTATTATATAATCTTCTTATCCCGTGATTCCTACTATTACGTAACTTCGTCACATACTTCTATAGTTCTCTGTAGTAATCCTTTAGAATACCCGAGCTTTAGGCTATAAAGTTAGTGTTCGTAATATATTAATCTCGAGCTTTTCCTTTATCGCTAACTCGTTTATATACTTAACGTAGAACTTATACCTGAGTTAAAGTATTGTTATATTATAAAGCGAGTATAGATATCGATTTATAACTAAGCTCGGTATAGACGTTAAACTCAAATATACTATTAGCTATTATTTTATAGTAATTGAAACTCTAAGAGTTATAATAACAAGTATAATATATCTAGAAGTTATTCGAAGATCGCTAGAAGTTTGTCGCGAGAGAAGTATCTCTTAACTAAGAGGAGAAAATAGCTATAGCCGATTTTAGTAGTTATATATAAAGAAAAGTTCAACTACTTTTTACTCTACTTAAGAAGATAGTATAACTCGGAGTATATTAGTAAAGCTTTAGTAGTCCGCTATATTTAGTTATATACTTAGTAGCTACAGATTTATTATATAAAATAAATATACTATAATTACTATAACTATAACTAAGGACTTTTGATTATTTAATTGGAAGTATCAACTTATATAGCGACGTTATATAATATAGTGTAGTAGGGTGGAACTACATGTGTCACGTGAGCGTGCGACACGAGGAATAGGGGTATAAAGGGGGCAGGGGCTCCGGCGTGTGTATATTCATATTCTCTCTTTAGGCAGTTAAAACTCCAAACTCTTGATTCGCAAACAACCACTTCCACTCTGTTACAATAGTTTTAACGAAATAAATATTCATTTATTATTTAGCAGCTGCCGAATTAATCACAGCCCGCGCTATAAGTTAATACCTCGGTAAAGTAGACATATCGAACAGTGTACCAACCACTTCTCGCCCACCCCAGCTAGCATGGCACGTTACTATAGACGAATAGTCAACCATCCAGCCATCTTTGGCCCCCGCACGCTTACTTATTAATTAGTTAGAGGTTCATGACTGCCCTTGAAATATTGTTCTCCTCGCTTTTTCGTTCTGTGGGCCGTCTATTCACATTGAAGAGAAGTCATCCTGATGCGCCAGCCAATGACGCTTTGTGCAATGCCTATAAGGCTGTTTTGACTGCAACCGTTCCATCTAGGTTTTGGTCGTGGAATCATCTAACGAAGACTGTGTATCCCCAAAAGTCGTTATACATGAAAGCACTAATAATCTTGTAGATTCGGCCTAAAGTGGCCGCCCGTTATGCCTCTCATTTCTCAGCAAAATGAGTACGGAAGTTCCTACAATGATGCCTCAGCTGCTGTCCCAAAATGACTCCAATCCCAAAAATCGGAATCGGAAAAAGCCCTTCTCGTCCAAATATTCCCTTCAGCACTCAAAGCAAGGCAACAGGTCCTCTATAAGGCTAGAGTACTACCTCCGTGATCTTAATAAGACTGCTGGAAATTTATCACCGGTCATACTACAATCTATTTTGCTTGTACCGGAGGCTGGCAAGTCATCCCTCACGTAAAACTTTGTTCTTGTACTGAACGTTTTAGATATGATTCAATTCCCAGGCCCAGGACAGATTGACGAATCCACCGGTTCCACATCAACATGGGGGTTTGTTCAGGCTTGCCTTCAGCTTTGTAGTGAAGGCCACTCAATGTGTAGACGTATAAATAGTGTAGATCTGCCAACTCGGCTTTTGTATATCGGACATGAAACGACTCTATCCGTACGTCTATACGAAAAGTCGGAGCTTTTATCAGATACGAAATATGTGATTTTAAGCCATTGCTGGGGCAATGGCGTCCTATTCAGATTACTGTAAGACAATATGATTGTACTAACAAAGAATGTCCCTAGTTAAAATTTTCAAAAACCTTCTAGGATGCTATTCTGATTACTAGGCGTCTCGGTATCAACTATATATAGATTGATTCTCTATACATTGTGCAAGACTTGATGGAGGACTAGGGAAGAGAAGCTGCTGGCATGAGCAACGTATACGCGGGCTCATACTGTAATCTTGCGGCTACGGGTGCCAATGATGGCAGGGAAGGATGCCTTGTCGAGATAAATACTACAATGCTGAAATCTTACAGATTGGAAGCTAGATGGCAAAATATTTCCAAGGTATACTTCTGTGTCAATTGAAGAGTGGCAAGATGATATCGACCAAGCGCTACTAAACTGACGAGCTTGGGTTTTCCAGGAAAGATTACTGGCATCCCGTGTAATTCACTTTGGGAAAAGTCAAGTTTATTGGGAGTGCAGGAACTATTCCGCCTTTGAGATTTATCCTATAGGATTCCTGAATGAAGTGCTGGACACAAATAAGAGGCACCTATCTCCTACGATAGATGGCCCGCTGCTCCGCCGTCATCTAGGTCTCCGCCTTGACCCCGAACTCGATGCATACTCTGTTTGGGGGGAGATTGTTTCTTCCTTCTCTAGAGGTGAACTCAGTCATTGTTGCCATCTCTTGACTAGCCGAGAAACTCCACCATTCGATTTCTCGACATTATCTTGCTCGCCTGTAGAATGAACATCTTGCGTATCAGCTTCTGCGGCGGGTGGTATTTGAAGGCAATGCAAGAAGAACTGCAGTCTTGCCTAATAGCTCTCAAACGTTATTAAAACGACATCACTAATTTACAGAGCATGTAGCAGGCACTTGGCCCACACAGGGCACATACAGTCACACGATTTAAGGAGAGTCAAGGTCTTTGTAGTATTTAGAGTTATAGGAGTATAGAAGGGGCGGTTTGGATAAGAGAGAACAATGTTGGGAAGGTTTTTCCTTATAAGGACTAGGGGGGTCGTGGAATTATAGTTGCTGTGGCTAGCGGAGTTGCAACATGGCTTTATTATGGTCGTAGCCTACCAGGTATCTAGGGACCGCAGACACAAGAGGACAGTTGGTCGCCAAGTCAGAGCCTTATACCAAAGTCACAAACAAAGTACTTCTATTAACGGATATATATATATACGTAGATAGAAGCTAGACCGCTTAGTAGAGGAGGCTGCTGGTCACACGAGTGTGATGAAGTGAGGTGCGTCTCCTAAGGTAAATGCAGTTTGGCAACTGGTGCCAAAGCTGGGTCATTCCGGCATAGCTATCCAGACGGATAGCTGGAACCCTGTATAAATAACTCAATCAATTAATCAGTGGGCTTGCAAAGACGTGTGAAACGTCATATGACAAGGGTGGCTCAAGGGGCATAATATCAGGAAAGCGAGTCATGTTTACAATTAAAGCCGAAGGCTCGGTATTATATTGATTAAATGCTAAAATAAAAAAGAAAGAAGAGTTCCCAAGGGAGATGCATGAATTAGGACCCCTAAAAGAGTACTGTGGTATAACCCTGATTTGTGGATATTCATCTTAAAGGACCCAAGTTCGTATAATAACTACTCGAGTACACCTCGGCGGATCGGCATGGCCGAGCCCGGAGGTAGGGACTCGCTACTTGTGTGCGACTCAAAGCCAATATATATAGCTGTAGGCTGTCCTCTGAAATGTTATTCTCAGCACTCACCAGCACTGCAATCCTTTAGCTTCACCTAAGCTCGCACCTGTCCATTTGACTATCTCGACAATCTTTTGACCTCAATTCCCGTTTAAAGATCCCAGAAATGGCGCCCTTATCGCGAGTTATTAGTAGCTTTTGTTCAGTTGCTCTGCTTGTCAGCCAATCCGTCATTGTTCAAGCGCGACCAGCTCCGACAGTCAAGCACCTTCTCGCCCCTCGGGACGGTCTCGCCAACACCACTAGCGTCGGGCCACAGCCGTTTTATGCCATCGCCCATCGGGTGCTAACGGTACAGGGCATTAAGGATGCCCTTAGCCATAACGCCAATGCTGTGGAAATTGACATGACGGCGACGCAGGAGGGTTGGTGGGCGAACCACGATGGGTTTGAATGGACCAAAGGGGACACTGCACAAGCGATGTTCGAAACTATTGCGGAGGAGCGGAAGGCCGGCAAGACCCTGAACTTTGTGTGGCTTGACATTAAGACCCCGGACATGTGCGACCCTTTGGATAACAACCAGCAACACTGCTCAATCAGCGGGCTGCGGGACCTGGCACGACAGTACCTAGAACCTCAGGGTGTGCGGGTGCTCTTTGGCTTTTATAAGACCAGTCCCATTGGATACCATTCTATCCTCGAAAGCTTGAACTCCAATGAGGCCATGAACCTGGATGGCAAGGCTTTAGCTGTACAGCAGGAGTTCGAAAGCAGTGGACCAGCCAAGCGCCAACGCGTTTATTCATACGGCTTTGACTTCCTTCCAATCCAATTCGGCGATTGCACAGAAAGCCGCTTCTTTACGTGCACCGAGTTGCGTCAAGGCGCCGCGTCTGGCCAGTTTGGCAAGGTGTTTGGGTGGACGAGCAAGCAGGGTGAGACCTCTTACGTTGACAAGTTGTTGGGAGTTGCGGGTGTTGACGGCCTCATTTATGGCTATGCGGCAACGAACTATGCCGATACTGACCACACCCGTTCCGCGTCTCAAGATGTCCTTAGCTGGGTTGCCAACCACAAAGACCGTCGCTACCTTGCCACTCAGAATGACAACCCATGGTAGTGCTATGTAACGAACACGTGCAGTGTGGAAGGGAGAGGCTTAGCAACTTGGGGGCTGATTGCTAGGCGGGTATGAGGCAGGTGTTAGAAAGAAAGGAGGGGTCATAGACAGAAATTGGGTATAGACAAAATTTGGGCATAGACGGAAAATTCGGGCTGTATAATTTTAGGTTTTCATCCTATAATTAGAATTAATATTTCCTGGATCAGAGGTCACGTGGATATTCACATGCGCGTTATACGGGGCAGGCTAGGTGATTATAATTTCGCTTCCAGTCACTGTTCGATAAGAGTGTGACCCTATATAACTCTGTAAGGGTCGACTACTCCTTGATATAGGTAACGTTAACTATAAAGGTTACGAAGTTATAGAGAGTATAAAAGTACGAAAAGTACGAAGCTGCGAAAAGCGAAATGTACAAAGAATAATATAATATATAAAGTATGAAGCTAAAGTAATTACAGAGTTGGGAGTCACAAGATTACTGACGCTTAGGTAGTAGGGAGGGCTTATGTACTTCTATTAACTCCGCTTTTTTCACTCAAATCCTTAATCTTTAATTTTAAGCTACTTATTCTAGTAAAAGTTATTATATTTATAAAGTTATTTCTTACTCTTTACTACTAATTTGACTTCCGATTTGACTATTGCGCTAAGCTAAATCTGATTGCACTTACTATATATAAACTCTGTTTTCACGGAAATCGGCTCTCGCTTTATGTAGAATGGTAGAGAATAATGTTAGTGTTGAGTAGATAGTACTTCTAATATTCCCATTCTACGAGCAGCTAAACGCGTTATTCACATCACCAGAAGTATAAGCGTTGATAATACTCTGGACTGTTGTATAAGTACCTGCGACGGTCATGAATAATCCACCAACTACGGTTATGCAATGGACTGTGCAAATTGCCATCGTTTTCTTGTTGGAGGTGTATTTGCCTCGATTCATATATAGACCCAGCAGTGCGGGAATGACAAGCTAAGTCAAACGAATTAGCGAGTATTCTCGAGGATAAAAGTGCCAAAACCTACACAGGTGGGAGAGCAACAAAGAGATCCAACTAGACCAAGGACGTAATTGAAGAAAGGGATTGCTTCTGCAATGAGGAACGACAACGCGGTCAGTCCAAGGGTTGATGATCTGGTACCTCTGCGTTAGTTCACAAGGCACTGTTTTGTAGCGGGGATGGAGCAATTATTTTATAGCCAAGTTGCCCAATGGATGAAACTGTTGCTCTGAAGATGGTTAGAGTCACGCAGGATACGGACGAAAAGCTATCAATCATTAATAAGGCTCTTTCAACTTAGTCGCAAAACGACTTACGAATTTAGCGGCTGCATGGACCTATAGCGTGGATGTCATCATGAAGCCTGGAATGGAAATACCTTACGCGATCTTCTCTAGAGTTCCTCCCACACTAGCTAGAGAGGGGGTAGCAACGTACTGTCCACAGTAGCTACGAGAACGTTAGCGACCGTAGGTGGTCTATAGGATAGGTATACTTACATATAGACTACAACGCCGAAAGACATATAACAGGCTACCAAGAACGTTTGGGAAATGAATAAAACTTTTGGGAAAGCTCTGGGTGTCTTCATCTCGGCTATGACAGGTATAAATGTAGAGCTATGCTTGTATAAATTACTAAGGCTCTCACTTGACTGTGCTCGAGCTATGATATTCGGAGGGCTAAAGTTTTGCAGGAGGGATGGGGAGATGCACAGATTGAGGCTACTGGCGGCTTGAACCGAGAATTTTCGTATTTCTAGAAGTTAATCCAATCACTCGCACCATGATGCAAGCCTAGAGACGGCGAAGGAGATTGAAAAACATACGAAGCGGGAGCTGGCAGGACTGAAAGAATTGTCTGGTGGAATTTATTTCTTGGCTAAGTATCCTACTGTTGGGTTCAGGATAAACCGTGGAAAACTAAAAAGCCTCGTTCACATCGAGGAGGGACAGGTGAAAATCTCGATGACGCATACGAGGCTCCTTGAGGTGGCTGTCTACGAATATATTGTGCGACTTGTTTGCCAGAGCTGTGATATATTCGCACCAAATGTCAGAAAACTAGCAAATTTGAAATAGATATACGGGTAACTATTAAGCTAAAGAAGTATGGCCATGTTCAATATACTAGTTGTCGTAGTCCCTCGCGCTGTTATGCGTACCTTTTACATATTCGAGCTCTTGATGAGATTTGACCCTGCCGGGTACCAAAGCGACCAATCGAACAGAGCAAAAGTGGGAGATGGCTGGTTGTGCATTGGGGAAAACGGTCGCACGTTGCAGCGATGTCACCCTGAACCCAGGCACCTCGCTTCCCTCATCAACAGCTTTTGAGCACACACAACTAAATGGCAGACTTTGCTACTTCAATTTCCTATCCCCTTGTTATACTATACTATGGCCAGAACCTCCCCAATCAACTGCTTCCCCGACTGGTCCTCCATTTAAGGTCGTTCATTTAGGACGTCTGTTTAAGCTCCTCCATTTCGAACACATATCCCAGTATTGCAGTCGCAATGTGAATTTTGGTCTACGCAACTGGTTGCATAGCGCCAAACGAGTGTGCCGACCGCATTTGTGGTGCATCTCATCTTTGAAAAGAAAACTCATCAGCATAGAAGAAAATGGGTAGAAAATAGTTCAACATACAGAATTGCCACCATTTTTTTCGCATGCCATTGATCCTTCGCCAGAGCACAAAAAATTATTTTTCGCATCGCATACAGCTGCCGAAGCAGTGTATATAAGAGCCAAAAATAGTAGAACCTTCATATTCGAGAAAAAATTGTATTGAGTTAGACAAAAGGATGTATTTTGTTAGAGAAGAGGACGTTGTTGTGTTGTCGTTGGAAATGATGTGTTTGTTGTGTTAGAGAGGTAGAAAATAGAAAAGAGAGGAAGTAGAAGAGAACTTATGTTCTCGTAGCAGAGTGCTATAGAGAATTGAATTATTACCGTCTCCTCTGCTGGTACCGAACTACAAATCCCTCACTAACGATCTCCCCCCAATCATCTCGTGAAGGATTCTTGAAGGACGCTTCAAGGGTATAGGTATATAATAGTATAAGATTACGAAACTTAGCAGGCTGCACAATAAAAGTACTAGCTATAAGGATTCTTGGAGGGTTCTAGAAGGACGCTTCAAGGATATATATATATAATAGTATAAGATTACGAAACTTAGCAGGCTGCGCAATAAAAGTACTAGCTATAAGGATTCTTGGAGGGTTCTAGAAGGATGCTTCAAGGATATAGATATATAATAGTATAAGATTACGAAACTTAGGAGGCCGTGCAATGAAAGTGCTAAGTCGGAGGAGGCAAGTCCGCGCTCGGAAGCATGTGCGCGGACTTACCGCCTCTTACAGTCCCAACATCAAAGATCTATCTGCCTAGTATCTACCCTTCGATATGGCCAAACACTTTCTAAACTGCCTCCTTGTACGGAAAAGCCTCTGGACACCAAATGAATCGCTCGATCTGGGGGAACTCCTTGGAAGAAGCTGCCTGATTAATGTAACGGTAACAAGAATTGTACTTCTTGGCCTATTCGTCGAGTTTCTTCCAGCTTCTGCACATCCTAATCGGACTCATTCCCGAGATCGGAATGTCATCGGCTATTGAATAACGTGGCATGTCATTAGCATTGCAGAGAACTTCTTTTCGAAGCTGGCAAACACAATAAATGGCAGTTCCCAACGACTTGCCTTGCCAGAATTTCACGAGAGAAAGATAAGCGGTTCGCTATATATATCGTTAGTAAAAGGCTTTCACCTCTTCGGTTTCAAAACTACTTGTTAGACAATGAAGTGTGTGATGCCCATTCAACAAGTAAAAGCGTTAGTATTCATCCCAAACCAGTCGTTGAGAAGTGGGGAGATTTCACAGCTTTCATCGTTGCTTCGTACCTTCTTATATCCAAACCGAGATACCATCTTTGAAATGACTAATACTATCATGTCTGAGGACTGTGAAGATATGTTCTCTAAAATCCCCGTTGCAAATTGCAGATGAAATCAATTCTTTTGATTGAAAGACGGAGCTCAGCTCCCATCAAGCTTTGCAAGCTCACCGGCGCGACATATTATGAAAATTGTAAGCATTCAAAATATACAACGAAATATACATAATTCATGCTAACGCAGAATCCCACTTAGGGGGGGATCACCCTCCTACTAGAGCTTTCCGCCGAGGGGAGCCCACACCGCCGGGGCCTTCTTTAATGGACATGATTCGACCTGGCGAGCTCGAGGAGAACGAGGCCACGCTTGAGATGGCTCGAGAGGAGCTCAGAGAGAGATCTCTTGAAGCCTCGCAAGAGGATCCATCGAACACTGAGAGTGAAACTTCACACGGTGGCCCAATCAACGAGCGTGACGTCGAGACTATGCAAAACGATAGTATTCCTTGGATATCGTCACGAGATGAGGAGCAAATCGTGGATCACCCGTCAAATGATAAGAGGGATACTAGCACCGCTGCTTCAAGCGATAGCTTTCCATGGGTATCAGAAAGGGACGAGGAGGAAACCGACAGCTCTTAACACGACAAAGAAAGGGATACCGTCAGTGACGCGGCAACCGATAGCTTTCCCTCGATATAGTAAAATGCGGGTGACGTGTTAGCTAGATAGCGACATTCCTAGCAAGTTATTGAGGTGACATTGTTGTCCACACTTCGGAGATGGGGGATAAGAGTTAGTTGTGGAAGGCAGTGGATTGGAGGTAAAAGTGTGGGTTTTCGGGCTGTGCAGAAATTTGTTGTTTAAGGTGCCGTTATCGTCTTACGTATTTTATAGTAGGGAATATAAGTAGAATTAGTTTGATTTGCAACCGTCTACCTGTTCAGCTCGTTCCTTTAGAGCCTCTTCTCGGTTTTTACGTACTAATAGTTTTCTTAAAGAGCCACCGGCCCCTTCCCTCTCCTCTAAAGTTACCCCCTTAACTCCGCCCATCTTGTCTTAGCCTCAATCCTCCGTTGTGAAGATATACTCTTTTAGCTTAGTGAGTAGTAATTCTTCGATTATAAGGAGGTCGCGGTCGTCGTCGTTTTCGTTATCATTTACTTTGTCGCTGCGTCTATAAACAGTGCCGGTCCCTAGTCAGATTCCCACAAGTCAGTCACTGTCGCTACAAGCTAAACACATCTCTATCACATACCTCGAATTCCGGGCCTGTAGACCCCATCATCATCGGCTGCTGCCACTGCTGCTGGTCGTGGCGTGCTGAGTGATGCACCGCTCGACTTGATGTACTAGAGCTTGTTGAGGGTGCTGATTTGTTCTGGGGCAAGTTTGTGGCGGGTTGCTGTGCTCTTGGAGCACGGAGCGGTTGGCACGTACTCGTAGATATACAGTTTGAAGGCAAAAGTGGCCATCTCGAGCGCGTGAAATGATTGGGAGTAGTCGAGAAATTCTCCGTTGGCTGCTAGCTGTACAGCTGGACTGTAAAACAGATAACAGAGACGAGGAAATCAACGGGTTCAAGTAGGATTCTCACACTGCCCTCGTAGAACCGGAATCACTCTGTGGCCCGTTGTACACGCCTGCCATACTAGGCTTCCCCCTTCTGACGCCCTCTCCGAGAAAAAAAATAAATTGCCTCGGCGATGTGGAGGATCATTTCTAGGAGTATTATTCCACGGTGGTTAAAGATCTTCATTAATTGCCATTGTGAACTGCCCTAAGTAAAATCGGCTATAACGGTTGCCTGTAATGCAAACCGCCCTCAACGCTATGTAAGGTAGAGTCGGAATTATTACTGAGTAGGACTTTGGAGAGAGCCCCCGAGGTATTAATGTTCTTATGCTAAGGAATAAAATATTGAAAGCTAGGCACAAACCAAGAAGTTTAACTGGTTGTTTACATATTTATATTTATATTATTCTATTTCTCAACGTCTATCATGGTCCAGTCAGATCCTGAACTGTTTTTGGCTTATCGTTATCCAGTTTCATGCCGAGGATCATCTTTACTTCTGGGCAATATTTGAAGATATGATCAACTTGCTCTTGCTTATCCCATATCTGTGTAGACGGGGTGGGTCAGCTTGTGCATCTTGGTGTTGTTAAACGCGCAGGTCCCTCAATGCGAAGTTGCTTAGGCTGAGAGGACATAGCAAAAATAGTGACGAAAGACATACCTGCGGATGATGCACGCCTAACCACCCAACGTGATACCCCAATGGCTTCTCATCCCACACGCTCTCCACGCTAAACGTCTTGCTCACAGTTGCGTTCGGCATATTGGCACCAGACAGACGAACCATCCTATTGGTCAACCACAAATCCTCCAATTCGCCATCACCGTCCTTCCTATCCTCTGCTTTTAAAACCTGCAACATCTTTGACACTTTCCGCAAGGACAAGCCGCCATTTCCACCATGCTGCGCGTCAGGGGACCAAGGTGCCCCAATCCAATCCCAACCCAGGTAGTCGTTAATCGTTAGGGGCGCGGCGGCGCAGAATATGCTGTCGGGTTGGAAGACTAGGAGGTTCTCGGCGGGAGCGAGAATGTCGCGGTATAGGCTGATATCGGTAAACATCTGCGAGATGGTTTCGCGGGATTCGAGGGAATATTGGGATGGAAGGTCGAGGAATGTGATTTTGCCGCTGGATTCGAGCCGGGAGATCAGGGGCGAGCTTCGCATGAAAGATATCGCCTCAGGCGATCCCATAAATCTGAACATCTATTCTGGAGGAACGACGCTTATCATATGGGCAAAGAGCGCGGGCAAGTGTGGGAGGGGACGCGTCTCGACCAAGAAGGCGACCTTTGTGGGATCGTAGGGAGAGGGCGGGTCTGGGCATGATGGCGATGGCGCGGTTGTGGGCTGTAGTTGCGTCGTATTCCAGGAATTGGGGGATAGATTGAGAGTCGAGGTGGTGGAGGTCGAATTAAAGGTTCCTGAACGATCGAGGGCAAACCAGGAACTGGTCTAGATTAGTAAACGGAAGCGCATTTCAAACCGAGGTTGTATTGCAACTGGACGGGTTCCAATAATGGACAGGGTCTTACATATAGAAAACAACGACAAAGAAGCCGAGAAAAAAAACCCCGTTCAAGAGGAATTGGCTCCTTTTATTTTGCAATTGCCATGGAGCCATTGGGCATCGGGGAAAATCTCCCGCTGCCGGCTGGCAGAAGGAGAGTAAAGAACGGTGGTGCACGTAAGTGTAGCTTAGCTCTCCAAACCTCTAAACGGACCAGCAATTTAAACGATCATGACGAGGAGGCAAGCACAAATAATACAGGAGAGAAAAGGCAGACAAAGTAAGTGGGTACGTAGGGAGGAGGAAGATCTTAGGAAATAATTGCTGTCGTCCCTCCAAGCGTTACGTACCCACAGCTTACGCCGCTGGGGCTGTGGGCCAGCAATCCTTAGCCCACCGTGTGGCTGATCGCTATATACACGGCACTGTACGACGTATTTCTGGACATTTTGGCAAGGAAGATAAGTCTTGGACTCGTCGCTCCGAGCCCCTTGCTGGGATGCGTTCACGCTGGATTGGGCCTCTGATGCGCTAAGACGATGGTTTCGGATACTCGTCGGTGGCTTGATGTTGCGTATGGCGCATGATAGGAACAAACCGGTGCCTACTGAAGGAACTCGGTACTCGTACAGCCAGCTTCATGTGGTTGCCGCGACAACGCAGCCGACCCTGTTGACGCCCTAATCTTATCGAACCACAGCCAAAACAACAGCATCATGACAACGCCAAACTCACGACTACGACTACGACTACGACTACGACTACGACCACGACAACGACAACGACAACAATAACCACGACCACGATTACGACCACCGCCACGGCAAATTCATAAATACCACTACATCCCAGGCGCCATGGCCGCCTCCGAGAATCTCATCGACTTCGACATCATCGAGAATCAAAAGGAAAACATTCAGGCCCTCCCCGGCGGACGATCAGCGCGCACACTTGCCAACTTGTTTTCACCTGGTCCTCTCCACAAACTCGCAACACCAACACCATCCGACACTAAGAATCTAAATGATGCTATGAGATACGAATATGAGGAGGAACTCGCCAATATCAGCGAGTCGGATGATCCATTAGACATCTACGATCGCTATGTCCGGTGGACTCTTGACGCTTACCCCTCTGCACAAGCAACACCTGCGTCCCAACTTCTCCCCCTTCTCGAGCGCGCCACAAAGACGTTTCTCAACTCAGCACAGTACAAGAACGACCCCCGGTATCTTAAGCTTTGGCTGTCATATATACGGTTTTTCTCAGACACCCCCCGGGAGACGTACGCATTCCTGGCTCGTCACAATATTGGAGAAGGGCTGGCTTTATTCTACGAGGAATTTGCGGCATGGCTGGAAGGCGCTGATCGCTGGGCACAAGCAGAGGAAGTGTATAAACTGGGGATTGACCGAGAGGCACGACCAACCCCGAGATTACTGCGGAAGTTCAACGAGTTCCAACAGCGCTTTGCACAAAGACCACACGACGTAGACGGACCGTCATCTCCAGCCCTACCCAGTGTGCGGCCGGTATTGGCGGCAAAGATGGACCCATTTGCTGCAGCGGCCCCCAGAGACCCTCAGGCAGCGCGACCGAACTCTGGCGTAGGGGGCTCGGGTACAACGAAGAGCGGCCGACAGAAGCTTGCCATTTTCTCTGACACAAATGATGCTCCCCCGGCAGTGTCCGGAGTCGAGACGAAGGGTTGGGAAAGTATTGGGTCCCTGGCAGATCGCAAAAAAGAGAATGTAATGGAGCCGAAGCCATGGGTTGGGGAGACGCTGAAAGCGGGCGGGAAAAAGAGCAGCACCAAAATCCCGGTGTTTCAGGATCAGGTATGCCTACTTTTCTTCCATCCTTTTCATGCACGTATTGATTATCACAGGACTAATGATTGTCGTTTTGGCGTTCTGTATTTCAGTCTTTACCGCGTTTCGAAAATCCACAAATTATCAACCCTGCTCAACAACAAGTGACCGTAAATCAGAAGGGGAGGACAGAGCGTATATTTGTTGAGCTAGAAGCCATATACCCTAGCCCTGACGTTTCTGGATCTGAATTAAGTCTCGAGGAGCTGAGAGCTGCTGGACGAGGATGGTTGTCAAAGGTCTGGCAACCTGAGAAACCTACTAACCAACATCCCGTGGAACCACCGGATTTAGAAGATCATAATGACGACGTCGAGGCTATAGTTCAGGGAGTTGAGGAAAATCTTGTTATCGCTCGAGACAACGTTGCGTTGGATGAAAATGGTGAGGTTAAAGACACCGCTCGAGAAGGACGAGGTCGAAGGATGAAGATTAAAGAAGTAAATGAGACGCAAATAAGTGAGTTTGTCACTGAACGCGTTTGGGGTCGTATTGCTGACAGGAAACAGTCAAGGCAAAGCTGTCATCCCCTTCCGGGCCAAAAATGACCAAACGAAAAGCGTCTAAGGAACAAACTATGACATTGCATACTCGTGCTGCTACTGACGAAATTTATGACCTCTTCAGCCAACCACTGAAGCCAGAAGAAGATGCTGAAGGGGAAGATGACAGCGATGATGATGACGGAGATATGACAGACGGGGATTATACCAGCGGAGGCGAAAGTACTGGAACTGGCCGCGTTCTGACGACTAGCGAAGTAGGGGACGACGAAACGTCCGATGTCAAGAGTGTCAGTGAATGGTCCGAATTCACTGCCAGGAAGCATATCCCAGACCTCGATGACGATGAAGATACACGAGCCTCGCAATTTACAGTGCATGATGAAGATTTCGAAGCCATCGAGGTAGAACTTCCGCTAGGTGTTGTAGAGGAGGAGGAGTTGGTAACGCCCGTATCTCCAGACCTCCCACCTCATTCACGAACATCTTTTGTTCCCATACCGCCTGAAGATTATGAGCCAGCAACATGGCCTTACCGGGATCCTTTACAAATGTCTCAAAACCGCCTCCCGTTCATGACTCCCATCGCCGAGAAGACGGAATCTTCGCTCGGGCTACCCACTGTGAAAGAGCCGAAGGAGTATTTCAACTCTAAGACTCCAAGCAAAGAAAATGGATCCCGAATGCCACCTGTCGAGTTAGGAAGCAGCCCGTTTAGAGAGTTCATCGACGATGCTGCACCTGCGCCCAAGATAGCCCAACCATTATTAGGCAAGAATATGAGGAACAACAAAACAGCCCCTATTGCCGCAAAAATCCAAGGAAGCGGCGCGTCACTAACGTATGAGAGTGCCCCGAAAGGGCCCCTCATCAAGGACTCTCAGTGCAATCCTGTTGATGATTACACCAGAAATGCCATTTTTGCAGACCTTCAGCCACCTCTTTCAAGTTATGAAGGCTTTTTCGAACACAAGGATGAGACATACAGCCGCACTGCTGAAATCAAGAAATTTGTAAAGGCCATAGCGAAAATGAGCAAGAATGCTAGCGACAAGACCACAACTAACCTGGCTCTGCCGCCTACCCTGTGGTTTCCCGGCACCGACAGAAAATACTTGGTCAAACGGGAACTTGGCGCAGGTGCATTCGCTCCAGTTTATCTGCTCGAGCATACGGTTGAGGAGGAGCAAGATGAAAACGATACTCCTGCTGTCATGGGTAAAGGGGCCTTCGACGGGTATGGCCGCAAGAAATTCGAAGCTCTGAAGATGGAGGATCCTCCATCAGCATGGGAATTTTACATGATGCGACAAGCTAAACGACGACTGGGCGTGTCCCGGGCCGCAGAAAGCATTATCAATGTATACGAAATGCATTTATACAAAGACGAGTGCTACCTTATTGAAGAATATCGAGACCAAGGCACCCTCCTCGATGCTATCAACATCGCCCGTGCGGACTCCACCGCTGCAGGACCGGGCGTCATGGACGAAAGTCTCGCTATGTTCTTTACTATCGAGCTCTTTCGTACGATGGAATCCCTTCACGGAAAAGGTATCCTTCACGGAGACCTTAAAGCCGACAACTGCCTCGTGCGCCTCGACCCCTTGGACGACAGCGATGTATGGACATCGAAATACCGCAAGGACGGCACAGGCGGCTGGAATAAGAAGGGCATCGCGCTCATTGACTTTGGTCGCGGCATCGATATGAAGGTCTTCCGTCCCGATGTGCAATTCATCGCTGATTGGAAGACGGGGCCGCAAGATTGCGCTGAGATGCGCGAGTTACGGCCTTGGACATATCAAATTGATTACCACGGCCTCGCAGGCGTTATTCATAGTATGCTCTTCGGGAAGTACATCGACACAGTCGCGGACCGCGCGGCAGGTATTGGCGCCACCGCTAAGAAAACCTGGAGAATCCGGGAGAGCCTGAAAAGGTATTGGCAGGTTGAGATTTGGAGTGCGGCTTTTGACTTGTTACTTAACCCGGGGACCCATGTTGAAATAGAGGAGGGTCAGAAACTCCCTGTGTTGAAGGGAATGAAGGAGATTAGGGAGATGATGGAAGGGTGGTTAGAGGGAAATTCGGAGAAAGGCATTGGATTACAGGCTGGTATTAGGAAGTTGGAGACTTCCTTGAATGGGAGGAGGAAGTAAGGAGCTGGAAAATGGGGTTTTTATAGGTGTGTTAGGTTTGCTATTTGTGGCGTTTCGGGTTTAGTTACCTACCACGGTAGGGTTTGAAGTTGGAGTTGGGTGTGGAGAAGGAAGGAATTTATTATTTCTTGGTGTTCCAATAAGACTTTAATAATGAAAGACGATTTAGATATCACTATTATGATATTATCCCCTAATCGGACGTGAATGTCTGTCAGTAGCATCGATCGATCATTTCGTGACAGGGCTAGTTACGAGACATAAATATCAATTTATCAATTGCCTAACGATACTAACAAATTGTATGGTAGATAATAACATAACACAACGACCGCCAGAATGCCTCAGTAGTGAGGAATCATAAAATATGGCTTATCTTCGATAACCTCTTCCAGTCCGATCCGGTCTCTAACGCCGAAACGTAAATGCACACACGCACACCTCTTGCCACTTGATCAGTCCCTAAACCCGCCCCAACACATAGTGGTTCACATACACCCCAACTCGCCCTACACAACTCTCGCTAAATAGTCTCCCACCCCCCGTTATTGATATCCATCTCCAGCCTCCTGCTAATGACGCTCGGAATTCCGTGACTTAACCAGACGGTTCTAAGAAGCGCATCATATCTCTTTTGGTTAAGGAACAACTGCCTGGAATGTCTGAGTCCGGGATCAACCTCGCCATATCGGTCGATATAAGGCGCGACCATCCACGAGCCAGACATATGGTAGAGATAGTAGACGCAGCATTTGCGGATGTTGATAAAGAGGCCGACGTTCTTTTGGCATCTGGAAAGCTGTTAGAAAATCTGTAAATCAGAGTGGAGTGGGACGAACACGTACTTTCTCATATGTTGTTGCGCTCCGCCAACTTGTACCAATCGACCGCCTACAGCTGCTGGTAGCTCCTTCAAGCAGCAAATACTCTGTCCGCAGAATATCTCGCCACAAAAGAGACAGAGCATCGGGTCTGTGACATCTTTTCCGGTAGTTGGACAACGCCGCTTCATAGTCTCTTCCATCAGGGCGTCGAAATTCTTTGGCAAGCCGATGAGCTCGGCAATTGCTGGGTGGCTGATATTTAGATTGCTGCCTGCGGGCGTCTCGTCCTTTGTCTGTGGCGTTAGGTAGGTAATCCAACGATCAATTAGAGAGAAGAGGGTGCTATTTTGGAGCGTAGAAGCAAACATTTCGTCCAGCTTCGGTAGGCGGAGTGCCTCTGTTAAGCGGTCCAATTCGTCGGCGTCCGGATTCGATGAAATATGGTTATTGAAGACAACTCCATGGCGAACGTGAAGAAGCACGGTAACCTTTCGAAGAAAGGCTAGTGCATACTTTTTTACAAACTCATAGTTAGACTCTAGCCCCTCGAAGGTCGGCTGATTTAGTGCATCTCCCTCGTCTGAGTCGAGGTGCTGGACATCGAATTGCCGAATGGTGAGACAAAAGCGCCTGAAAGTTTCTAGGATCGGGTTGCTGTGCTGTCTCTCGCTAGACCATATATCTAGTAGTCCTCGATTTCGACCCATCTTCATGATCACCTTGACAATTTCTGCGAGATAGCATAGTCGAACAACATGCATGATGTCTAGATTGTCAACTGGGACAAGACATAGCGAACATTCTGCCAAGAATATAAATATATCCCTATTGAGCAGTGACTCTGAGATTCTATTTGAGACTGTGGAGTCTGCATCACGCCCAGAGGTATACGGGTTCCTCATGAACAGAAGCGAGTGCTGGGTCTCATAGTCCTCACTGAACTCTTGAGCAATCTGATTATCGCCCGCAAATCTGATCCCGCCTGTGGAGACGTAAGTGGCTGCCGTCTCGGCTAAAATCTTCAGATGGGTCAATGCCTGCTGGGGAATGCTGTCTAAAAGCGTCATGCCCGAAGGTGAAGCAACGCCTCTCTGTTGAATTTCTACGGCAGAAATTGAGTATCCCAGTGCATGTGCTAAGGTGTCACTGTGGCGGAAATCCTGCGGTGTGTCGGACAGTATATTAATCGGCCCATTTGAGTGATGACTTGGCAGTTTGTTGCTCTCTATAGTTCTCCGCAACCGCTCATATATGCCTACAAGCTCGGCCATCGGGGATACAGGAGATACTGGTTGAGCGGCATTCGATGGTCCGGGGTCATCCCAACCCGCAGTAACTACTGCCGGAATTATGGTACCAAATAAGGGTGGTGTAGTGGGAGAGCTGGGTCTCCAGGCATCCACAAGAAGCTCTGACATCTTTGCAGCTAATGGGGTTGCAAGTGCCGCATTGTTATGGTCCATGAAGAGTTCCACACTTCGACTGCTAGGCGCAGCACGATTCACCTTCGAATCAATTTTACCAGCTCGGGGGCTGGCATCTGGTCCGGCAACAGTAGAGATCCACTCATCGAAAAGTGACGGGAGTTGGAATGATTGGAGAGATAATTCTTCCTTTGGTGACCAGATAATAGGCAAAAAGGCATTCCCTAAAGCCTTGCATAGCGGGCAGACGAACTCGTTCAACTCTAGCATCTCAGGATGATGCCGGGCAATTTGATGAAGATGTCTCCGATGTGAAGCGTCATAATAAACATCAAAACATTTATAATGCATAATGTGACCACAGCCAACCGATACAGGACCCACCCGTGTCGCGCTGGACGGGAAGCCTTTGCCGATGAATTGACGCTCTGTAGTGATTTTTGCTCCATTGGGTGTGACCTTGAGTACTTCCTCTCGGTTCTCTCCGGCTACTCCAAAGGGACGGATGCTGTCAGCGGTTCTATCTAAGCTCGAAGGCGTGTTAAGAACTTCGCGGACGAAATCAGGCTCCTCAAATGGCGTTTGACGCAAAACAGTGCTATTGGCCAGCAATGCAAATGTGCCATAAAGACGACCATCCTTGGTTTCCTCTTGGCAAAGAATACAAGTCCCGGTGGGGTAGTGCCAGTAGGTCTTCTGATCCTCACCCTCAGTTTCCACATTATTATCATTCCCATCGTCCTCTCCCCAATCAATGTCCCCTTGGTTATCTAGGAAGTTCTTCTGCTGCTGCTGGAATTGAGCCATCACTTTGGCTTGCCGTTCCAATGCTGCTCGTCTCTTCTTCTCCCGGTCTTCGAGTGCATTATGATTCGCAGGCGATGCCGTAGAGATCCTGTCCACCGGAACTCCCAATCGCGCAAAGGCAATCTCGAAATTCCGGGGTCTCTTTTGCCTCATTCTTCTAAGAACAAGCGTGATCTTTGGGTGACATGCCTTGAACTCTTCCTTTTGCGATAGAATTTCCAATACTGCAGCTATAGTTCTTGATGCAGGCGCATTCGGGATGAAGTTGCTTCGAGCAGTGCTAGTTAAGGCAATGTAGACAAAAGATTGGAGTGACTCTTCAGACATTTCATCTTCGTCAGTCTTGTCCTCAGCAATGGCAATAAGTACTAAGTGCAACACTACTTGAAGGAACGCTTCAACTCTGGTTGCGGGAACGGTTGGCGTTAGCTCCTGAGCCTTGACGGGATATAGAAGTGCATAGTAGATGATTTGTGCGAAGATGCCGGCTCTAGTAAATGCAGCTAGATCAGAGAACACGCCAGATTCAATAAGACGAAGCCGAGGTTCGAAGACAATTTCGGAAGCAGGTCTCCCTGTTTTCTTTGCCATCCAAGTCTTATAAGCATTTTCTGACTCTTCTCTCTGGTTCTTATTGTAGTGAGAAATATAGGGGTCCACATCTTCGAGGAACTGCTCTTTTAGCTCGAAGGTTCCGACATCTGATAATCCTTCAGGAGGCTTGAAAGTTGTCATTTCGTCTAGGATATCTTGGCACTCCTCTTGGTCGTGGAATTTATCGGGTAGTTTGCTGCAAATTTCTGTGAAGGACAATGGCTTGAAGCAAAGTACATGGGTAATATCTCGGCGCATGGCCAGTACATGGGCGTCTGTTTCGTCCTTGGTTGTGATGAGTGATGTACGGTCGCTGATGAGGACAATCAGGAGGTGAATTAGATCTTCGGCAACATCAAGAACTTGACCATCATCGGTGCCATCGGACTTCTGCTCATAGAGCCCCTTCATCCAATGCTCCAATCCATAGCGGTCAATGATAGACACCAGCACACGAGCTGGTGGACAGACCACCATAGCGGTTTGCAAAAGAAATATATCCCGATGGTGAGAGACATCACGTTGACTGACTCCACGGTATGTGCTATGTTGATGCCGTAGGCTCATGCCATTACGCACCCACATACTCGCTTTCATCTGTGCCAGCCAGGCACAGACGCGCAAAGGATAATCGAAAGCGGCCATGAGGTGGTCCTCCGGGCTATACTCAAGGCTTGTCATAGCTCGCTGCCCCATCGCTCTAGGTTTCTCGAGAAGCTCTAGTGTAGTAAAGCTCAGGAGCTGGATGAGTTGTTCGCGTGGCATACTCTTCCCGCACTCAATCAGCCATGAAAGGGTATAATGCAGAGCATGGTGGAAACTGATCGGTTGTGATTCCACAACAAATTTGACGACGGAGTGCTGATGAACGCTGTTTGCGTTCTCCGTAGTGTCGAATTCATAGTCGCCAACTTTCTTGAATTTGATCTCATCCTTTATCTCCGCTTGGTCAAAGCGCTTCCTCTCTGTTCCCAGGGAATTGAGGATGACTGCTTTGGCAGCTAATCTGATAGCTCTGGATATATAAGTGTGGTCCTCTCCGACGCTCCATTTGAACGAGTCCGAGAACTCTCTACATAAACGATTGATCTCCCGAGTGATCAGAGACGCGCTAATCCAGGCATCGGTCTCATATTCGACATGTTCACCAACTGCTCGAGTGTTTGGACAGATTCCTTGGTGAAGTTTTACAAGATCGAGGAACTGCATTATGTATCTCTCCTGAGTTCGCAACTGTTCTTGAACATGCTCAGAGCCAAAGAGATATTTCAAATCCAAGAAGAAATGATACATCCGTCGATTGGTCACCGAGCCGGAGTCGAAAGCAAGGGTAGCGTTGGGAGAAATCTCATGTGGATGGCCCACTTGACGTGTGGTAAGAAATGTGTAAAGAATTGCCATTAAATTCGTCAAGAAATTACCTCTCTCGACGATCTCGGCAGTAATGGTCGGCGTCGTCAGCATCTGCAGTGAGATATTGATAATTGAATGTTCTGGTTCTCGGTCCGCAATGAGATATAGTTGCGCGAGCATGGTATAAAGACCAGCGAATCTCAATCCAAGTACACGCTTGAATTCGGGAATAGAGACGACAGTAGAAATGTAAAGATCGCGAAGGTCGATCCGAACCTTTTTCCACATTCGCAAGTCAAATAAGATCATCCAGTCTAATCGTACGCGCTCCCATAGATTCTCATGTAGGGGTATTGAGCTTGTATCACCAAAAGCCTGTGACGTCTCCAACCAATATCGAGCTGGCTTCGGTGGATCTCGAGGTTGGAAGATGTTGGCTGGTGTCTTAGGTATCTCTAAATTGGCTTTGGCATACACGGTGTGGGAGATAAAGGGTTGCACTTCCGCGGTATCAGAATCAGACGGAGTTAGATCTCGATCCCGCGTCTGCCGTTGTGGTATCGGAGGTGGTGGAGGAGGTGGTGGAAAGCCTGCAGCGGTAGCTTCGCCATGCTCAAGAGGGGAATTCTCAGCATCATCCGCAGTCATCTCAATATCCCCATCAGGATCAGTGTCCGTTTGCGTAGATCCCGGTTGAAATAGATATTGGTGAACTGCCATAGCAAAGTTGGATGCATCATCCTCCTCATCATCTGTAGCCATACCTTCATCTTCCTCAGGCTCCTCATCCTCTTCGACAGTGAAGTCGTTGTTGTCGCTATCCTCATCATCAGGATCTATCCTAGCACGAGCCCGCCTAAGCAATTCGGCTTGATGCTCGATAATTTCGGCACTGTGGTTCTCATGGATTTCATGATCATCAATGCCTTTCATCCCAATATCTCTATTGCTCGCCTGGCTGCCATAACTCCACTTCTTGAGCATTTCTTCACAAATGACCTGGCGTAAGATGTTGTGATCCGGACCAACACTACAACCTGAAATATCAGTAAGCCATTCAATGATGGTACCGCACATCTGCTCTCTGAAAGTATCTCTGGCCGATCGAATGGTGACCGTAACCTTAATCTGCTCTATGATCCGGGAGACATGGAGTAGCTCGTCGACATCGAAGCTATACTTAATAATGCTTCGGCCAATATTATCAGTTTCATAGGCCTTTTCCATCCCCTCAGCAAGAGTCGTCTTGCAAGCCCTCGCGACCTGGTCGCGAACTTCGTAGACTGTATGCTTCTCATCGTTCCACAATAATAACGCAAACTCGCATGGCTCCTCCACGATATCCCCATTATAATACTCAGATCCAAGTCTCGACATTCTTTCGTCCTCCAAGATATTCTGCCGGGATTTGGGAAGGCGTAATTGTTCTGGGGAGCAAGAGATGACATCGCATATATAGTCGAAAGCCCTCCCAATAGTCATGCGTATAGCTTCAACGAGCTCAAGGGGCAATCCCGGTGCCTTTCCCTTATCTTGCGACTGTGATCCTTCATCGTACGCCGTATGTATCGAACAATTAACGGGAACTCGCCAGGCCTCTAAATCGCCACAGTCGCAACAGCCGCTGTTACCCATGGAAACACTGATATATACCATATGCCCCGTATGATCGGAAGAGTCGTAACAACGGCTGCAGAGGACGCAAGTATCATCTGAGCTGCACGTCTTGCATCTATATGTGACCTCCCCACCTTTGAAGATATGACCACAGACTTTGCCTCGAGCTGCTTCTGTGAATTCATCTCCATCTGCCCCGCCTTGGGCCTTTCTTAGCTTCCAAGTCGCACTTGGAGAGGGCCGAGTGTTATCTGGAAAATATAATCGTAGGTATTCGGGCCGGCCCCCGGCAAGGGACCAGAATAGAGACTGGAGGAGTGAGTTTGACGCAGCATCTGTGTATCGATTCTTGTGAACGCGGGGCTGTATCTTCAGGAACTCGCAGAGCTGCTGCTCTTGGGTTGACATAGCCTCCATATTATTTGTATAAATGGATCAGTCGCATATCTCCTATCTGCGAATAGGGTAGCACAGATCGTATGTGCTATGTGTACTGATTCGATTTGGTTTGAGACGCCTTAACCTTATCGTGTGACGTAGACCTGAGCCAGATTGTTCCACAGCACGCCACGGCCAGCTGAGTTGTAGATTATGCTACCGGTAATAATCGAACTTTGATGGGATATTGACTATTCTCTGATGTTGAAGGTACTGAATTTTGTCAAAGGTGTGGCAACCCGGTGGAGCGTTGTGATGCAAGACAATGTTTTATCATAGTTCCGAGCTGTCAAACAATTAGAGGCAAGGCTGCGACAAGCGGGCTCAAGACACATCAGCCAATGATATCAATATATTTTGTAACAGCTATTCATGGCTCTAAATGCATGGATTTCTCTAAGGAATTTATTGAAGTGTGTTTCACATAGTAAAGGGTGGGTGGAAATGCAGTTGTGGTACAGTCGCTCGTCTTTTATACAGCTTCAACTAAGGTTCCAGCTCCAATGCAACACTTTCTAGGCTTTGTTTGCTGAATTCAACGTTTTACATTCTGCAATTCGAGTCGCCCAATCTACTCGTCTTCATCGCCCTCCTTGACATATCTTGACCGGATGTCCTTCCATTGCCGCTGTGGTTAATCGTCAGTCCAAACTCGCCCAACCTTCCTAAGATCAGAAACGTACGCCCTTGTTGATAGAATCCCAAATCTTATCCACCCCCCTATCGAAACTCCTATTGTATGGTCAGAACGACGTTCAATTCGCAACGGCTGGATGTTCGAAGACGTACATCTCGAAGGCAAATGCGCCCGCAAAGATAACGGTGAGGAAGGCCCAGTTCTTCCGAACAAGTGCACTGTAAAGTATTCAACATTAGCAATTGTTTCAGCGGGCCATGGTTTATTCCTCAGCCCTGGGCTCCACGAGGGGTGAATCGGGAAGGACGATGGGGTGACTTGCTTGTAGAGAGGTCGACCGGGAACAGCCTGCAATTGAGCGGGTTAGAAAGAATCAACCAAGTAACACTGAGTTTGGCATTACAAGCTACACATACCATTGTGAATATTTAATAGCAGACGCGAGTCACAGCTTGTGAGAGTGAGTGAGAGAGGCAAGGGCGAGTCTTCTTTGAAATGTTTGTAACTCGCTCGGGAGCTCCAGGTTTTAGCTCCATTTCCACTTCCGACAACCGGATCACGTGCCACACCCAGGCTTGACTAAATTTATCAGCCTTGCTCCAGTCCCTATATTTTTCGACCGCTGTATTGCCAATCTTCAACCCGAGTTCCAGTTTCGCACTTGTTCATGAAGTGGTGCTTCTACACATTATTCTAGGTGAATTAATTCTGGAATGAATTAAGCTACCTAGCGACAGCGGTCCGCACAATGCCGTCCGTACCAACACCCTCAAAATCCGGCATAATCGAGACGACATCCGGAGAGCGTCATATCCCATCCTCCACACGGCCCGACGGCTCAAAACGGAAAGAAATCAAAGTAAGACCAGGATACAAGCCACCTGAGGATGTCGAAGTCTATAAGAACCGGACCGCAGACGCTTGGAAAAACCGTGGGACCAGCGGCATTCCTGGTGCTGAGGGATTGAAAGACGATAAGGCAGATGACTCTGTCGTCAACAATAAGAATGCCAAGAGGAGGGAAGCTAGGAGGAAAGCGAAGGCCGCGGAGCAGAGTGGTGAAAGGAAATCTAAGGACACGGCGAATATTACCGAGCAACAGCTTGGGGCTGGTGAAGAGCCCGTGGACCCAGAGGTTGAGAGGGAAAAGAAGGCTAGAAACCTGAAGAAAAAGTTAAAACAAGCGAAGGAGTTAAAGGAGAAGAAAGAGGGCGGGACTGCTTTGTTGCCTGAGCAATTTGCGAAGGTTATCAAGATCAACGAGCTTATCCGGGAGCTTGATGCGCTAGGCTTCGATGGCGAAGGTGAACCAAAAGTTAAAGTAGAAGAGGAGACGGCCTAGAATCTAGGGATGGGATGTGGCTGTTTATAGGCGCATGGGCATTGGGTTGGATAAACGCGATATGAGGACGGCGTTACGGTTGGCAGCTGGCAGCAGGGAGCTCGGATTTGCATATTCTGGGCTCTGTTTCTGAATCGGTTTATAGCTGGCAGGAAGGGCACCAGGCATATAGAGATACACGAAGTTTCGACTTCCAGAGCACGCAGAGCATACGATGTCGGACATTCTCGGACTTGTGCTTTCTGGTCCAGGTAGGATGCCATTCTTCAACACTTTTTGGAAGAACAAAACAAATATTAAAGTGTAGGATTCCATGGGTCATCAAACACATCTCATAGTGTGGCTTGAAACAAACTCCTAAATACTCTCTCTGACAACTATTCAATTGCTGTTTAATTAGATACGAAACTTGGGCTAAAACCCCACTTCGGCTAGCGCGACATATAAATCCATTACACTCTCGGAATTTTAGCCATGATCTACGCTCTTTCTAACAACGTTCTACGAGTTCCATTCTACGAAAAACAACATTCAATCGTACCCGCGTAAAAGAGGAGAGAGGACGTCTCCCTAACAGCGGCCAAAATACTCACAAAATTCAAAAGATTCATAAACTTTAAATGGCGGATATAGGGAAAATTCCTGTCTGGTTAGACTGTGATCCTGGTAAGCATTACTCGGACAGTAAAAACGACATACGGAATTTGTATATTAACAGAATCAACCAGGCCACGATGTAAGTTCCCAATATATTTGCGACGCCCGTTATAAGTTGTCTTCCTCCTTATTCAACCCCCACTTCGCTACCCGTGTCGTGGAGTTTGGTCCTTGTCGACCGTCACGTGCCATCCGTCCTCTCCGATCCAAAATCACTCTTCCTATTTTGAGTTTTATCTACATTTATTGAGATATGAGATTCTACTCTATCCCTTTTAAGTCCGATGACTTAATTAATCTTTAAGGGGGTAGCAGAGGCTCACCTGCGGGGATCGCAAACTATATTTAAGTCGTGCTAGCAATTTCTCCCTGGCATTCAGTGGTCTAGATGTTGAAATATCTCCTAGTATTATGCCTTTTATCGCATTTAGAACCCTATACACCAATTAATACAGCACGCTAACTTATATCTCTTAGGACGCATTTGCAATACTCCTAGCCGCACATCACCCATCCATACACCTCCTTGGCCTCTCGACTGTCCACGGGAACTCCTCCCTTGAACACACAACTCGTAACGCCCTCTCCATTATCACGGCGATAGGTCGTCCTGATATTCCTGTATATCCAGGAGCATACGCCTCGCTCAACCGGCCCGCAGTTCATGCACCCGCTATCCACGGCATCTCGGGGATCGATGGCACCTCCCTTCTACCGACCCCATTAACGACGGCCAGGGATGATGAGCCTGCTGTCGAAGCCATGGCCTGTTGCCTTCTCTCCACGGCCCCTCAGACAGCTTGGTTGGTAGCAACCGGTGCTCTAACAAATATAGCGATCCTCTTCTCCTCCCACCCAGAAGTAGCCTCCCACATCAAAGGGCTAAGTATCATGGGTGGCGCTATTGGGGGTAACTTCACATCCGCGTCAATGGGCCATGTAGCAGGGGATACAGCGGAAAGGATAGGGAATTGGAGTCGATGGGCCGAATTCAACATCCTTGTTGACCCTGAAGCTGCGGATCAAATCTTCAGCAACTCTATTGTGAATAAGAAGACCACACTTATCCCTCTTGATGTCACACATCAAGTTCTTGCTACGAAGGAAGCCCAGGCACTTATTCTTTGGGGTAAGGAGGGTGTTAGAAGTGCAAAGGGGGATTTGGACGGGATGGGGAAGAGTACATTGAGAAGAATGCTCCTTGAACTTTTGCTTTTCTTCGCAAATACATACGTGGAAGTTTTTGGCTTTAAGACCGGGCCGCCCTTGCATGATCCTTTAGCTGTTGCTGCGATCTTTGATGGAATACCCGGCGTTGAGATCCCCTTTCGCGATTTTGAGGGTGACGGAGGAAAAAGAGAGAGATACGGAGTCCATGTCATAACGGAAGGTACCCATGAAGATGCGCAGAATGGCGCTGAAACTGGCCGTACTATCGTGAAATTGCTACCGGAAGGGGTGGAGGGAGTCAAAATCCCCAGGGGCCTGAATATCCCACACTTTTGGGAAGTGGTGGAGGATTGCTTAGCCCGAGCGGATGAAGTTAATAAGAGTAATGGCATGTTGTAGACTCACATTATACGAATAGAATTATGAAATCACTGATATTATTTTCCCTGGTTCCGTAGGTAGATTAAATAGGCCTAGAGTGTCCTTTTTATATACCTCGACCCCTACGAACCGGCCCCTTTCCTCCTCTCCAACACCTTCAGTACATCTGCAGAGTTATCCCCATCCCCTTTCCTCTTCTTCGGGCCCCGTTTTCTTTTTCCTTTCCCATCACCACCGCGTTCCCCATCCTCCTCATCAGCGCCCCACTGACTTAGCTTGACCTTCTTCTCCTCCATATCCTCCTCATCTTCAAAACGGCTACTTCCAAAGCCGAGATCCATATCCTGCGCATCTCGGTCGTCCAGCTGTAACATTTTCCTTCGTTTCGCCGCCCTCGCTGCCTCCTCGTCGTTCGCTGGTTCTTTAGAAATCGGGTGTAGTGTAGAAGCTTTCTTGAGCGCTGCGAGGAGAGTTGGATCGTTGAGTGCTTTCGGCTGGGAGGATAGTGCATCGGTGGTTGTAATACCTGTATCAGAGGAGGATCCAAAGTAATTTCGTATTTTTTGCTCCTGGGCGGGTGGCGGAGGAGGCATCGCATCCTTATCTCGTTCCGACTTCTCTTGTATATCTGCTTCCACTACTTTATCTCGCTCAGATAACTCACCTTCTTCCTCCTCGGAGCTGTCGCTATCATCCTCCAACCCCGCCAAAGGATCGTAATCATCCCCTACATCATCAAAAATATCGATGTCTTCCTCATCCTCCGCTGGCGCCTTCGGAATCTCAGGGACCTCCATACCCAAAGGCTTCGCATCCTTGTCTGGCATCAAGAGACCGTTGGCTTTTTCAACCTGGGGATCTAGAAGGGGCGCCTTCCTAACTTTCCTCTTCTCATTCCCATGCTCATCAATCGTGATTAGTACCTCCCTTCCCTTGCTGTCCCTCTCGATCCTTGACTGAGCTCTCGGCTCGCCGACTTTCTTGAACTTTGCCCCTAGAGAAGGCTGAGCAGCTGCTTTTGCTGCTAGACGTGTAGCCTTTAACTCTGCAAGTATCTGATCCCTAGTTCTTTTCCTTCCGGTGAGCTCTGGGGGGGCCATCTCCCCCTTTTTAGCGACCTTCTCCTTAACAACAGCCCGAACTTCTTTATCCTCCAACTTATCAAACTCATCATCAATATCTTCATCCTTTTCCTCCTGTTCGGGACTTTCGACTTTGCCCGTAGTCTTCCGTTCCAGCACATCCAAAACCCCCACCTCCCCTTTCCTCGCTCGTTCCAACAACCGCCAATCTAGTCCTTTGACCAACTTAGCCCTATCCATGCCCACCTCATCCCCTAAAATCTCTTCTCTCAACTTAACAAACGTAGATTCATCAATCTGCCCTAATTTCATCATCTCCTCCAGCGCTTTAACCCTTGTCACCTTGTCATCTTCCTGGTCCTCTTCCCCCTCCCCTCCCTCCCGGGCTTTCGCACGATCCACATACCCACTTCCAAATTTTGTGCCTTTCGGCGCTGCAGAAGATTTGAACTTCTTTTGGGTTGAGGAGGAGGAATTTCGTTCTGCTAGCTGGCGCGCGAATTCGTTAGAGCTTGAGTAGCCTCCAACAGTCCGTCTGCGTTTGCCCTTGGTTAGTATAATACTTGCCAAAGAAGGAAGGAGAGAGTGACATACGGCGTCATGGGAATCGAATTTCGCATGCGCGAGCCCAGCGCTGGCGTGTTTTGGACGCCATTCTTAGATTGGGTTCCTGATGGTGAGGATGAAGAGGATTGCCGCGCGGGTGTATCGAGGACTAGTTTGCGGAATTGAGAGTTATTCATATTTGCTGGTGTTGCAGCACGAGGGCTTGTATGGCATGTTGTGGAGGGTAGGGTTGTTGTTGTTGTCGTTGTCGTGATATGAGTTGGAGGATGAGGTTTCGCAGCCTTGTGCTTCGGCTCGGAAAATTTGGCGCCTTGCCACCAGATCGTGGGGAGAAAGGCTGATACTTATCAATTCACGGGGAAAGGTAATATATACTTATATAGGACTACCTATATAGTTATAAAATACTAGCTTAATTCATGTATGCTTTTAGCTCTAGTTTATAAAGAAAATAATTCTAATATTTCCATAGCCTACAAGCTTGAGAACCTACTCCTCCAGCTAACCAATTAATACTAAAGCGACCGCAAGTCCAAAACTCACGAATATCATCCTACTAAATGTAGCCATTCTTGTAACTCAAACCTCTAAAAGTTTGCAGTCTAAAAGCTTCGCCAAGTTCTAAAATACCTTCTTCTCAAAAAGCGTTCCTGACTAACAGAAGTTACGTTACAGAACTAGCCACTCTTCCCTCCAAACCCATTTCATACCCAACAACGTCTATCTCCTAGCCATCACCTCCCCAACACCGACATTCCCCACGATACTTCCCGGGTCACTCAAGCACCCCTCAAGAATCCTCATATACGTGGATGCAAGCTCTTCTAACTCCTTCACCCCATAAAGATAGTCCTGCGCATGGAACAGCACCCTCGCCCCCTCACCACCCCCGGTCTCCAAAACACTGACACAAAAATCGTAACTAACATCTACACCACTGGCATTCCTCTCTCTCAAGAACATCCCCAAATCTCTAGGTCCAAATGGCACCTCCTCAATCGTATGCCTCAGATAATTCATCTGTGCTTGGTACAGCGGGTGATGGGTGGCTGGCATACGCTCAATCCTTAAGTCATCGAGGATTTTGTCAAAAGGATATTGCGCGTGACCTTGCGCAGCGTAACATGTTTTCCTCGTCGCAAGAGCGAGTTCTTGGAATGACGATGAGGGGTTAATAAGGAAGCGGATTGGGAGGTAATTGAAGAAGGGACCGAAGACGTCACGGTATGCGTGCTCTGTGCGATTTGCGTCCACGCTACCAATGCATATGTCGTTTATGTTGAGGATGCGGTGGAGTAATACTTGGAAGACCGCCGTGTGCAGATGGTACGGTGAGATCTTGAGGGTTTTGCAGACGCGCTTAATGGAGGCTGCAGTTTTAGAGTGGAGGTCGCGCCGGACGCAGTGAAGTTTGTAACCTGACATTGTCTGGCGTTCCTTGACTTGCGAGAAAGGGAATAGTGGGAGGATATTAGGGTGAGATATATGCTGCTGTTTCCAGAATGTTTGGCTCTCGCTCCAGGTTCCCGTCGTAAGTGCGATCTGCTCAAGGACGGCATAGTCTGCAGGCTGTTTCGGGGCAGCTTTCACTTCGAGTTGCCGGTAGGCTCGGTCGAGATCTGCGAGGAAGATCTCAATACTTCGTGTGTCAAGGACAATATGGTGGAAGCCTCCTATGAATGCGTGCGAGTTTTCTGTAAGGGACAGGAGAGCAGCACTCATGGTGTTGCCACTCGGAAGATCATAACGACGGTTATTTATACTCTCAAACTCTATGTCCACTTCTTCGTCACTCGACACGGTCTTAACAAGGAGTTGCACCATTGACCGAGCCATAATTTCTTGCATTGGCTGGCCACTATCTTCGTGGTTAAAGAAGCGGGTTCGAAGAGACTCATAGAGGCCCACTGTTGTAGCGAATGCCTTCTCGAATCGTGGAATATCCACAGGCCCATCAATTCGGTATGCCCAGGATAAATTATTCACTCTGGCCGCGGCGGTATGTTGATGGACGCGCCACATTCTAGCTTGAGCAAACGACATCAGCTCGCTCCTGTCAGCTCCAGAAGACTCAGCGTCAGTAAGTGGCGTATAACTTTCTTCAACGGAGGACGCTGAATCTTCAACCTGGCTTCCGGTTTCTTCGGCCTTGCTTTTTGCTGCCTGTGCTACTTTGCTTTGTTCTTCAAGTTGGGCAAGAACAATAGATGACAGCTCCGCTACAGTCGCACCACCCAGAATTTTAAGGATAGGCACGTCAACTTTAAGCTCAACCAGGAACCAACTTCTAATTTCGACAGCAAGCAAGGAATCCACGCCCATCTCTGCAAGAGAAGAGCTGTCAACAATGCTCCCAGTTTCAAGAAGCAGCATTCTCTCGATTTTTGTTAGGAAGGCTGTTGTCATGGCGGTTAAGGACTGGACATGGCTACTCGAGGAAGATAATTGTTGTTTGAGCGGGACGATATCCGCTTTAACTGACACATTCTGTTGCGATAATTGGTCATTCTTGTCAATAACAAGCCTCGACACTCTTGGATCTGCTAGCCAGGCCGACAGGGACTCTCTGGGCGTAACGCCAGTGTCAATCGAACCATCAAGGCCGGCGATAATTTCGGAGCCATGACTAGGATCGGACCTTCCAGCTACAATTGCTTCGGCAAAAATGGTCTGAAGCTCCTCAGCAGAAATGGTCATGACATTTCTCCTCTTCGCGTGTTCATGTTCTTGGCCACCTTTAGTCCGAGCAAGGTACCCAACACCAGAAACAACTCCAATGCTCATAGTAGAGGCAGCAAGCCCCCGTATCCTCCGAGCACTTGCAAGCGCAGACATAAAGCCGTTTGCAGCTGAGTAATTAGACTGGCCAGGATTCCCCACAACCCAGGCAATCGAAGAGAACATGATGAAGAATTCCAAAGGGGTATCCGCAAATAATTCATCAAGATGCCGACTTCCATCAACTTTTGGACCCAAGCATTCATCCATCGCCTCGTAAGTCATGTCTTGAAATGCACCGTCTCGCAATACCATGGCTCCGTTAACTACGCCCCCAACTGGTGGAAGTTGAAGAGCCATCTCGTCATGAAGGGAACGGAGACCATCCTTATCCCTAATATCCAAAGCGGATATTTTGACTATTGCTCCGGCACTCGACATCTTCTCAATCCAGTTTTTATCAGGCTGGGGGTTTCGGCTGGTGAGAACAATATAACGCGCACCTTGAGTGATCATCCACTCGCATAGTGATCTACCCATAGTTCCCGTGAGGCCCACGAGGAGGTAGGTTTTATTCTTGGAAAATAATGTGAATGAGTCCATCACTGTTGTAACCTGGACAGGTAATACAACGTCTTGAGCCCAGTTGATGATGCGTAGACTGTGGCTGTTGGGCTTGATTCTAGAAACGTTTGATAGAGAGATTTCACGCTCCTGTAAGAAATCCTCATGGCCCCGAATTTCAAAATCGGTGATGGATGGAAGCGCCTGCAAGCAAGTTTCCGTTGCGGCCATTCCAACGCCAAATTTTGCATACTCACTCTGATACTCATTCGAAAAAATATCGACACAGGTAACGTCCTCAAAGCAAGCTTTGATTTTTGAACTCAAATGGTGCTGAGAGCAATCAATAAATGTTTTGATAGGTACTTTATCCAGGACTTGTCTGATGCTGCGTTGAGTAGCATGGGGGTGAATGTGAAGTGTTGATTTTGGTGAAGATTCCGTTCTCTTTGATGATGAGAATGTCACCCTTATATGGTGACCACACCGTTGAGCTTCGTTTGAAAGTATCTCACAGAGTATGGGATCGCCTTCGTGCACCAATACCGAACCGTAAGGCAACAAAGTCTGCGCGACTAGTTGGCAAGACAAGAGATATAGGAACTGTGCTTCTTTTCCAATCTCCACACTCGTCTCAAAATACACCGAGGCGGCCGGTGTGATGACGGAAGCTTGAACTTCCGACAGAGCAATGATTTGTTTTCTAGGAGAAGAAAGGTGCCCGAGGCAAATATAGAACCGGGAGGATCCAATTTGTACCTTTTGCAAAGTAGAATGAGTAACAGTAACCGGAGAAGTAGTGCTATCAGTTGTAACCTTTCGCTGTCGCAAAACATAAGAGGTCTTTTCCACGAGCACTTCAACAGAAGTTTCCAAGGGATTAATGCCTTCAGTAATATGTCGACGTTGAGAATTGAGTCGGTTATTTGGAGAAACATCCTCTACAATTCTCGGTATAGAGAAAACACCACCGCCATATTCAATTTCAGGCTCAAAGTTTGACAAAACACCGCAGGGGCTTGTAGATGGCATATGCACCAATCTGATGAATGTTTCAGCAATGACTTTCGCGCCCAAGCTCTCGCTCTTTATCCCTAAGACCTGAATCCGTAAGTGAGGTACCTCCAGTCTCAATGAGCGTACAAGCCCGAGCAAGATGCTTGAATATGGATAGTCTAGTCCGTCGGTTCGAGTAACGAAGAGTATCCTATCGGCTTGAACAAATATCTTTTGAAGACCTTGATGTTTTTGTTGTGTGAGGTTCTTGAAAATGGGATCATCCAATTCCGCCAAACATAGTATAGGGTTCCCATGGGGTAGGCTTGATAGCTCCGAGATACGGACTGACTTGGCATGGAATTGCACTTGAGCAATGTCTGCCAAAATCGACGAGATATTTTCCACTAGCAATCCGGTTTCGGGGGAGCAACCACCCAAAATAGATATCTGCTGAAGTGGCGAATCCGTGCTAGAAAGTCCTAGTGGATTTCGAAGAAAGTTTACTGAGTTGTCAGTAGCTTGGGAAACAAGCACCCCTCCAAGATTCACGAAAGGGAAGTTGCTGTCATGCACAATTCTGTCGATTCCTGAGAAGCCGCTCTCTCGAAGCAGAGCATCCCATCTTTCTGGGCTAACCATGGGTCCCCATTTCCTATCATCACCTCCTACCCACCACCCAGGCAATCCAGACATCATAAATCCACTTCGCAAGGTAGCTTCGGAGCCTTCAACCAGCAATAGGAATCCTCCAGGTTTGAGAAGTGACCTGACATAAGACAGAGTAGCATTGAGGGACTTTGTGGCGTGAAGAACCAGGGACCCAATAACCAAATCATAGGAATGTTCATCGTATCCTTGGTCTATGGGATCTCGTTCTAAATCGAAGGTCTTGAAGATCATTTTCTGGGCATGATCTTGGAACCGACATTGTGCTTTCTCAAAGAAGCCCGACGACACATCTGTAAAGGTGTACGACAAGAAGTAGTTTTTTAGAGCTTGCAAAACATGGCCTGTTGCCCCACCAGTCCCAGCACCAACTTCAAGGACTTTCATTTTTGGGTAGCGATGAGCGATTCGCTCAACCATCGTTTCAAGAATAGCATATGCCTTCTGATACCCAAGGCCGAGTTGGTAGTATTGATTCAGTTTATCCCCTTCCATCATGAACTCAAGCATAGTTCTTCGCTCTCTAATAGCAATTGGTAAATTCTCACCCACGGTGCGAATCAACTGCAGATCCGCACAGTTGGAGTGTTGCTCAACAATAGAGAGGATCTTTTCATGCGTATCATTTGCCCATTCTCGCTTGACAGTAGGGATCTTACCAGCTGAAAGCTGAGGGAGAAGATGATCAATGTATGCAAACAGTCTCCGGTGATGCCATTCAGAAGTGCGAAGCTCTTCTGGGGTTATATTTTGCTTCAAGGCTCGGTAATAGTACCATGCTACCCGATCGCAAGCCGCAACAAGGTCTTGCTCTTGCGTAGAATACTCTGGAGCATGGATCGGAGCAGGACTTAGGATATCCGGCTTCCACACTGTGGTGGAAAACAACCTTCTATCGTTTGATGGTTGCATAGTGGTGAGTGGCATCCATGAAACATCCTCAATCTGAACCTCAAGCTGCCCGTCATCGTTTACAATATCGATGTCTCCAGACATTCCAGAATGTGAATGCTTTAACACAACTGAATGAAACGAAACTTTCGAGCCATGCGGGCGCCTCTGGCCGGATCGGATATTGACTAGAAGGCGGCTAATTCTTCGCGGTATGAGCAATGGCGAGAAATACCCATCATTGAGTGAGTGGAATGCAGCGAGCATTGTTTGCAAGCCAAGATCAAGAGTTGCGGGATGTGCCAAGTAGTCAGTCTCTAGCATTGTTGTTGTAGCTGTCGAAGTATGGCCCTGTTTGTATATTGAACTTAGGCCTCTGAAAAGTCCAGAGTACCGATATCCAGTATCTTGAAGATGGGTATAAAATCGATCAGCATCAACAGCATCCATTGACTGAGCATCATGAGACATTGAAGGGATTGAATCCAGTTGCATATCTTCCAGATGGACAATAATGTTTGCCTCGAAGGTTGGGTCCAAAGAAGCAGACGAGAGTTGTCCCCCAGAAGAGCACGAAACGGACAGTGCAATAGCTTCCTTTCCTGGCTCTTGTGTATTGTGTTTGATGGTGATTATTGTTTCACTTGTGGAACCTTCTTCGAGCGTAATGGCCTTGATGATCTCAAAATTCAGAATTTCCATACTTTGGATCTCATGTGCAGAACAAAGAGTTCGGGCCGCCTCCAGTGCCATAACAACATACCACATTGCAGGAACCACGGCTTGGCCCTGGAGCCCATGGTCCCTGAGCCATGGTATTTCCTTGAAGGAAAGTATGTTTCTCCACCTCATTTCGTGATCACTATCACTTGGCTCGCGGGTACCCAGTAGGTCGTGATGAGGAGTGTCCCGTATCCGATATTTCCTGGACAGCCTTGATTCTCTGTAAAAATCTTGCTGATGGTCCCAAGAATAGGAGGGGAGATTTTTCAGCACGGTCGGACGACCGTTTTCAAACCCTCGAAATGCCGCACGATATGTCTCAAAATATACGCTTGACGAGCGTTTGCGCTCCCAAATAAGACCTAGATTTGTTGACATTGCCTTTATGCTACCCTTCTTTCGCTCCAGGGTTCCAACATAAGAAATCGTTGCTGGCTTTTCAGTAGACTGTGCAGATGCTATAAGCGTCTCGGTTGCTGGCCCTTTCAAGGCCGGGTGAGGCCCAACTTCTACCGCGATATCGAAAGGCGCAGATCTTGAAATAGCTTTGGTTACTGCCTGAGAGAACAAAACAGGTTTGATCATGTTATCCACCCAGTATGTGCTGTCAAGCTCAGTCAGTTGTCCTAGTTCATGCACACTTGAAATCCATTTGCATTGGCGCCCGCCATCTGGCAAGACTGTTATCCCACACTGAAGGAGAGATTTGAGATAAGGCTCCGAACAGTTCCGCATGTGGTGCGAATGGTAGGCGGTATCGACGACAAGGCGTCTAGCAAATGTATTTTGCTCCTCTAGGACAGCCTTTGCCTCATCAATCATATTGCTATCCCCCGAGAGCGTACAGCTGGATGGCGAGTTGCTTGCTGCCACAGATATCCGGCCTGTAAACTGAGCTCCAGAGCAGAATGCTGTTGCATCTTCAAAAGACAGTCCCACAGCCATCATGGCCCCTTTGGATCCATCCTTGCCACCAGCGAGACCTGCATGTAAACCTCGATAATATGCTATCCTAATTGCGTCAAATGCTGAAATATAACCTGCCGTATATGCCGCTCCAATTTCCCCGGAGGAATGGCCTACTACGGTATCGAAGGAGACGCCAGCCAACCGTAAAAGGTCAACTAGTACCACTTGGATGGCAGTACATAGAGGTTGAGATAGCGCTGCTTCACCTAATCGGGAGGTTGATGCAGGGGCAAAAAGTTCTTGCTTGATAGACCACTTTGGCGGGTCTGGAAGAGTGGCAAGGGAAAGTTCAAGATCAGCAACGATATTAGTTGCTAGGGAAGATCCCTCAAGAAGATCCTTGCCCATCATGGCATATTGTGCACCCTGTCCAGTAAAGATTCCAAGCAATCGGGAGTTCGAAACTTGCGACCGGAACCCTAGAGATGTTTTCGGAGGTTGTAGAGTCTCCTCTATTCTTGAGAGTAGCTGATCTCTCGACGATGCGCTTATTGCTAATCGAAATTGAAACTGAGATCGACGGGACTGTAATGTGTACGCTAGGTCTTCAAGGTCGATCTGTGGATTTTCTTCAATATACCGGGCAATCGCTTGGGTACGTGATGCCAGTGATCGTTCAGATTTGGCAGAAATAACTATAGGCGTTATAAGCGCTTCGGTGGAAGCTCTCCGTGCAGTTGTGGCTGGCGGATTCTCAAAACTCTCGATGATCACATGCGCATTAGTTCCGCCAAAGCCAAAACTATTGATGCTAGCTCTCCTTGGACTTCCCGCTATGATCTCTGGCCATGGTTGCTTCGTTGTGGGTATTTGAATTTGCCCATAAAATGGCTCGATTTTGGGGTTCAGCGTATTGAAATGGAGATTAGGCGGAATGGCTGCATTCTGAATTGCACAAGACGCTTTTAAAAGTCCGGCTATTCCAGCAGCACCTTCCAGATGTCCAATTGCCGTCTTGACTGAGCCCACGAAAAGGGGCGTGTGCCCGGATTCGACCGATGAGCTTGGCTCATGAATTACTCCAAAAAAGGCTTCATGAATGGCCTCTGCCTCTATTGGATCGCCAGCTGGGGTTCCCGTGCCATGCGCCTCAAAGTATTGGGGATGATCTGACTTCTTCCGAAGGTCGAGGCCTGCTCGCTCATATGTTTTTCGAATCAGAGCAGTTTGTGCAGTAGCACTTGGCATAGTTATACCGGTCGTTTTTCCATCTTGTCCAACTCCGGTCTCTCGGATGATACACTCTATGTAATCTCCATCTTGCAATGCCTGGCTAAGAGTTTTGAGCACGACAGCACCAAATCCTTCCCCCCGAGCATAGCCGTCTGATTCCGAGTCCCACATCCTAATGTGACCATTTGGAGATAGCATTTGGAGATTAGACAGAGCAATATACTGTTCAGGTCCGAGAATTAGATTGCTCCCCGCAGCTACAGCAACAGTTGCATCTCCATTGCGCAGCGTTTGGACGGCTTGATGCACGGCAACAAGACTGGACGAGCATGCAGTATCTATACTCATACAAGGCCCCTTCCAGTCGAAGAAGTAGGATATTCTCGCGGCAAGAATACTTGCATGGGTACCAGTAGCAGCATATTCTGGAATGCTGGCTGGATCCCGAATAGATGTAGAATCTCTAAAATCGTAACTCATCCCTCCAACAAAGACTGATGTTTGCGAGCCCTGCATGCCTTCAATCGTCATGCCGGCTGACTCCAGCCCCTCGAAGACCGTTTCGAGAAGCAACCGCTGCTGGGGATCCATGGTCTCTGCTTCGCGAGGGTGTATCTGGAAAAAGGCCGCGTCGAAAAGGCGATGGTCTGCTTCCATAAAATATGATCTCCGAGTATTTGAGGTGCCATGGTGGCTGCCTTCTGGATGATAGAAGCCATCAACATTAAAGCGACTGGATGGGATCTCTCTTGAGATGTCGAAAGGGGCTTCTAGGAACTCCCAGAGCTTCGATGGGTTTGATGCAGGGCCTGGGAACCGGCATGCGCTGCCGACTATCGCAATAGGTTCCCTTCGGGAATAGTTTGCAGCCATATTGGCGAGCGAATGGTTGTGTCGTCACGCCTAGTGACTTTGGTACGACTTTCAAAATCTCTCTTCACGCTCCATTAACTCAAAAATATGGGGTATGGAAGGTCAGCAGTTATATGATTGCTTCTAACCCCGGCGTTGACCACAACCATGGACTCGGGTACAATTGAAAGTTAGCTAGGGTGCCAGGTGGTAATCAGGTGGCACTTCAGCCTGGGGGGGTAATGGTGTATGCTTAGTCGGACGTTTTCGTGTTCAATATTGGTAGGTACGTGAAGATCCCTTGAAGGGATATTCAAAACCGAGACTTCGACGGAGATAGCGAGAGCGCGAGCCGTGGGGGTTTCATAGGTCCACTTATAGCTATGGTGTTCTTTCAATTTCCAAAGTAAATCCAAGATGTCTCAACAGATAGTTAAGGAGGGTGTGACATAAGGGAACAATTGCACTCGGCTCTGAATGGGGGAAAGCCACGCGAGAAGTTTAAGAATGGACCGCATGAAATGGGAATCACGAACCATAATTAACTATCTGCAAAGTAATACCACATACGTTCATATACACAATGTAGTGTGAAGTGAGCACTGGGAAGGGGTGGAATGGCGGGCTTAGATGTTGACAGGGGTCACTCGGCATCCCGAAAATCTCCCTTGAAGTAGCGAATGCAAGATTCAAACAATTGCAGGCCAACGGCGGATAAGGTGCTTGCAACATGGCAAGACCCATGGCTGCAGTCTACAAATCGACGACAACGTGAAAACTACTTGCAAGGCACCGAAATTGAAGCCTGGAGATGAATCCTTACGGAGTAGTAGGTTGCTTGAGAGGTGGGGACAGATCCTTGAACCCCTGCTCGCTCGTCAGCGTGTTGCAACTTGCAACCCGCAACTTGGATCCTGGTCTCAAAGAACTGCCTCTTATTTTATCTAGCGGGCACTTGGCATGGCTTTGGATAAAAAGTAGATTTGCTCTAGGCATTTGCTACATTTTGAAACTCATGAAATCGGTGGAAATGGTATTTTGGGAGGGAGGGAGATGTGAGATTCGAATTTAGAGCCTCAACTAAAGCTCCTTTGGCTTTGATAATGGAAAGACAATATATTCAGCGCTGTCGCTGCTGACAACGGTGGGCCTCCCCGAAAATCTAGGTACAGAGACAGCAGCGCCTCCAACGCTGCAGCTTGGGGGGGGCTCAATTTTCTGGAGGGTAGCTAAACGTCAGTTGGACACTACATACCTGCCTACTCATCAAATCTAGATGTGAATCACGGACGCCCCGTCCTACAGGTCTCAGTGGCGCATGGCGGGGAAACAGGTAGTGGATGACTTGCACATGCCATGCTGCTGACTCGCAACGAGGTATGCATCGCAGTAGGATGCCATGATTGGATTTCATTTGGATTTCATTTGAAGTGGTTTGACGGCGGGGGTTGGTGGAATTGACAGCGAGGTGTTAAGTGTTGGTAGTTGAGTTGGCGTCGTTGTCTAGGGAATATCTCGCCCAGCCATTCCGGGTGTGGCGTGCGGCATAGCTGCGGCGCCCTCCACTAGCAGCCGTCACGACCTAATCTTAAATGACCTCCCCCACTTTATCTCCTTCACCCTCTCTTCACTCCCTACTTCACACAACATACAAACACCCCTCTTCCTCAACTTCCTTGTTCTTTGTGGTGGCTTACGCCGCTTGATGGACTTGGTTTCCCAGTTACTCTCCCGCTGCCCCTTACCTCAACTCGCAGTAGCGGCCCACAGGGCACGTTGTTGGCAAGAAAAGCCATCGATCCTTGACGGCTTCCCCAGCTTTTTGCCCAGGGTAGCTTAGCAGCTCCCTTATACACTCCATGCTGCATTCCTTCGCCCGGTATCAGACCACCCTTCCCTCTCGAGCCTCGGAATTGCCCTCTTTCTTTAGACTTGGGGCGCTGTTTATCTCGGTGCCTGTTCTCACGTAATTTGGAAATCCATCGCGTATGTTGGATTGTTAAGGATCGGAAGTGACCTCCGAATTTGTGAATTTGTGCTTTCCCGCCGAGTGGCCTAAGGATAGATCGCTGGTTTTAACACATAGCGCTGACTGAGACTGTCGAATGAATGACTAGGGCTCGTATGGATCTGCATTGTAAGATATTACCAAGCCACCAACTAATCAAGTTGTGAGATTGGGAAAACTAACATTTTCATACGGAGTAGTTGCTGATGTTTTATTCTCAGCTTAGCGGACGAGACATCTTGAGGAAATTCCACCGCAATATTCAAGTATCTAGACATCTATTTTCCTGCATGTCCATTGGAGTAAACTGCACCCTGTAGAGCACCGATCCCATTCTCTGCCTTCTGACCATCTTTCAAAACCTTCCTCAGTGTCTTCCCCGCCGCACTTCTCGGTATCCTGCTCACAAATTTAACACCACCGGCAAGTACCTTATATGTCGCCAATCTCCCCTTCAAATACAATTTAATATCCTCTTGCATCTCCGTATTTCCATTTATTCCATTGAACCTAGTCCCACCCTTTTCGTTCAGGTCACCTTTATCATCCATCATTATCCATTCCTCCCCACCCTCAAGAACAACATATGCCCTCGGCACCTCCCCTCTCTCATCTCCCTCATCCACGCCTACAACTGCAACGTCTTTCACCATTGGATGACCTAGCAAACACGCTTCTAGCTCTGTAGGAGAAACTTGCCATCCACGAACCTTAATAAGTTCCTTCTTGCGATCTGTGACATACCATTTTCCCTCAGGGGAGACATAACCGATATCACCACTAGCAAGCCAGCCATCTATAATAGTTTCTTTCGTGGCGTGGGGGTTTGAAATATAGGATGTCATTAGGGAGGGGCCGCGGAGGTAGATTTCTCCTGGGATGGAATGGGTGGTTATTGGGAGGTTGGTTAATGGATCCATGATTCTGGGTGGTTTGTCAGTTAGGTTCCCTCCGTCTTCCCTCAACCGGAGTAGAATGTTAAGAATAGGGGGAAATACTTCGCCTCCATACTTGGTAACAATCTCCCCACGCTCCCCGTGTCATCCTTCTCAGGAAAATGCATTGTAACTATCCACCCAATCTCCGTCATGCCATAAACCTGCGCCACGATCGCATCAGGGTTCAAAATCCCACTGAGTTTATTTTGTACAACAGCATCAAGTGCCACGCCTCCGCACCAGACAAATCTTAATGAGTCCAGCGCCGCTCTTTCACTTTCCGGCAGCGCGAGGAGATTGAAGATGATAGGGTTTACCATAGTGGTTTCGCTGATCTTGTAGCGTGAGATGAATTCTGTATACTTGGCGGGTTGATAACGTTTCATCACGTAGGTTGTGTGGCCTTCTCTTAAAGGGGCGATGTGGGCAATTGGGGCGTTGAAGGCGTGGAATTGAGGGAGGCAGAGAAGACGGATGACCTATAACTATTTTAGCACGTTTCTTTGGTTTCATGGAAAACGGAATAAGTGTAAGAGGAATGGTACTTGATATGGCTTCTCTTTTGAGTCGTAGAGCATTATGCTTTGTGCTATTTGAGCATAATGCGAGATTTCGGCTGCTTTCGGCATACCCGTCGTCCCACTAGTTGACATCAATGCTACAGTCGTAGCTTTGGCTTGTTTTTCGTCATTGAACGATATCCAATCCTCTTCTCCGTGGTCAAGGAGGGATGTCCATAATTTTAGATCAGATGAAGAAGATTGATCTTCAGTGGAGGAGCTGAAAATGAAAACATTGGGCGAAGAGATACCCACTTCCTTAGTCGCTGGCAGTACGCTGGAGAGGAATCCAGGTTCGGTGAGAACGCATTTCACTTCAGATAATGTGAAGAGGTGGATGAGTTCTGAGGATGTCCATGACGGATTCGATCCCACGAAACGCCCGCCAAAGCCAACAACTGCGAGGTATATGAGGGAGTAGTTCACCTATTTTCAGAGTGAATATTTTAAAGAAGATAATTCAGGTACGTGTACGTACATTGTTGAAGGAGTGTAGGCAAACGCTATCTCCCGCTTTTAAACCCAGCGCTCTGAATCCCGCAATCAATTTCCGGACAGAGCACTTGGCTTGATGGTAGGAGATGGATTCGGATTCATTGTATGCATTAATAAAAAGCTGTACTCATGTCAGCTAGTCCCAGTAGAGGGGTTTGTATACACGTGGGTTCAGAATCTTACGGGCTTATTGAGGTCATATTCTGGGTTTCCAAACGTCCATGAGAGTAGGTCGATATGAGGTACATCCACATATCGTGACGGCTTGAATATCATCTCATCCATCGTAATAAGATGGAAATGCCACGATATTGATGTGGCGTGGTTCGACTGCAGTGGTTTTTTGTGTTAGTTATAAGAGTAAGGGAGACTTACTTACTTCCTATCTGCCTAGAGACCTCAATATTACCTTTTTAGGATTAGATTCAGGGGGGGGCTGCTCCTTCTCACTCGCTAGGCTGGACCTGATCTTCCGATCCCCGCTGCTTTGCTCAAGCTCGCCACACTTCACGTCCACCCACCTCAACCTTCACTCGTAGTATTATATTTGGGACGGCATGGTTGGGGGTTTAAGGGGATCCACGAAGCATATCGACGCGATGTTCGAATGTATTCTAAATAATACGTTTGCACTAGGATCCCCGTCTGTTGCAGTCATATCTACAGTTACGCAAGTCGCCGTGATATTGTTAGATATCCGGAGGTTACCGAGTATTTAGAGATTATCCAGGTGAGCTTAGATTTAGATAGCAAAATGATGAGGTCCTGTGTCTGCCCTCCAGGGTAGAGTGATGTAGGGAATCATCGGCGGATGGTGTACTGTACATAAACTGTAAGCTCTTTCCCTGGATAGGTCCTTAATCCACATGAACATATTTGGTAGGTTATGGATAACAAAACCGGTCATGAATAACAACATCGATTCATAATCTTTGGTTTTGTTTGCTTTGTTTTGTTTTTTAGTTTGTCCTACCTACCTATTTCAAGGGGATGTTAGCGTAGTTGGAACTGACATTAACTGGTCCGAGCGCTGCCGAGCATTTAACTTCACATGACATCTTGAACACTTTTGACTCCTAACATTGTCAACATAATGTTGCCATAAAGCAGCCTGCTCACTGATCCGGATATAATCAGATGTTATTCAGGCTCCGATTTGAGCAAGATACCTAGGTAACCTTGGTGCTCCCACTTTCGAACCAACTCTGCATCCGAACCCGAGTCAATGCCACGCTGCCCATGCATCACGTACTGCCTAGTACATGACCACGGTACTGTACTTGTACAGAGTGCGTAGCTTTGCCGAGTGCAATATGTAGTAAGTGGTAGGTACTCCTTTTCCCCCACCGAGTAGAGCTTGTCCGGCTATCTGCAAAGCATGTTGGAAGCCGAGATGGCCCCAATCAATCTTGGTCTGAACCAACTTTTCTTACCTACCCACCATTCACAAGAGCGCTATTCATTGCTGCCTACGCGTTTGTATGTATTGCACTGTTGCATGCTCTGACCCCCCCCGAATGAATTATCTAATTGGAAGGGGGAGCTGTGCCATAATACTGCAGGGCTGGGGCAAGTTGGGAAAGGTTACAGGAATCTAGCCTTCAATGCCCCCGATAGATACAATGCCTGTAAGATTACCTGTTGTACCCCACCTACTACTTCAGGAAACTATCAGGCAGCTCACCCTATCTTCCTGGTACCTTGTGACAATCAGTATCATGACCCCGACAATTTTTAACTCCAATCCCCTCTTGTGGTAACCTGTTAGAAATCTAGGGTTTCCAGCTCGAGTCGAGAAATTTCTGTCTCTATCTTCTCCAATTGACCCCTCTCACTTTCTCACTCTGGCTCGAGAGCGTTATTCTCTCCTTGCCCAGCTCTCACTTTCTTCCCCTCCAGAGTATCTCATCGATTGAATAATTATTTTCAAAGATGGCGATAACGCTTGATGATATGTCCGATCTAGGACCGCCAATCTCGAACTGGACCGGCCGTTTCTACATCGCCTTTACAGCATTAGCATTTGTCGTCGTGACAGCCTATACATCACGCCCACTCTCCCTGCGGATACTAGTTACCGCAATGGTAGCTTCCGACATCTACCTACTCCTCACTATGCCAGATATCATGGGCCATATTCCTGGCTTCGATCCACTGATCGCAAACTTTATTGTAGCAGATCTGATGCGAGTAGTCGATCTATACTTCCTACGGGACGAGTCTAGAGCTCTGAAGAAAAAGGATGGTGGCGATAGCAAGGGCGATGTCAAAGGGCAGAAGAAATTCATCAAAATGTCCGGATTCCAAGCTTTCGACTACCTCATATTCAACCACCGCAATATCGGGACTCCAATTCAAGCTAGAAACGTACCCAAATTCGACCCTTCAAACCCCTCATACACCCCTTCACGTGGCAAATTCCTCCTACGGAAATTCCTCACGATCTTCCTCGCCTACGGACTATTAGATTTACTTACTTGTCAACCTGCACCTGATGCAGCACTTTATTCTCGCAGACAAGAATTCTTTTTTACGAGGTTGAACGAGGTTACTTGGGATGAAATCTACTTCCGCATATTGACGAACTTGAATCTATGGGCTTCGACTTATTTGCTTATTCAATATGTATATGCAATCGTCGCCTGTGTCTGTGTTGGTAGTGGGCTTTGGAAGCCGGCAGATTTCCCACCCCTTGTAGGGTCATTGGCTAAAGATTACACGATTCGCAACCATTGGGGGTAAATATTAATTTTTATTTTCCCTCAACTTCCCAGTTTAACCCAACTAACTGAAATTAATAGTCGTTTCTGGCACCAAGTAATCCAGTACCCCCTAACAACAAACGGCGCCGCGCTCACCAAGGCTATCCTTCCCCGTTCTCTACAACGCGGTTTCATTAGCCGCTACACTAAAATCTTCTTCGTCTTCACTCTCTCAGGCGTTTCCCACGCCGTTTCTCCCTTAGGATCCACAAAGGGATCCCAACAAATCCGCGGCACGATATTCTTCTTCCCTGCCCAAGTGATGGGGATCATGGTTGAGGATTTTGTGATAGCTGCTTATAATAAGGTGAGTGGGAGAGATGGAAAGTCCGAGACGCCATGGTGGGCCAAGTTGGTTGGTCGGGTTTGGGTTATGGCTTGGATGTGTTGGTGTTGTCCCATCTGGGTTTATCCTACGTTGAGGCGAGGGGGAGAGGGGATGGTGCCGTACAGTTTTATTAGAAATACGAGGAATCTTAAGGAAGTTTGGGAGTTTTAGGGGTATGGAGTCATTGGAGTGTTTGGGGGTGGTTGGCTAGTGAGCGAGAGGGAGGGAGTTGCCTGGATTTAAAGGGGTTGGTGGAAAGTTGAACATGAGCGTGCTAATAAAAATGAGGCAGTTCCTGCTTATTCATCAAATACAAGAATCTGAACAAATAAATGAATCGATATAGGGGAGCGAGATCAACATAGTAGATAAATTAGATGGGCTACATTTTCTATTGTTATGGTTTCCTCGTAATTTCAAGCTGATTCAATTATAAAACTAGGATTAGAAAGTGAGTAATCCGAGAATTGCAAAACATTTTATGTAGTAACATACCCCGTCAGGGTCTTTACCACGCTAAACGGTAAAAGCAATCCGCTATCCCCCGTAATCGGCCTCCTAAGTCCAGGATAAATCCACATAGGCGTCGTCCAGGCCAGCCACGCCACAACCCACAAACCTCCCACAATCCTTCCAAAAAACTCCGGTTTTGCATCCCAGCTTTTCCCCCTAACACGTCTCCACAGCTCTTGTACCCCATCCTCAACCATAATTCCCACGGCCTGCATACAGAAAAACTCCAAAGCTCCGCACTCCCGGATGGGTATCACGCCCCAGGTATCACTCATCACATGGCAGAGGCCCGAGAAGAAAAATGTACCTAGGATGGATGAGTACCTGTGGATGAGGGTTTTCGGTGGGATGTGCAGGGCGGTGTCTATGAGGAAGGTGGAGAGAGTGGTTAGTTTATTGCGGAGGAGTTGGTGATAGAATTTCCTATATGGGGGTTGTCAGTCTGCTATTCGATATTGGGGGTAGAAGTGGGCAGGAAAGGGATGGAAGGAAGAGGCAGTCATAAATCGAAAATCATCGTACCCCCAAAACTGCCGTATTGACCAAATATCTGAGAAACTCCCAAACAGTGGTGGCCATCCCCTCGGTTCATAGAACCCCACCAGCACCGTTCCAAACGCCAACGTAGAGTGGAATAGTTGTAACAACAGGTAAGAGCCTATCCAATGCCCGATAGAAATCGAAGCTCTTAGGCCTAACTCTCCACCTGTGATACTTCCGAACCGCGAGAAGAAGGGCACTTTATCAGCGGCGAAAAGTAAGTGGTTTTGTGAGGGATCGCCCCACTCGCGAAATGTCATGAGGTCGAGGAGGAGGTACGAGCTCACTGCTTTAATGAGGGTGCGCAAGAGAAAGGCGCCACGGGAAGGTGTATACGTGGGATCAGAAGTCTTGAATGGTGGGATGTTTTTTGCTTGTTGCGGTGTTCCGATGCGACGTTGAGAACTGAGGGTTGTTAAACCGAACCATACTCGCCTCATAAACCCCCCCTTCACCTTTTCTTTCTCGGATGGTGCAGCTTCTTTCGGCCCTTGAGCTTCGGTTTTAGTTTTGGCTAGCCCATCATCGTCAAAATTCTCCCTCAGAATAAGCCCGCTGACGATGAATTGAGTGAGCCATGCGCCGGTGATTCCACCGATCAAATTGCTTAGCAATATGCTCGGAATCACCCGCGAGCATGTTTGACCCAGTGTCCAAATGGAGGCGCCGATTAAGGAGAGTCCTGCGGGCCGTAGGATCGAGTCTGGTGCTGTGAAGCCGAGCCCGAATACGCCTGCTGCGAGCTGGAGGCCGACAAGGCTAACAACGCCAGTGACAGATTGTGGGGGCTGATTTGAGAAGATGGAGATTGGGAAGATAGTTGTTTGGGACATCATATGATATGCCATTCTCATGCCTATTCCGTGGGATGTGGCCCCTGTAGGGATTTGTTGACGTTATAAGAGCGGAGGCCGTGCGAACTATGGTGGTAAGAGCAAGAACCTGTACATTCTGTTAATAGAGAAATGAAGATACACATCTGGCAAACTCACCTCGCCGAGTCGCCGTGCACATAAGCCGCCACAAGTTTGATGAAGCCTAGTGCCGTAGGTAGCAACTCCGCAGGACGAGTTCTGAATATTTACTCATCCGGTCGACATGCTCGTTCAGTCGGAGAACACGCCCAGTCGGACTCTGTCGAAGTACTTCGTACGAGTCCAGTCGTATTCGTCCAGTTCGTAATACACACCCAATACCTTAACAGGATCGTGGATCAGTTCAGGACAATAGCCAAGAATTTAGGTTGAGTTGGCCTAGTAATTACCTAGGTAAGTACGAAGTATGTTGAAGTTATTTACGAAGTTGCGTACGTCGACAGGTAGTAGTAGCGGAAGGATTCACGAAGCAGGGCCAGGGGTTACGCGAGAGGGCTATAATACTACCTGACATCCTACAATGCCCCAGGGATCATCCAACCACCTCCATTTTCATTGTCATTTCCACCTTCCATCTTCCTCAGGTTATTGACAACTCCACGTGGCACAGAACGTGCGGCGTCAACAGCGCCCCCCAATCTGCGGTGCACCATATCCACCAACGCGGGTCTAGGCAGTGATACATGGACTAGGCAGCACCGTGAGAACCGTCCAGGACCACGCTCCATCCCATACTACCGGTAAAGAAAAGCCTGTGGAATTGAGTTGAACTTAGCTGAGTTGTCCACTGTGTGGAATTTCTTGAGCTTCGTGAACGGCCCAGTGCGACTGCCATAGCATTTAATGACAAGATGCTCGAATCAATACTCCCAGCACCACGGGACTTCTTCAGTCTATCTGGCATGTTCAGAACCCTTGCACCCATTATTATCTACATTATCTGGAATAGGTACTTCCGCGATGCGCGATTCAATGTTCCAAAGCTTGTCACAAAGACCCAGGCGGCGCTAGGGGATAGCAAATTCGATTCTCTGGATGATATCATGAAGGAGTGCTATCAGAAAGACAAGAACCGCATCTACAAGGTCGAACATCCACATAAGGATGTCGTTATTATTCCGGCCAAGTATGTTGACGAACTGAAGAACTTGCCGGATGAGCAGGTGAATTTCCTTGAGGATATTAATGAGGTGAGTGTTCCAGAGCGTGTGCGTTGTGGGCAAAAAATCTGGTATGAAATGAAAGTTAATATTTTTGATTGCAGAGGTTTCTGGGTGATTATACCAAGATGATCGCTCCCGGCGGAATTCATGATGAGACTCTCACCCATACCATCAAAAACAGTCTCAATTCAAACCTTGGTATGTCTTCATAAGCTTATGTTATCTTCTAGATTGGAGATGTTTAAATTTCTAACGGATATCAGGGAACATTATGGGCGAAATCCAAGAAGAAATCTCCTATGCCTTCTCCCAAGAAATAGGAGAATGTAAAGGTATCTTCCCCCTTTTCACTCATCACGTGTTTCCGCAGCTAAATTCGTTTTCCAGACTGGACGCCATCATACCCCATGACAGCTCTAATGCGTATCATCGCACTGGTATCTGGGCGCATCTTTGCAGGCCCCGAGCTGAACCGCAACGAAGAGTATATTAATTGTTGCCTCAACTTTGGCGTCGAAGCCTACAACGTAATCCCAGCCATGCGCAAATACCCGATCTTCCTCCGTCCACTGGCCCAGTACTGGGTAAAAGAGTGCCAGAAACCGCTCCAAGCAATCGAAACGATGAAACGACTCGTAGCTCCAGTAATAGCAGCACGTACCACAGAGAAAGGTCCAAAACCACATGACATGATGACCTGGATAATGGAGAACTCACCACCAGGAAAAGCCACAGACTTGGAATGGCAGGCTAAGTACCAACTGCAAATCGCCACCGCAGCCATGCACACGACATCCAATACCATGACACATATATTCTTCGATCTTGCTGCCCATCCAGAATACCTCTCCATACTCCGAGAAGAAATCCTCGCTGTCACAGCAGCAGAACCGCTGGGAGTTCTGTCTAAAACTAGTCTCCCCTTACTCAAAAAGATGGACAGCTTCATCAAAGAATCTCAACGCATGAACCCCTTCTCCTCCACTGGCTTCTCTCGCAAAATTTTAAAGCCTACACGTCTCTCTGACGGTCTCCTGCTTCCCCCAGGAATCACAGTTACAACGCCTGTATCACAAATCTCCATGGATCCTGACATCTACTCAAACCCCGAAGTTTTCGATGGGTTAAGATTTTTCAAGATGCGGAAGAAGCGAGGCGAGGAGAATAAATGGCAATATGTCACGACGAGCACGGAGAGTTTGAATTGGGGGAGTGGGGTTCATGCTTGTCCCGGGCGATTCTTTGCGGCAAATGAGATCAAGTGTATTGTAATGTATTTGATTATGAATTATGACGTTAAGCTTGAGGAAGGCAAGGGAAGGCCAAAGAATATTTGGACCGAGGGGGGAATGATTCCTGATATTACCGGGAAGGTTCTGTTGAAGAAGCGATGAGTGTTGCGGGGTTTGGCGGAGAAGTAGTTGCGTGCCTTGAAAATCGAAGATAAATAAATCGCATCCTCAAGAGATTTCGCACAGAATACTCTTCGCTAAGCACCAAGTCTTTCATACTATCCCATAGCCTTTGGATAGAGATTTTCCTATGCATTTGTTCCGCGTCAACATGTAAAAATGCAAAATTACAAATTTAAAATATGTGAAATTGATAAACACCCTCAATTAATCATCGCTTAATCCCCCAAAAATACCAAAATGTCCTCCTACTAGTAACTTAATCGATCGTGAATATTCCTGTCACTGAAACTTGTCTTAGCTTGACTCAAAACTATAAATTATGGAACTGGCTTTTAAAAGTGCCGTCACTTGATAGCTTACTATAGATGAAAGAACCACGAAAATACCTAGAGAGAAGTTGCCTTTTATAGAGGCACGCAAGTAATGGCGTGGTTTGAGGATTTTAAAAGCCCTCCGTAGGTTCGACTGGAATGTGAGTTGGCTTAAGCAACACAGTGGTAGAACCGAGAACTAGGTATTAAGCCAAGGGAGAGTACTTTGACATTGAATTGAATTGCACTATTGGAAAGGAGTGTGAGGTGTGAGGCGTATTGAGGTTCGAATTCTAGGAGTGGCTTCCGAAGGCTATAGCAACCGAGTGCTGATTGGAAAGATAAGCTGAGAATAGATAATGGGGAATAAAACCCGATAGGAGGGTACGGCGTGCCGAATAACTCAAAGAGTGCTATTGAAACTGTTGCTGAAAATGAAAACGGGGTACCTTGTAAACTCTGGCACTGGGTCAGGTCCGTTATAATTTCTAACGTCTACACTTAATGATACACGGGAAATTGGAGAGAATATCAAAGTGCTAGCTGGGCCATCTTGATAAAGAGCGAGTCACGTACTCAAATGTAAACCGTTGACTTTAAAGGGTAATGCGAGTGGGATAGCATGATGAGATTTGACTTTTAGGGGTAGGCCCCTCGCCCTCTGAGTTTAAATCAGAAATCGAAATGCAATCGTTTCCAGAAGCGCCAGCAACCTTGCAGATTATGGGAAAATGCAATACTGCATAAATAGCACCGAACTCCCCTAAATGCAAGATTATTTCCGGGGTATCCTAAACGCCACCCATTTAAAGAGTAAAGTCAAACTCCTGAAACGCCTTCTTAAAAGCCTCAACGTCACGCTTCTCCTCATCCTCAGTCTGTCCGCAATCCTTCCACTGCTCTCTCTTCGGGAGCCCTAACAACTTCGCTAGTACAATCCTACCAAATTGTATCGTGAACCGCACAGTGTGATCGAACGGTAGCGTCAAGCATTTCGTGCTCGGTTTGGACTCTGGATCATCCTCGTTGGCCGGGGTCCAGATCCAGACGCGGAAGAAATCACCCTCGTTTTGACCAAGTTCAGGATCCCGAACCTCAAATGCCGGGTATTGTAGGTTCTCGGCTTCCACGCGGAAGGCGGCTTCGACCAGGCCTTTGTTGATGAGGTCCACAGGCATAGGTAAGAATTGCCAGTGCACATGAACGCCGTTGCCCTTGCTGATTTCATAAGTGACAGCCCCGAGTTTGTTGGAACTTCTTTTGGCGACCATTGATTGCAAGGCATCCTTGTACCTGTTCATCTCTGCATATGTCTTTGTTCGAGAATCGTCCTCCTCTGGTATCGACGCAAGAGTGGGAGTATGTGTGAGAGGTATGATAAGCATATGGGCGGGAAAGTCGGTGCCGAGGCTAGCATTGGTTTCCGAGGTTGTCAAAGGGCCTTTTGCAATAGTGAGATACGCGTCGTCCCCTATTGAAGCAACGAGATGGGTGGCTAGATTTGGATTGGAGAGGCAGAAATAACACTGGTCAGGGCCAGGTGGAGGCTGCCTCTCACCCCTGCGTCCCTTTGCTCTCTTATGATCTCGACGGCCATTACTGTCATGGTTACCGTATCTTGAATACGGGTCAGGTTCAAGTGCAGAGCGCTTCTTGGAGTTAGGCCTGGAAAGAAAGGGTGATGCCGTCGCACCAGCTGGTAATGGGGCAGTCAGGTCAGGTGATGATTGCAGAGAGAATGCGTATAGAGCCTTTTGTTTTGAAGGATTTCCGTATGCAGCTAGGGAGATGAACCGGGTTAAAGGCCTAACGTCTGGCTCTTCTGGGACAGCTGAATGGAAAAAAGGTTCCCTTTCGTAGAAGAACCCCGGGGAGGCTGAAAAATGGTAGCGGGGTTTGATAGCGGCGCAAAGATCGGCAATATGACCTTGGCCTGGAATATCTGCCACCCCATCTGGAAGGGGGATCTTGGATCCAGTTCGAATACCTGCGGGCCAACATGTGGTCAGCAGAATATCTGCTGTATTTGCTCCATGAAGAGCCTTTGCATCCCCTGTCGTATGGAATGGCAGGTATTGCTCCTTCGACATCCCACCAATAATGGTGTTATCGAGCTGTCCCCCAAGGGTGACAATTCGAATGCCTTCAGATGTTTTCGTGGTACTTCGCTTCCCGAGGTAATGGAGGTTGTGGCATATCTAAGCGCCTAATTAACATAGAGCGAAAGCTGAGAAATTACATTAAAGCTGACCTCTTCATCTTTCTCAATCCTCTCTACAATGCGGGGTGGAAGAGGCTGGGTGCCGACAGTAAAGTAGGCTGGTAGCGGGATGGTAATTTTGTTCGCAAGGAGCTCGGAAACGGTATCATCGTCTTCAGAAAACATGTTGCCAGTGATAATCGCAAGTGAGAAGTTATTCTTCGAGTGTAAAGTTGATAATTTAGTGAAGACCGGCTGTAACTGGCCATTCACAGGCCCCACGACTATTCTGTTTCAAACAGTCAGTTTGAGCAAAGGGCGGGAATTGAAGAATTCCTTGGGGCTTGAGGCTTGAGGCTTGATACGCACATCTTTGACGCCATGCTGCAGCGACGGAGGAGGAGGTTATTAGTAGGAGTTTACGTCGTTGCGCGCAATCGTGTCGGCGGGTGTAGAGTTGTGATCTTGCGTCGCGTCGCACGTCAGAAGAAGCTCCCGCCGAAAAGAAAATACGTCGTTATCAGCCTCGGCAGCTTATCTTGGCGTGAGAGGGCCACGCCAAGCTGCTTCGAGATATTCTGCCGCTTCACCGCCGGTCACTCGCAGAAATAATTTCGACTTGAAGATTCGCAGTTCGCAGCAGTCGTCTGGCGAATTCATGAATCCTCTCCCCCTAATATCCTGACAGGCTGGCTGGAACTGCCGATATATTCATCATGCGTGTCGATACCTCTGGCCGCATTGTGAAGGTCCGCAAATTTAAAAAGGGCACGCCGCATCAGAAGAACCACCGATGGGAGTCCTTTACTTCGAAAGTCTCCAAATTAAGCTCCCTCGACCCCATCCGACGGGTGCGCCGCCACGATCTCGACACCGAAGACCTCTCTACGACAACGTCATATTTCAAGGCGGGCTTAGAAAAATGGCAGGACCTCAATATGTCAGAGGCATTTGTGGCCTTCGCCCAAGAAGTTCTGCCAATGTGCGACAGTTTACCACAAATATTGCATTTCGAGGACAAGGTTATGGAAATCTTGGTCAGATATCTGGAAAGGCGAGAGAGGGAGTCGATTGAGCCTTTACTGGAATTGGTGACAGATTTTGCGCATGATTTGGGAGTGCGATTCGAAAAGCACTATGCGAAAGTGCTGGAACTGGTAACATCTATTGCTGGGACCCCCCAGGATGTCGAAGTTATTGAGTGGAGCTTTACATGTTTGGCATTTATGTTCAAATATTTGTCCAAACTTGTAGTGCCAGATCTTCGACCTACCTACGATTTGATGGCTCCCCTTCTTGGGAAACATCGCCAACCGCCGCATATTGCCCGGTTCGGGGCTGAGGCTCTGAGCTTCCTTATCAAGAAGGCGGGGACCCCAGGGCATAGGGAGAAGGCTCTCCCGTTGATTGTGCACCACGCCAAAGCCGACCTTCAGAATACTTGGGGAACTAAGCAGTTTGGTCTCTACTATCATGGCCAGATGACATTATTCGCCGAGGCAATTAAAGGGAATGGGTTGAGTGTCCATACCTCGGGACCGCCAATTTTTCAATGCCTCATCTCTGCCTTAGATGATAAAGACTGGGACTTAAAAGAACCATCTCCATGGATTAATCTTGTGTCGGGCGTGCTGACGAGCATACTCCATCATACCAACGCTGAGGCGTTCAAGGATATATTGGAGATAGTCATAGAGAACGCAAATGCGGCTCTGGATGTGTTCCAGGAGTCCAGCAACAGGAATGAACTTTGTCGACTTATTTTCTCCGCCCGAATGATTGGCATTGCGTGCGGTGTAAGGAAAGGAAGCCGCATCGGAGACTGGCAAGATCTTCTCAAAACCACATCCAACATTCTACGGTCAATCTCGAAAAGCGCGAGTATTGTGACAGATTTTGACCCTGAAGAATCTATCTGGAATTTTGTCCTCCACAGCGTCTCAATTATCCTACAATACTCCCCAATGGACGCACTCATTCCGTTCATCTCACCATTCCTCGACTCGTTAACAAAAGATCCACTAGCGAGATGGTTTTTGACATTCTCGTCTTATATCTCGGAAGCCGACCCAGAACGCTTCCGCAGTTTAGTTTTACCATACTTTCAAAGGTACTAACTTCCCCCCTCGACCTGCTCCCATGCTCCTATGCTTATATTGTAATATAGATTTGTAATTGCCCACTGGTCTGATGCTGAAAACGGCGATACGCTCTCTGTACTATTGCCGAAAATGGTGTCAGCTGGCGTTCTACCGCATCGTCACGGCAAAGAAGGTTTTACTTTACCTCAGTCATGGCAGGACCAGATAGTAAGCAAATTTGAGAGGCTGGAGGTTTCGCCTTTCCCAGAGCAAGCATCCTCAGCAGCACACGATCGAAGCCCCAATACTTGGCATGATCGATGCCTGCCAAAGTACAATGCACTTTTAGAAGTTTTGGGATGCACAGTTGTACACCCATCTACAAATGCTAGGATCTCGGAGATTCTTCTCAGGAAGCTGAAACTCGCACTACGGCCATCTTCTTCTCTTGCACCAGAAGAAGCAAATTTCATAGTTGGTCGTGGATTCAGTGCCTTTTCAAGGATGAGCAAAGGTGCTGGGGTAGTTGATAGAGCACTTGAGCCTTTGCTCCGCGCTGCTGCTCCCAGATACACCCGCTTGCCCCATTTCTTAGAGGCTATGCTTGACTATGAAACAAGCCTTAAAGTGCCGCCAAAGGCAAAGGCTGTACCAGCAACCGATGATATGGACATCGCATCTGAGGAGGACCTTCTAACTGCTTCACTGATTGCAAACCTTTCTACAGACTCCCATGAGCTTAGACTTCTATCTCTACGCCTTCTAGATCATATCCACACTACAGATCAAGGCTCAACCTCCGAAGTCCTGTCCATCATGATTATGGTGGAACAGACACCCATTGACTTACAAACTGCCCGCTCTGCATCAATGCATATCCGAAAACTAGCAACTTTATATCCTCACCAATCATCGCCATGGCTTAAGCAAGCAATCCCATCATTTTGTTTTGGGATGCTTACTGTTAAATATGCCCAGATATGGGAAGACGCATGCCTTGCACTAAAACAAATCGCGGAAGCCAAAGAAGGCGAACAAGCTGTTGCTGACCTAGCTTTCGTGTGGCTAGAATCGCCTTCCATGATATGGGACGGACATTCTGTGAAGGTCGAACACCCGCACAACAACCGCTTGACGGATTTTGAATGTTCGAATCTCATGAAGTTAGATGAGCTCGCCAAGGTTTCTGTATCAGAAGTTGTGAAGGCTCGCGATACGATGCTGCAGAGGTTTGAAGATGCTCAGCAGTTGGTTGAATCGCAACCACCTACCGCTAGATCACAGGCCCTTCGAATTTTCGCAGTTGCGCCAACCATTGCCCAAAAACGCTCGCGTTTGTTTGTCCCGATGTTTCTCTCGTGGGCTTGCAAGCAGGGAGACGAAAATGAGCAAATCGCCGAGGTTACTGAGACCATCCCGAGTGGATGGACAAGAAAAGATCAGAAAGCCCAGCTCGATATGTTCAGTAAATTTACAAATCCGAAGTCGCTGTTTAGGACTGAAGACGTGAAGAACGCTCTCTTGCAGCTACTTGGGAACGGTGATATCGAAATCCAAAAGTCTGCCCTCAAGGCTCTTTTCACGTGGAAGCATCCCAGCATCCGACCATATGAAGAGAATCTTCTTAACCTTTTGGACGAAGCACGATTCAAGGACGAGATCTCTATTCTCCTCCAGGGCGAGACTTTGGTTCAGCCAGATCACCGGGAGCACCTTTCTCCAGTCCTCCTCAGACTCCTTTATGGACGGTCAATCTCACGGAAGGGTGCGGCGAGTGGGAAGCAGGGAATGGAGGCCCGGCGACTAACTGTATTACGGAGTTTAAGTACTGAAGATGCCGAAAGTTTCTTGGATATTGCTCTTGGACAGCTTAAGGATCTCAAGTTGTTGGTGAATGGCACCGTTGACGATGCTTCATTCGAACATGGTCTGTTGACCATTCGAAAACAAGTTGGTGTCACAAATATGCTCGAAGCAATTATTAAAGAGCTTGGAACCAAAGTAGCCCCTTTCGCGACGAAATTGGTGCAGGCGGCCCTCTATTGCATAATTTACACGTCGCGCCAATTACGAGATGATTCTGACGAAGATGCATCCCCAGACGATACCACCAGCCAAACTTCTTTGCTGAAGAACGTTCGCCAGACTGGTTTGAAATGCCTCGTACTCTTGTTCTCGAACGCTACGGATTTCGACTGGACTCCATATATGGCAGCTATTGTTAAGGATATCATACTTCCAAGGCTGGAGAAGTTGCCAATTGAAACAGCTCAAAGCATCTCCATCCTTCTTCGACTCTTGTCGACTTGGTCTACCTCCCCACAAACTGTGATGTTGCTTACGAGCAACTCCCAGATTATGTCGAAAGTCGCTGACTGTCTATCACCCCCGAAATCAAAGGATGAAGTGAAGCTCTTTGTGTTGAACATCATCAGCAACATTGTCGGCCACTGCCAGGGAGCTGAAGATGATGCTCTTCAATCGCAGGTTAAGTCGGAACTTCTCGCACCCAATATGGACTACTTCTTAACTCAAATTGGTGGGATACTCCGTGCCCAACAAGATATCAGCAAGGATCTGCTTGAGGCTTGTGTGCAAGTTGTCTCTGAGCTTGCACCGTTTGTATCCACTTCGACCCAAGCTCACAACTTGGTTGATGTCTCGGTCTTCTTGCTCGATCAGCCCTCAAGACGTGTTAGTCCCAAGACCAAGGGAGGGCTTTTATTAGTACTAGAGCACTTCGTCCCGCTGTACGATCTCCAAAATGACGCTGAGCTGAAGGACAAAGTTTACAGCACAGTGACCTCACTCTTTGGGTATTTCAAGGACAAGGATAGTCGAGAAGTGTTATCTCGGGTCTTGATGGTGTACGCTGAGAAGGATCCCGTTCTTGGAGAAGTTGCCGCGATATGTGTCGATCTCAACTCTTTCGCCCAAGGCCGCCTTGATGAGCCCGATTATGATCGCCGCCTCAAAGGCTTCAACGTCGTTAATAACCCGAGAGAGACGCCATTCACTTCACGCCAATGGACCCCCTTGCTCTACAACCTGCTCTATTATATTAGGCACGATGAGGAGTTTGCGATCCTTTCTTCGAATTCTTCCGATGGACTTTGTCAATTTATCGACTCCGCAGAGAAAGCGTCGGACGAATCGAAGCAAGCTGATTTCAGAGCATTGGTTTCAACAGTCCTCATACCCGCTATATTCATGGGTGCTCGAGAGCCGTCCGAGGTTATTCGACGAGAGTACATGAAAGTTATGGCTCATCTTGTTCGAACCTTCCCATTGTGGCAGGAAGTTAGTGATATGCACAGTCTTCTTGCTGGTGATGACGAGGTAGAATCGTCGTTCTTCAACAACATCCTGACAGCTGGGAAAGGTCGACAGTCCAGTGCCCTTGGGCTCCTGGAAGCTGCAGCAACGAGAGGAGAACTTAGCGGAAAGAATGTTAGCCACTTCTTCATTCCACTCATTGAGCACTTCATCCTCGACCGCGCAGAGGGCAACGAAGCCCATAGTCTGGCCGCCGAGGCTACAACTACTATCGGGATATTGTCTAGATCCCTTGAATGGCCTCAGTATCGAGCCATGCTCAGAAGATTCATTGGATATGTCCGAGCCAAGCCGGAACTAGAAAAACAAATCATTCGGCTCCTTGGGAAAGTGATTGATGCCCTTTCCTTGGCTGCACAGGAAACCCAAGAGGAAAAGCGAAGTACATTGGCGGTAACCATGCCAAAACAAGTTAAGCTTGCCGATGACCTCAGCTCGAATATTTTGCCATCTCTGACTGCGTATCTTCATGATAAAGACGAGTCCACTGTCAGTCTTCGGGTTCCCGTTGCTGTGATTATTGTTCGCCTCTTGAAGCTTCTACCGCAGGAGCAGTTGAACGAAAGGCTCCCAGCCGTTCTCACGGACGTCTGTCATATCCTCCGGAGCAAATCCCAAGAGGCACGCGACATGACTCGAGACACTTTGACAAAGATATGTGTTCTACTCGGTCCATCGTGCTTCGGATTTGTCCTCAAGGAATTACGTGGCGCTTTAGCAAGGGGATATCAACTCCATGTCCTCTCCTACACAATGCACACGATCCTGGTTGCTACAACACCGGAGTATGCTCCTGGTGATCTGGATTATTGTTTACCCACCATTGTCGCAATCATTATGGATGATATATTTGGAGCCACTGGCCAGGAAAAAGACGCGGAGGAGTATACGAGCAAAATGAAGGAGGTCAAAAGCAGCAAAAGCCATGATTCCATGGAGCTGATCGCTAAAACATCTACCCTGAGTCGCTTGACGGACATAATCAGACCGATTCAAGGATTGCTTAAAGAGAAGGTCAACTTGAAAATGGTCCGTAAGATCGACGAACTGCTTAATAGGATCAGCAATGGATTGCTGAGGAACCCGGCTGCTCAAAGCAGAGACAGCCTTATATTCTGCTACGAAGTTATTCAAGACGTCTACAATACTGCGAAGCCAGAGGCAAAGGCTAAAGGAGATCCTAGGCTCAAGCGATATTTAATACAAAGAGGGGCGAAGAAGAGCGGGGAAGGTCGGAGCAGCATGACAGTTTATACATATAAACTAATTCGTTTTGCTTTCGATGTCCTGCGCTCGGTCCTCAAAAAGTACGATGATCTTCGAACACCCGGCAATCTGGCCGGTTTCATTCCTATACTTGGCGACGCGGTTACCCAAGGGGAAGAGGAAGTTAGAATTTCGGCTTTTCGACTTCTTGCTACGATCGCAAGAGTCCCATTCAAGCCGGTCATTGATGGTACGAATCTATATCGGGTCGCTGCTGTTGAGGCAACCAAGAGCCTCTCAGAGTCTTCAACGACTACTTCAGACATTGCGCAAGCCTCTCTCAAGATCATATCTGTTATACTGCGCGATCGCCCAGATGTGCCTATCAAGGAAACATCCATTGATAAGCTACTGGCCAGACTCAAAGATGACATGACTGAACCAGAACGACGCCATGTTACCTTCAACTTTCTAAGAGCAATTATGAACTCCAAGGTTCAGACTGCAGTTGTTTATGACACGCTTGATTACGTTGGCACAGTCATGGTTACAAACGATGATGAAGGTACGAGGGACTTGGCGCGAGGAGCATACTTCCAATTCTTGCGGGAATATCCACAGAAAAAGAATCGCTGGACTAAGCAACTTGGCTTCATTGTAGCCAATCTCAAGTACGAAAGGGAAGGTGGCAGACTATCCATCCTTGAAGTCATTCATCTCTTGCTCTCCAAGTCTTCGCAAGATTTTGTTCAGGAAGTCTCAGCCACTTGCTTCGTTCCATTGATCTTTGTTCTAGCCAATGATGACAGTGAGAAATGCCGCATGGCGGGTGGAGAAATCATCAAGGAGATCTTCAAGAAGGCGGATGAAGAACGTATGTCCTCGTTCCTTGCACTTCTGCGATCATGGATCAAGCAAAACGAGAATCCATCAGTAGTGCGACTAGCTTTGCAAACATACGGGTTTTACTTTGAATCGGAAGCTAGTACAGATGGCGATATTCCGATGCTCCAAGACTGCATTCTCGAGATCTTGGAGCTCGCCGAGAATTCGAGCTCGGATTGGGAGCAGATTTATGCCGCCTTGCAACTAGCCATTGTCCTCGTGCAGAAGTTTCCCGGCACGCTCCTGGCTTCCAAATCGAAACCGCTATGGTCTGAAGTACGGTCATGTCTGTCATTTCCCCATGCCTGGGTCAAATTATCCGCCGCAAAACTCACCAGCATCTATTTCGCCGATTTCGCTCGAAATAACGCGGAGTCAGGAGTTGAGGGGTTACCGCTGAGAGGGTCCGGAGGGTTGAAGCTCGATAGTGAAGATATCAAAGATTTCACCAGACGCACAGCACACATGTTCAAGACACCAGGCCTCACATCCCTTTTGGCTGACGAAATAGTGAAGAACCTTATCTTCCTAGCTCGTTGTGCTACAGCCAATGATATCAAATGGACACCTGCACAGGACACCAAAGCTGACGATGAAGAAGAGGCTGATGAAGAGATGGCGGAGGAATCGCTAGAGGAGATGACATTGCTTCAGAATCTCTGCGGAAGATTAAGTTTCGTCCTCCGCAAGGAGACATCGCCACCACGTGCTCCGGCACTCGTGCCCAAGACTTCGGCGCTCCAACTCTTGCAACATCTCACTTCCAAGCTGCCTTCCGAATCTCTCATCCCATGTCTCCAATCTATACTTCTCCCACTACACAACCTCACCGACCCCTCAATCGCCGCACCCTATTCAACAGACGAGCTGTTCAAGTCTGGGTACGAGGAACTGAGAAGCATGAGTGAGGAAATCATGGAGGGTTTGAAGAGGAAAGTGGGGACGAAGGAGTATACCGAGGCGTTATTGAGGGTGAGAGAGGGTGTTCGGGAGAGACGAGAGGCAAGAAGGGGGAAGAGGCGGAGAGATATTGTCAGTGCCCCAGAGAGGTCTGGGGAGGTTAAGAGGAAGAAAGTTGAGAGGAAAAAGGAGCGCAGAAAGGAGAAGGGACTAGAGCATAGTAAGCGAAGGAGCGAGTATTAATGGGGCCACCAAAGGCACCACTTGGTGACCATAGGATTCCATAGCATTGTTAGACCTCGTTCATGGCGTTATAGGCTCGGAGACCTGTCAGCATAAAGATCGGGCATTTTAAAATGGAGTTAAATTTAACAAGTTGCAACATGTACAAAACCAAGAGTAGAATGCTTATTGTGCACTATTTAGCCCAGTATGTGGGACGTATCTATCTATACATGTAGTATACAACTCATCTAATTACCAACTCTCCATACATTCTAATATTATACAGTATTTATACACAATATACATACGGTTTAACGCCCCTCTCCTGTGGCATGGAGTCAGTTCCCTGCGTCATGTCCCCACGAGTTTTATAATTGCAGTTTCTCGAGCTACGCAACCAGGCGGTGCTTCCGAATGCCGTCGTAATCATTCCGTCTTGACCTCCCACCGCATCAGTACCCCAGAACTCCAGTCCGCTGGTTATTATCATCATGTCGAGAGCAGTCTAGCTCCTAACTCTCTTGCTTGGTGCTTTCCGTTTCCACCTCCGAGGAGCGCGGATTCGACCTCGTATTATTCACTCTCCTATCCTCCCAAAACTCAACATTCCCATCCTCACTCAACGTGCCTTTCTTAATAATTTGGCCCTTTTCCCGCATTATGTCTTCAAGCGTTATATTTTTATCGCCAAAAAACTAGATTGTCTATTAGCATCGATAACCCCAACTCCATAACTGCAGGAAGAACATACATTTAAATGGTCACTAATGACATGTCTATTCCTACACTCAGGACATGTAATAAGTACACTTCCAAAATGGTAGCCCTGTTTCGAGACTCGATGCGTGGACCGCGTGGAACAAGGGGTACATGTAAATGTCATTTCGTACTCGGGTTTTGGGGGGTTTGGGGGCGGAGGAACGGCAAAACGGGGTTTTTTATTGTGCTGGGAAACCGATGCATTTGTGGAAGTGCTGGTCACAGGGTTCTCGGATGAAGGCGACTGGTTTGAGGAGAGGCGTATCGTGGAAAGAGGTATTGAAGCAAGTCGACGGGTTGTACTAGTTGGAAGCGGACGAACTAGGGAGAAGGCGTTTCGAGAGAGGGTTCGGAAGGCCGATCGGGATAGGGAGTTTATAGAGGCTGGAGGCATTTTGAATGTGGAAAGTCCTATTTATGCCAAGGAAGGTTTGAGTCGAGGTAATGTCGATGTCGATGTCGATGTCGCTCAATTATTTCACGGTTTGCGCTGGTGCCACAATGTATGGCGGTGTGGCGCGGCAAAACGTCGGATTTAAGCTTGATTCATCTAGCTCCAGATTTTAAAAGCCGAGGTTTTGCCACTCGGGAGCCTTGTCGCCAACCACGGATTCTACATCAACGGAAAACATATAAATCTAGATTGGAACATTGTCACCACGTCACTTTCTCTTTACCGGCCGCTCAGATATCTAAACAGTACAGAAGGTTACATTAGACCGGGAGATATACCCATGGAGCCCACGCTATGCATGGCACCTGCGATTACCCTTTAACTACAGCGTTCCCCACCCCCACCAAACTGCAGTATCCGAGCTCCTCGAACCCTCGGCCGGAGTCTGTTTTGATTCCTGCAACAAGGCTTGTGGTGGGAACTCTGAGGTTTGAGTAGTTGCCATAATGATTTCCGGCCGTGGCAGAGGCAAGATCCGGCCTCCTCGCAGAGTAAGTGCAACTTCATTTGTTGATTCATAGTGAAGTCAGTCACCTTCCTTGACCTTCACTTCTCATGTCCTTTTCATGTCACACGCAGCAACGTGGCGCTGCAGCTCCGCTGTTTCCCAGCATCGAAGTGCCATACTCAACATACTGGGGATCATGACCATGGCGGGTACGGCTTCTTTTGACCGCACCCTTGCGTATGCGCCTCGTCGAAGCCAGAAGAAGTGCTTGGTACCACTCCGCTTCCACCTTATCCAAATCTTGCAGTTCTACATTCCCCTGCTATATTAGCATACCTAGCTGACTATTTTCATAGCCCATAGCCGGCCATGGCGGCAGCGACGACTTCGACGCCATGTGGGATATCCTCCGGTCGGCGTTACGCGAGATCCACGAGAAGAATGCCTCCACACTCTCATTCGAACAGCTCTATCGCGCCTCATACAAGATAGTCCTAAAGAAACAAGGCGACCGGCTATATGATCGGGTCAAGGACTTTGAAAAGCAATGGTTCGCCAGCAAGGTTATGCCCGCTATTCACAAGCTCATCACGACCAACTTGCTTAATATCACACTAGGCGGTGTGACTGGAACCACCACCGCAAACGAGCGGAGGCTTACGGGCGAGGAGTTTTTGAAGGGGTTGAAGGCATCATGGGAGGACCACATTACGGTCATGAACATGACCACGGATATCTTGATGTACATGGACCGTGTTTACTGTTCAGACAACAGGAAAGCCTCAATATTCACGACAGCTATGGGTCTATTTCGCGATGACATTCTACGCTCTCCGCTTGGTGCCACAGACAGCAAGCTTATTACCTTCGACATCCTAAACTCCGTTATTTTGGACCAGATCGGTATGGAGCGAGAGGGGGATGTGATCAACAAGCACCTTATTCGGTCTTGCATATACATGCTCGAGGGTTTATATGAAACCGATGAGGAAAACGAGTCTGAGAAGCTGTACTTGACTGTCTTTGAGGTTGAATTCTTGAAGGCAAGCCGAACGTTCTACCACAACGAATGTGTCTCGCTGCTACGAAACTCTGACGCCAGCACATGGCTACGGCAAACTAAGAAGCGTCTGGATGAAGAAGTCGTCAGATGTGAGACCACCATATCGGTGCTCAGCAAGCAAAAGATCGCGGTGGTGGTAGAAGAGGAGATGATTAGCCGCCATCTCTCGGATTTTCTAGCAATGGAAGGAAGTGGCATCAAAGCCATGATCGAAAATGATTGCTTTGACGACCTAGCACTCCTTTACCAACACATTTCTCGGGTAGATCCATTGAAGGCGCCCTTAAAGAAAGCCCTCCAGGCTCGGGTGATGGATATGGGATCCGATATAAATAAGATCGTTACCAATGCCGACTTCTCGGCCAGTACCGTTCCTACAGAGGAGGCTGACGCTACCGAAGGTGGTGAAAAGTCGAAAGCAGCGAAGCAAAATACAGCATCTAAGCAGACTGCTGCTGCTATCAAATGGGTTGATGAGGTTCTTCATCTGAAGGACAAGTTTGACACGATGTGGAAAAGGTGTCTGAATGAAGATCTAATCCTTCAAACTGCACTCACCAAGAGTTTCTCCGATTTCATCAATATGTTCCCACGATGTGCAGAATATGTCTCGCTTTTCATCGATGACAATCTGAAGCGTGGAATCAAGGGCAAGACCGAGGCCGAGATTGATAGTATCCTTGACAAAGCCACGATCTTAATTAGATATATTCAGGAAAAGGATATATTCGAACGCTATTACAAAAAGCATCTCGCTCGGCGATTGTTGTTCGGCAAGTCCGAGAGTGGTGATGTCGAGAAACAGATGATATCGAGGATGAAGCTCGAAATTGGTAACGCCTTCACCACGAAACTAGAAGGCATGTTCAAGGATATGACCATGTCCGATGATCTCACAACTGGCTACCGGACTCATATCCAGAACCTGGGTGATATGGATAGGAAGCAAATTGATTTGAGCGTTAGTGTTTTGACAACAAACCACTGGCCGATGGAGGCTATGGGGGGTGGCAACACTAGAGGAGAACACGCGCGCCAAAATTGTACCTGGCCTTCGGAAATCAGCACCCTCCAGGAGTCATTCAAAGCTTTCTACCTAAAAGAGCGAAACGGTAGAATGTTGACCTGGCTGGGATTCCTTGGCAACGCAGATATTCGCTGTGTATTCCCAAGGGTCCCTGGCAAAGAGGGAATTCTGGGCCGCGAACGGAGACATGAGCTGAACGTTAATACATACGGCATGATTGTTCTACTTCTATTCAACGACCTTGCCCAAGGCGAATATCTCTCGTTTGAAGAGATTCAAGAGCGGACAAACATTCCGACACAGGACCTCAGTCGCATGCTTTATACTCTCTCTGTTCTTCCCAAGGCAAGAGTTCTACTCAAGCAACCTGCAAACAAGGATCTTCCTAAACCGGGTGATACATTCACCTTTAATGCTAGTTTTACGAGCAAGGCGGTCAAGATAAAAGTGCCCGTGATATCTGGGGCTGTTAATAAGGTGGAGGGCGAGGAAGAGCGGAAGGATACCGAGGATAGAAATGACGAACATCGTGGAAATCTCATTGACACTGTGATCGTCCGAATCATGAAGTTTGTTCGCCTTATCATCTCTCCCAGAACCTAACAGCTAACAACACGATACAGGGCACGCAAAAAACTCACCCACCAAATGCTCTTCACCGAGGTCATCACTCAGTTATCCCAGCGTTTCAAGCCTGACCTAGGGATGATGAAGCGCCGTGTCGAAAGTCTGATTGAGCGGGAATACCTGGAACGTGTGGAGGACGCCGCTATTCCTACATACCGGTATTTGGCATAGATGAGGCGGGAATGGAAATCGTTTTTCGATCTGGCCCGTACATACATATACATTTTTAAGGTGTCGCGTTTATTGACCTAGCATTTTCCACCGATGATGCATGGTTTGCGACATCAAAAGGACGGAGTTACCGTTGTTGGATCTTCTCTGGCGAACTGGATTGGGTGGGAAAGGGGTGGCGCATTGCTGGGCCTACCATTACATAGATGCCAGCGAGGAGTAAATGAATGAAGCCAAAGAAATGCATACTCGAGTACTCAATATCAATTACAATTATACTATTAGCACTATAACTTATGGAGGCAAGAAAATGTTGTATTTCACATGCCAGCCGGACAGGTCGTTCCTCGCCTTATCGTCAACCCACAGTATCTCACTATCTCTCTCTGTTCAAGCCAACCAGATTCCCGGGAATTATCCAGATTTTCGGGGCGGGGCGGAGCGGAGCGGGGCGGCGGAAGTCCCTGCAGATCCCCTTGTTGACTTTGGGCCCTGACTGCGTCACCAAACATAAACTCCAAAACGACATCCAATACCCATATGGTACAAGGCAGCTAGCTGCAACCACACACCCCCTTATCTTCGTCGTGGCTGTGGGTTCAAAATACGGTGAGTGAGTAGCGAGTATCAAGATGATATCTTCGCTGTACTATACGAGTACGTAACGCCTGCGCTGGCGGGAAGTACTCCGCCTCCTATCTCACCATTCCCTGCGCCGTAAGTCGACGCCATAGGTGCCTCGGCACTTGGCTATATCCTTAGCTATCTTCGTGTCAGCCTGCGCTCTTCTGTTCTGTTTCTGTTTCCTTCACCGTCGCCGTGTCTTTTCTCTCATTTGGACAGATATTTGTTGTGTAGCGGGGCACACCGAAAGCAGATATATACGAATTGCAGTACCGGTGGACATTGCCGTCACTGTTTTGCCTTGCTTGGGCCTAGAACCCCGAGCGCTTGATCAAGTGTCAGCCTCGTACGCACGGAACCAAGGGAAAGGGCAAGATAGAGGCTTGCGGACGTAGGTCACTTCAATTTCATCCTTGTATCCTACCACCCCCCCACCATCCCTATCTCCATATGAGGGGTGGTCTTCTCCAGAAAAAGTATTGACCTTTGCCTCCTAGAATATAAACCATAGCACTGATCTATTTGGCCTAGGCAGCGGGTGCCCTCTCCATGCGATGATCGACCCCTTCCAACCACCACTGGCTTCCCCCCAAGCCCTCATCCAGCCAGTCACCGATGCCCTCCACTTATATACACTCCCCCTCCACATCCACGAAATCCTTCTCGCATTTGCCGTTTACCATGCCATTTTCGAATACATAGCTCCTCCACTATCCCGATTCCTCCTCCCAAACAGATACTCAAAGCTATCACGGGAGAGCAGGTTACGATGGAACATGCACTGTGCATCCCTTGTCCAGAGCGTGGCCATCAGTGCGCTGGCATTGTGGGTCATGGCCGTAGATGATGAAAGGAGAGGTATGAATCTCGAGGAGAGGATGTGGGGGTACACTGGAGCGGCGGGGATGGTGCAGGCTCTCGCAACAGGATACTTCTTGTTCGACTTAGCAGTTATGATTCGGCATTTGGATGTCTTTGGATTGGGCATGTTGGCACATGCTTCGAGCTGTCTTTTGACGTATACGCTTGGGTTTGTAAGACTGCCCCACTCCCACTCTCATTCTCCCCAAACGGTATAATAGATTTTGCAAAGGGAAGACATATCTACGTACTAATTTTTCTCTTTTGAAAATTTATAGCGTCCGATATTCAACTATTACGGCTGCGTATTCATGCTCTACGAGCTCTCTACCCCATTCCTCAACCTCCACTGGTTCTTCGATAAACTCGATATGACAGGCTCAAGAGCACAACTATACAACGGCCTAGCACTCATATCCGTATTTTTCAGCTGCCGTATCGTCTGGGGTGCATATTCCTCCTTCAACATCTATAGGGACGTGTGGAATGCTCGGCATTTCGACCATACTTTGAAATCTAGTACTAATGAGGAGATGATGATGTATGGTAGAGACACGGCTTTGCCGGTGTGGCTAGTGGTGTTGTATCTAGGTGGACATGTTACGTTGCAGGTTTTAAATGTATTTTGGTTGGGTAGGATGATTGCTGCCATTAAGAAGCGGTTTTCTTCTCCCTCTTCTGGGACGGCGAAAAAGGAGGAGTAAGCGCTATTGCAAAGAAGGATACGGTAGTATAAAGAGCGACAATTTATATCCGATGGCGAAGGAAGAAGCGAAGAGAAAAATAGAAAACGTATCTAGAGAGAATGTGTATATAGATATTCAACGAGTCTAAGACTCAATTATATCAATAACATGAAATATGCTCTTAGCTAGAACGCCCAAAGTTAGGAGTAGCTAAGCTAAGTAGAATATCGATTCTTATAACTAGAGCTAGAGGGCAATATAATTGAATATTCTATTATATACATAGATAAGTAAAACTCTTCTAGTCGATTCAGTCTATAAAAGGAATTAGGAACTAAACTCTAAAGTTTTTTATATCTGAAAAGATAGTAGTAATATATAACGTAATGTAATATAAGATACTAATTAATTACTAACTACTTAAAAAACTCTCTTTAGAATAAAAGAGTTCTATATAAGAAGTAGGTGTACAAAATGGGGGACTTGGTTAGCACAATCGACGGTCCTTTTTGCTATATTTACGAATAAATGCGTATTATAGGTTATACGCATTACTTTTATGAATCACTAAATTTACCCCTCCTAGTACGAGGCGTATTTTGAAGTGTAAAGAGCAAATACATCCCTACGGCTGGGATGGATCCCTATAAATAAGTCGAGAATATCATCGAAGCCAGAGCTTTGAATTCTCTCTGGCCATGGACTACACCATTTGGTTTCGTCGAGGCTGACATCTACACCACCCGTCTCCTCAGTCTTCACCGATCACTCATCTCCCTGGCATGGAACACCGGGCCATCTCGCCGGTCTGGTCCATATTGCGAAGTTTCACCTGGCTTGTCTTCACAATCTCCATGTCCTCCCAACTAGCGGTGTTACCATCCACATCGATCTCGGATGGCGTGCCGAGGGACTGGAATGCCGCAGGCTCCGGCAACTCGCGGCTACGCCTGGAGGAGAGTACAATGGCGGGGAGAGAACGGCAAGGGGGTGTGGCGTTGGAGTCGCCGCCGAGAATGCTGCGGAAGAGGGGCCGCAAAGTGGCGAGGTTGGCGGCTGTGATGCCCATGCCCGGCTCGATAATGGCCCACATTGCTAGTTCAGTGGAGTCGTCTTTAGGGAAGATTAGTATGGTAAGTAGAGTGAAGTGTCAACTGCTGTAAGCGCGAAGGAGGGAGGGAATGGGGGAAGGCAGAAATTGGGCGTAAGGAGGAAGTCAGGAGATATAGTAAGATCTTGGATGGCCGGCAGGCGAATGAAGGTTATAATGCAGCCTCTTTTTACCGTCAGCGAACATTTGATGGAAAAGGGGGGGACCTACGCTGCCCCCAAGGTGAGAATGAAGCAGACAACGGCCTTTGAGCGGCGGTTTATCTGCAGCCCCCGCACGATGAAGCTAGGAATGATGGCGAAAGTGCAGTCGACGACACAGAGGATGGCAGCGTGGGCATAGGTCATGTTGGTGAGGTAGACGGTGGGGATGCAGGTGCCGCCCACGGCACCGGTTGTATCCCAGAAGGCAGCGAAAGGCGAGCATCGGAAGAGGTAGAAGAAAAAGAAGGAGGTGCCAAAGGCGACCGACAAAGCCATGGCCGCCCAGAGTATATACACCTGAACCTCGACTTTCGTGACGCGTAAGAGGAACGACCCGATGGCAACCTTGAGGGCAGTGCTGCTGAGGGAGTAGAAGAGCGTGCAAAACCACCAGTTCTAAAGACGGACACCGTGTTACCGTGTGATTTGGGGAAGGGCGTGGATGCTAACGAGGACACATGGACGACCAACCTTGAGAGCCGTTGATGCCGCTTCGAGGGTGAGGCTTGATATCGGCCTACCAATGCCGGCTTGGACGCCTAGCAGAGCGAATACGCTATAGATGACAAACAAGACCTAGAAAGTCATGTTAACTCGAGTTCGAAATCGACGGAAAGCATCGCTATCGGCACCCACCACCGTCAGCAACATCACCCAATCGTCGAAGCCAAACGACCTGAGCATATACGCGCGGACATAGCCGCGCAGTAGCATAGTAAAGATGGAGAGGGCAGTGAACACGATCGCCGACACCGACACCATCGAACCCCGGTTATCGTCGTTCATTTTGCAGAGAGGGACACTGGACTAGCATTGTCGATAGAGAGTAGGGTTGCTGGAGCATAACGCAGACAGAAGAGTCGAGAGGGAGCTGGCTTTTAATACCACAGTGTCCTAGCAAGCAGACAAAAAAGCACCGAATGACGAGCGGGTGGCGTTAGGAGGAGTTTTGGCTTCTGGCAAACCAGCTTATATTTGGACTAAGCGGCTGAGACTTGAAGGGCGGAGGCTGGGCTTATAAAAACTGCCTATTACCTATCTTTAGTGATTTACGCTACCTATCCCAAACCCCCTTGTTAGAACGGAATAAGCCCAAGATAGATAAAACAGTCTGCTAAGTACTTATCTTAAGTGATTTACGCCACCTGTCCCAGACGCCGCTTGTTGGAAGGGAATAAGCCGACGATGGCTCGGACCGCAATAATGGACCCCTTTATTCCAATTCCCGTGCTAGTAGAACGCCACATTGCCTAAAATAATGCGGGGAAAAGCCTAGTGCTAAGTAAGTAAAGAATACTCTCGTGCTCAGCCCCGCTTTGATGAGTTCAGATACAGATATGTTTCATCATCCAACCCAGGTCGTTGAAGTGCATAAGCGAAGACGGCATCTTCCGAGAGGATCGACAATGATATGATACGACCAGTCAAATGACGTGACATGATATTGGAGGATGCTGCAACAGCCTTTGGTTATGAACGATCGTGTTATTCTCAAACCTTACAAACTAGGTATTGGATTATTTTACACAAATAACCTACGCGCAAGTAGTGGAAAGTCGAGCTGGAGAATGTCAATGCCAGCCACCGCCAGATAATACAGTCTAGCCAGTACCCCCGTTTTCAATGCAGGGACTCCTTCTTCACGTGTCTAGAAACCTTCGCTACGCCTCGGCCTCAACCCTCCATTTCCTCATAAGAAGGTAAGGTAGCGAAATCTCACCCAGCTTATTTTCTGCAAACTACTACACCACGAATATATAACCCTTGCCATTGGACCTTCAAAATCGACAACATCTTACATAAAATCGGGTCAGATCCACTATTCGCCTACCATAATGTCTGTTATCAAGGTTTTGATACCTATGTCAGATTACGGCCATGATCCGACAGGTTTGCTACTATCTTCTCTAAGAAACGGAATTATTAACTGAAATCATTTAGAAACTGCTGTAGCTTTTGCGGCTTTCAAGGAAGCTAGATTCGAGGTGCAATTTGCCACTGAGAATGGCAATACGCCGGCCTGCGACAAGAAGCTGCTCGAAGGGTTCACACAAAAGCTACTTGGCGCTAGTAAACCTACCCTAGAAGCCTATAAGGATATGTGTAATACTTCAGAGTTCAAGAATCCACTATCGTGGTCATCCCCGGATTTCACTCTAGAGACGTACAACCTGGTTTATATCCCTGGAGGACACGACAAGGGTGTTCGTCAGCTCCTTGACTCTGCGATTATCCGTACACATCTAGCAACTTATTTCCCAATGACCAGAAAGCCAAGTACTAGGTCTGTATCAGCCGTGTGCCATGGCGTCCAGGTGCTAGCAGAGGCCGAAGCATCAGATGGGAAGAGTATTCTTCACAAATGTACTACTACTTCATTGCCAACAAAGTTTGAGCAACTCGCATATTGGTCAACTAAGGTATTCATGGGCGACTATTACAAGACGTATGGCTCTGGAAGTGCCAATGTTGAGGAGGTGGTATGCTTATTTCACCATCGCTTCATCGATTATTCTAATTCTAATCTCGCTGAAGGTTCGAAAGCGTCTGGAGAATCCGGATAAGCAGTTCAAGAGCAGCCTAATCCCGAAACCGTAAGCGACTATAAATACCGATATATTATACTTATAGCTGATTTATTCTAGGTTCGTTGTACAGGACGACACGTATAACTACCTCAGTGCACGATTTCCAGGGGATGTCCAGCTTCTAGCAGAAGAAACTATTGCTTTAGTTCAGTCTACTATGTCATGATGAGCAAATGGCGCCGTACAAGTCGAGCTTCATAGTTACAAATCAAGGCACAGTTTTCTAATTTCAAATCGCTCCACTTATCCAGCCTGAGGTTACTGACTGGATACATCGTCGTCATCTGAAGCCCCAGCGAAAGCCACCGTCACCCGCCTCTTCCCATTCTTTTTACTCTGGTTTGAAGCCCCAATAATATTTGCATCCGGATCATGAATTGCCGACGACGAGCCTGTCTGCCTTCCGAAAAGAGGTTGCGGCGTCTCAAGTTTGGCCATTTGCTCCGGACCAGGCACATCATCAGTAAGTATGGGTAAGAATCGCACATTACGAATCCAGTCGTACATAGTCTGATCATCAAGAATACTCTTACAACTTGTATGTTCTTCATTGCTCATGTTTTTTCGGCGCTCAACGATGACTTCTTCGATGCTGCCGTTAAGAACCAGTGTTTCAACGTATACGGGCCTGACTTGGCCGATTCGGTGAGCGCGCTTGACGGCTTGGGCCTCAACTTGGGGAGAGAAGACCGGATTGACAAAGTAGACACGGGATGCAGAGCTCATGTCTAATCCGAAGGCGGCCTGCGAGATTTCCATAAGTAGAACTCTGAACAGTTCGGTTTGATTGAACGTGACCACATATTGGGCACGACGCTCGGGAGTGAGGCTCTTTGAGTAAATCAGATGCTCAATGCCCAAACATTCTAGTGCCTGGGCAATGTAATATGCTACATTGTCAGCTTCGTAGAAAATTAGAATCTTTTCCCTGGACTGATGTATCATAATTTTGTCTATCAGATATGAAAGCTTTGCGGAGCCGGTAGAGACAATCCTGGCAGTGGCTAGTGGTGATGATGGGTCTAGAGTAGCTGTATTTTGCCCGGTATTTCTCATAATAGATTTGGGCTTTGGGCCACCAGGCGAATCCTTGGCAGTTGTTGCAAGATCTATGACAGGCGGGAAGGCGGTAGCCTTCAAAGGTCCTGCAGAAGAAGCTAATCGAGGCTTCGTCTTAGGACCAGATCCACCGCCAACAGTAAGGCCACCGGCCAAGATGGGCGCTCCCTCAGCTGCGTGATCATGTTTACTCTTCTTCTGGCGACCAACGTATTGAAAACTCTGGGCACGGTAGGCATCCGCCATGGCATTGTCACCAGCAACGGCCATGCCACTAATCGGGTCCTCCTTCCACAGTTGCGAGTTAAGAAACTTTTGCGCCGTGTGGACCATGGTTGCTCCAATCAAAGTTGGGTTTCGCGAGTCTTTGTCCAATGACCAAGCAACCCTGGCTGCTTCTGGGAAGTCGTTCTGAACGCATATGGGCATCTCATGGAGTGAGCTCACTGCATTAGAGATGTTGTTCGACAAGAATGTTTCGCCCACTACAAGAGCATCCTTTAGTCGAACTTGGTCCTCTTTGCTTACATGTACCTGCCCCTCCGTTAAGAACTTCTGGGCTAAATTGACCGCTGTAACAACCTCTTCTCGTTGATAGCCAGACCAGAAGAAAGACGCTTGGCGCAAGTTCGACACAAGCTCTTGAAGTGCCGCTCGTTGGCGGGAATGGAACAGATAGTCCGCATCCTTCCGTTCGGAAGTAACAGCGTTCGAGGTAATCATCATTGAGAACAAATTCAGAGACAGCTTATCCTGCATGGAGCCCTCAAGATGAACAATATCTTGATAGAGTGGGGGGAGCTGGACGTCGAGCATGACGTCTTCTGGTCGGTGACGGATTATCATACCTTCCAACGTGGCCCTTAGACATGCCATATTACCGCGGCTCTTAGAGCCATGTCGCGGCTGCATAGCATACTGTACCCACGAGGCATTGTCGTTGTCCTCTGAAGATTTTGCCCAAGGACGGGCTTTCAAGTACGTCGTGGCTATATTACCAAGTTTCTCAAGATCCTTGCGTTCGTTGGAGAGCTGGGATGGCGTAGGTGAGGTGCTCAAAGGTTCTCCTATGGGGTTTGGGAGAGGGGAGTTCGCATTGGATGAGCTCTGGGAGTCAATAATGACCTCAGCTCCGTATAGACCTCGGGTTGGTGTGCCAGAGACCACCCACCGAGCGTCAAGTTGCAGAAAGTCGACCACTGTAACGGCTTCTGTCTTTGAGCTTTGAGAAGAGTTACCCCACGTATGGCCTTCGTCAGTAATCATTCGTTTGAAATGGAGCTGTCTTAGTGGCGAACAATATGTGCGATCGTCTCGAAAACAAGTACAATCACGTATCCTAGTAGCTCCGATGTAGGTGCAATGGCAGACTATCACGGCACTTGAGCGGCGTCGACCCTGGTCATCAGTTCCATCCTTAGATTCTTGGTCGAACCGCTGCTTGCTAAAGAGAATAATATCGTACTCGGCGAGTTCTCTCGCAGGAGGAAGTTTCGATTTGGGCCTATCCATGACAAGTACCTTCAAACCCGTTGTATGCTTTCTAATTTCGGACTGCCATTGGACGACTAGATTCGATGGAACTACCACAAGGGTCGCGGCGGTTAACCATATCTTAATAGGTGCAGCTTCAACGTAATGTCGTGATTCTCTTCTAGGCTCAGGGCCGGGAAGATAATAGTACCCAGCCCCTGCCTTAAGCGCATTGATACAGTTTGACATGTCGTAACCGCCAGCCTCGACCTTTGAAAAGTAGTCCTTCCAAGGGGTTGCAGTCCGCCCAATTGTCGCTGCGCACATGTCCTTTAGAGAACCGGTCGAATTTCGGATAGGGATTGTGCCAACTGAATGCTCGACCGGGATCTGAGATGATAATTCTCGAGTTGCTAAAATCAAGGACAGGCAGATCAATGTTTTACCTAGGCCCATAGTCTCAGCGCAAATGCCGCCCTTAGCAGCCTCATAAGTTCGGGGTTCTATAAAGCATGAACCTGCATCGACATCGCAATACCAAATGGAGCCATTCTGACTTTTGATGCTACGGAGTCTAGGGTCAATAATCCTGTCAGGTTGCGCCTCGCGCTGAAGCATTAATGCTGCTGACCGACGCTGATATGCATGCATAGTGGTTTTGAGATCCTCGACGTCATTGTTCAATATCTTAAGCATCGCATCCTTCGCATACTCATCAGCAACGATATTGGGGTCGGGCTTGGGTGACGGAAGCGTGTTAAAAAGGTAAAACAATGAAGCATTATCATTGGATGTGTCGTCCAGGGAGCTATCGACGTGAGTCGGTGCAACCTCTTCCGTCCAGTCACCCTGCCAAGTACTATTGGAGATGTCCAACAGTGAGAGTAAATGCCGCATCGCACGGCGATTTCCCTCGTGCTGCCTATCGACTGCAGCCCTCCCTACATCGTCGGGCAGAATGTATACCCGAACTTGTCCTAAATCCGGGTCCTGCGTCTGGAATTCCATCCGAATCCATCCCATATGGTGAAGACTGCGGTAAGGCGATAGGATCAACGAGCTAAGCAAAGATTCCTGGAGAGCATTGAGCAGGAAATTGCCAGCTCGAGGATTGTGCACATCGCGAGGATGCGAAAACGCACGCCAAGAGTCGCATGACTTCCAAACGTCTAAGGGTATATCAAAATCGCTCCGTTGCACCCGTATACATCCTGCTGGGATGTATTTTGAGATATTGCAGATGTAATGATGGTCGGATGGGTTGGAAGGAATAGGCAGCGAGGCGAACGTGAAACTGGAGTCGAAAGGGGCGTGGGATCGGCTTCCAATTGTGTCACTAAGGAGGGTAAGTGTGGATTGATGTCCACTCCCATTCTACACGGTGGTCAGCATTTGCATTTCCTCGGATGTAGTGGAATAATCGTGAGGTGAAGAGGTGAGGGTTGCTAGGTGACAGGTGAGAGGCAAGAACCGTACCTGCAGGTGTTCATCGCCAGAACAGCTCAACTTGTTCCTCTTGCGATTTGGCACCCAGATATATTCACTAAGAGCCTCCATAATCACCAGCAACAGATCGCTCAAGAGATGCTAGTTGTTCCTATAGTGTGCCCAGCGAACGAGACGTGTCCGTGATTTAGGCAGGCGCGCCGAGCTGGCTACAGAGCTACCGAGGAGGCGGTGAAGATCGCATAGATTGGGCCGAAAAGAGTCAGGGTCAGATTCTCAAGGGATCAAGTAAATAGAATACTACCCGGAGATTGCTCTCCCACCTGTCTGGATGGTAAAGGAGTGAGGGCGGTGCTGATGCTGTTCGAAGTTCATCTTGGGGAACGGACTTTTGTTTTGCCGGAGCTAGCGCGGATTGATAAAGATCCCTGCAATACTGCATGCTTTGAGATAAGATAAGATAAGATAAGATAATCGCTGTACTGTATAGTGAGGTGCAATAAGTTTGAACACCCCCCCTTGCTAGCGTTCCGATACTTACTTACTTTCAGGGCGGCAGTATTCAAAATACGCACCTCAGCTACCCTAAAGTAACCACATCAACAGGGGGGGGGGTTCAAACTTTTTGCACCTCACTGTACAGTGCAGAATATCATGTGATTTCTGGAAATATATTATTAGTATCCGTACAACGTAGCGGTATATCTTGCTTCTCAAAGGAGCGGTTATTGAAATTTTCTTGAAGCTGCTAGCCTGCTGAGCATTATAGAGATACCGATATGCCTCTATACTAGATTTTCATTAAATATAATAGATATTAATTAATTTAACCCCTCCATTCCAAGTTCCATAACCTCGAATAAAAACCAGCCGAGTTTTCGACATCTACGAGGGACATGTGAGCTCCTCCTTTTAACCAAAGCAAGATTTATTTTCTCCACCGAGTTAGCACCTAACTCCATCTTCTGCAGACCCTAGTCACGGACCCACTACACGCTAAATCTGTGAGTGGACCTCAAGGGCGAGGCTAGCCTGATCGAGGCTTGCGGATGCTTTTGGGCAGGAAGATAGGTGGCTTTTGTAGTTGAACAAGTAGAGAACTGATTGAACGGTGGCAGGGAATAGACTAGGGAGATTGCGGAGGTAGAGTGTGATTGTCGGTATTTTAGAATTCGAGCATTAATCCAATCGCCCTTCTCATATAAATATCATTCATGAATATACTTTATAGACGACCAAATATGCAAATGCTAGATATAGCAAGAGCGCCAACACTTTAGGATAATAATCTTAATAGGTAATCCTAGCGATATTTGGCCGACGAGGTACTTTCGCTGACTGGGAAGTGATGCCGCTACTGGTAACTGGTAGCGAGAAATGTCTCTTTTGAAATAGAGAACTTGAGTCAATGTTTGAGCTCAATGCCGCTACAATCCGTCATTCATATTTTAGCTGAGCAACTGGTTGACTCGAAGAATAACACGCCGAAGCAATATGCACCGGGGCGATATCTTGAAGGGAGGCATGAGCGATTTAAAGCAGTCATTTCCGTGATAATCATACACCACTATAGAGTAAAGCTTACAATAATATACCATCCCGCTACCTTTCCGGGATATCAATGTAACCCGAACCTCATTGCGGCCCTACCAATCCTTAACCCCTTCATGAGCCAAGTAAAGCGTCTCTCCCCCAGCCGCCGCCTTCGCATTACTAATCTCCCATTCAAACTCCTTAAGCGCCCTGAGCTCACTGCCCACGAATAACCCCCCAATTAACCCATCAATAACACCAGCGCTCAAACACAATGTACTGAAAAGCATTAAGAGAAAAGCTACAAAATTCCGAGGACTCCACCAGACGGCTATCAGACAGCCAATACTTATTAGCAGTGACCCAAGGAAATGTCCAAGGCGAAGGCGGCGTTGTCGATTTTCACGCCGGCGGTATTTCTCAACCATGGCTAAGATCTCGTCGTAGACGTGGAGAGGCAGATGGGGAGGAGGGGAATATTTAAATTGTTCGTGGCGAGCACGGCGCTCGCTAGAAGATGTGGTTTGCAAGAAGGTGCCATTTCGGAGAGCCGAGTCGTTTTCTTCTTTAGAAGCCGCGGCTTCAATGGCTTTGGAGTGTAGGAGTGTGGCTTCGATCGAGAAATGGTCGCTAAGAGAACACTGCAGCTCTGGATGGCGATCTAACATCCCCACTCGTGCAGATTTGACAATCCAACCTCCTTCTGCGATTGAATAACCGGTGCTTGCGAATATGTAATCTAACCGCTTGGCTTTGGGGTCTATGCTATCGCGTGGCACTTCAATAGGAGGTTGATTCGGTCCCAACCGCTTCTGTTGCGCTTTATTCCACCGCCATGTGTTGAGGACACTGTCGCAAGTCGCCCCGTTCTCCACAATGTTATGCTCGGCAGTCGGTATTGGCCGTCGCCTGGCTTTCTCTACCGGATCCTCTGCTGATCCAAGCGAAGAGTCGGGGTGTAATAAATGCCAGACGTCGCGCACTGGCGAGTGCGTGCATATCAGCCGGTGCGCGAGGGAAAGAGGAATCATGTTAAAGTCTCCAAGCGCAAGGACGAGGTGACCGCGCTCCGCGGCTCCGCGAAGAAGCTTGGAGATCTCCCAGGCCTGGGCCGTCCGGTGGCATATGTATGAATCGTTGGGTTCACTTTCGTAAGGCGCATGGAGCTGAATTGGTTAGAATGACACTCTGGCGGCGCCCGTAGGAGCTCTCTTACATGAGTTGTGAAAACCTCCGCGATGTCCTTTGGACCCGGACCGTATCTTATCCTCGCAGACGCAACGCCCTTTCCCACAAACCAATCCCCTCTGAAAAAGGCAGTCGGCCGGCCATTGAGGGGGTATCGAAACATGGAGGCCTCTTCTATTGGCCATTTTGACAGTATTGCCAGCCCGCCGCCAAAGATGCCACTATGATAAAACTTCCCATAGGGCAAGATGTGTTTCGTTTGCCGTCGAATACTTTGGTAATCTTGATGCGTCCAACATTCCTGCAACCCGACGATCTGCGGTACTGGGTTTGCGCATGCTATGCGTTTCCCAATCTCTGCCAACCGTTCGTTGCGGAATTTTGCCAAGTATTTCAGTCCCCAGCAGTTGAGCGTGATGACGTTGATTTCGGTCGGTGCAGGAAGATTAGAGTCCATGATTGTATGCGGGTTGGTTGTGCTCGTTTCTCTTCGAAATGGAGAAAGGGGAGGGGAGTCGGAGAGGACGGAGAGGGAGGCGCGGCGCGGCGACAAGAGAGAGCCTCTCTTTTCTCGAGCATGCGACGCAGAGAAGTTGGTCGGGTTTAACTCGGTTGCTACTGTAATAACTACAGGCCGTTCTGTTGGCGCCGTTATACCGTATCCATGGGTGGCGCAAAGGGGGTGGGCTGAAGAAGCTGAAGATTATGGGGAGCAAGATGAGGCGAAGCTTTCGGGAGGGGCGTAGAGATAGCGAGGGGAACGTGGGTTATGCAAGCGGTGCGGTTTGAACAAAGCATGAAGTTCATGCCTCGAGATTTCTCCTATTCCGTGCAGAACGACCGGAGCTAGTTCCTTGTAGGGTAGATAGGTAAGGTAGGTATACAATACAATTGTATATATTATTAGATACTCCGTGCCCAGGACTCAGCAGCTATCTCCTCTCCTCTAAATAATACTATGCAGAACCAAATACGACGTGTGTCTCTGGCAGTGGCGTCTGGACCGTGGACTCCTGGATTGCGGGAGACATCGCATCGCACAGTTCATTCTCTGCCCCACGGGATCCATATCCGGGATTAGCGCCCAGGGTTATTGAAAGTCAAAGCGTACCTTGCCTTGGCTGTAGAGTTCTGTAGGCTGTAGGTAACATTCTAGTTTTTAGCTTTTAGTTTATACTCGTAGCTTGTATGTAGCTTGATCGAGCTTCAGCCACTCCTTGACTTGCTCAAGCTTCAACGAGCCCTTCGTAACGCGTACTCCGTAACAGGCGGCGCTCTCCGCGATTTAAGGTTACGTGCCTGGGTCCTGGCTTACCAGACCGGACCGGACCTCTGCATTTTGTGCTGCACCAACGCGTCACGCGTCTGCCACAGAGAAATTCGTTTGTGTCGACATCGCGATCTGCGATCTCGATTTGCCTACCTGGGTATTTATGGTCTACACGCACCGCAATTGCACCACAATTGGATCACAACCCATCTCCCGCCCACAATGTCCGACCTCGACTCCCCAGACGGTACGCCCGCAGATGGTACGCCTGCAACTGCAACCCGCGAGCGGCGGTCATCCAAAAGGCGACGAGTGCACAACGACGGTGGTGATAGTGAGGGCTCAACCCCTCGCTATAGCTCTCCAGATGATCAGGATATGGGGATGCGGATGGAGGAAGACGGACCATACCGATCCCCGAATCGGGATTCAGAAGATCGGCGGAGATCACAGGCTTCAGATGGCAGTCCCGACGAGTTAGACCATCCCTATCGCGATCGCAGCAGAAGTCGATCGATCCCAACCAGCACCGACACCCCCCGCGAATGTGACTCTTCACATTCGCATTCTCCTCTGGGCGGACCCTCGCCACCCTCATACAAGCCTTTGAAACTTAACTATAAGCAGAAGTTCATCCTCAGAGGTCACCGCAAGGGCGTTGCACAAGTGCGCTTCTCCCCGGATGGGCGCTGGATAGCCAGTTGCTCCGCAGACGGCACCATAAAAATATGGGATGCGGCGACTGGAAAACATATGCGCACCTTGCAGGGACATTTGGCGGGAGTTTCGACGATTGCTTGGAGTCCGGATTCAAACACGATTGCTTCGGGGTCGGACGATAAGGCGATACGATTATGGCATCGAGCGACTGGAAGACCCTATCCTGCACCACTCTTAGGCCACCATAATTATGTCTACTCCCTCGCTTTCTCGCCAAAGGGGAACATGCTGGTTAGCGGGAGCTATGATGAGGCTATATTTCTCTGGGACCTCCGGGCAAGGAGGCAGATGAGGAGTCTGCCCGCCCATTCGGATCCGGTAGGCGGGGTAGATTTTATCAAGGATGGGACATTGGTCTGCAGCTGCTCAACCGACGGGCTAATGTAAGTTGGATACTTTTGTACGATCCCCTTCCAAGATTTTGGACCTGACTTGATCGCAGACGGGTGTGGGACACAGCAACTGGACAATGTCTTCGAACCCTCGTCCATGAGGATAATGCTCCCGTAACCACCGCCCGATTCTCCCCCAATGGCCGCTACATTCTTGCTTGGACGCTGGACTCCTGCATTCGACTGTGGGACTATGTTTCAGGCCAGTGCAAAAAAACGTATCAGGGTCACGTCAACACCAAATACTCCTTAGGCGGCGCGTTTGGAGTAGGTGGCACGGAAGGCTTTATAGTATCGGGGAGCGAGGAAGGTGACATACTCTTTTGGGATGTACAAAACAAGAACGTTGTTCAGCGGGTTACCGGTCATGAAGGGGTGGTTTGCTGGATTGATACATGTCCTGGAGCGAGTGGAACAATAGCTAGCGGGGGGTTAGATGGGACTGTGCGGATTTGGGTCGACGTCCCTGATGAAGACGGCATCGATCGCCTGAAACTGGAGGATGAAATTGCCGAGAATGGTTATACCAATGCCGATGATGTTGGCATGGATCGCCTTAAGGTCGAAGAAAATGCTGACGACGGCAACAACAGTGATACCCCATGGGATGACATGAGCATTGACGGCCACCGGAATCCCGAAAGAGAAGCTGAAAGGCTTAACCCGGATGGCATGGACGAGGATTAATCGTTCGTTTCAATGGAATCACCATGTTTATTTGCTACACCGGAATTCCAACCACATTTCTGCCTGGACTCTGAAATTGCCAACCCAGGTTGATATACGGATATCTCTTTGCGCGTAAGGACCGGCAGCTAAAATCCGAAACTCCGACGCTCTTTTGTTATAATTGATAACATTCCTCCACCTGCCAAGTGGCTTTGTCTTAGTTGTTCTGCCTCGGTATCTACGTACCTTCCCAGGCCGCAGGATTGGGCGATGTCTACATTAAGCGAGAAACGCATAAAGGTACCGTTTCACAGTGAGTAAGGGAGGCTCACGAGCGTTTCTATCATCTAGAGCACAACAGCTCTTTAGCAGAGACGGAGATATCACAAGGCTTGTCGGCATTGAGTACAGCAAATTTGGACCCACTAGCCAGAGAATCCGAGTGGCCCCCAGCTGGCGAAGTATATATAATCTGGCGATTTGCCCAAGATGCAACATGTATTCTCCGAAGTCTCAACTGCTATTCCCACCATCAATGGGACGGAGGCTGCAACTTGGTCTGGATTAATAATGGTGTTGTCGCACTTCTCTTTTAGACTGTTCTCAGTCCTCCTGTCTTCAATTCCCTTTACGCTATCATCCACAGCTGGCACCGCCGCCGAGACGGAGCTTGCTTTCAACACCTTGCAAGAATGGTATAGCAACGACACTGGACTCTGGACAACCGCTGGCTGGTGGAACAGTGCAAACTGTCTGACCACCGTTGGAGACTTGGCTGCAGTCGACTCGAGTGTGGCACCTACAGTGCAAAAGGTCTTCTCCAACACCCTTGTCCAAGCACAAAAGGCCAACCTCCAAATGCAAAAGGTAGTGACTGCATCTTTTAATGTCGAGACCTTCTACGGGCCCGTGTTCCCGTCAAATGTCGTCGTACCAGAATCCACCAATACCAAGGGTTTCCTCAACGGCTTTTACGATGACGAAGGGTGGTGGGCACTGGGATGGATACAGGCCTACGACGTAACTAAAAACACCGAATACCTCCAAACTGCTATGGATATATTCAATGATATGTCCGGCGGGGGCAACACACCCTGTGGCGGAATATGGTGGGACAAGGCCCAGACATATGTAAACGCCATCGCCAACGAGCTCTATCTTTCTGTGGCAGCTCACCTGGCAAACCGCCTCCCGAACGACCAATCCAACTATTTAAACATCGCCCTAAAGCAGTGGAACTGGTTTGAAAACACCGGCATGATAAATTCGAAAAACACTATTAACGATGGCCTCACCAAGTCTTGTGAACCCAATAACGGAACTGTATGGTCGTACAATCAAGGCGTCATCCTTGGGGGCCTAGTCGAACTCGCTACGGCTTCAGGCGACCCGTCCTACCTCCTAACCGCCTCAACCATTGCATCCGCAGCCATATCCGCGCTCTCTAACTCCAGTGGCGTTCTGCATGACCCATGTGAGCCGAACTGTGGGGGCGATGGTTCGCAGTTCAAAGGGATTTTCATGAGGAATTTAGGGAAGCTGCAGACGGTTAGGCCGAAAGATGAGTTTCTCGGGTTTATAGAGAGTAACAAGGACAGTATTTTGAAGAGTAATAGGGATTCGAAAAATAGGATGGGTGTTGTTTGGAGTGGGCCGGTTACTGAGCCCGCAACTGCGAGTTCGCATAGCTCAGCTATGGACGCGCTCGTTGCGGCTTTGGCGTTGGGTGTATAGAGTGGTGGATAAAAGTATTCTCCGTATTTGGAAAAATGTGTTAGAATGGGGGTTTAGAGAATAATTAATAAAGCGGGTGTGCTACGTATTACAAAGCAAACTATGAAAGAGCGTTACACGTTGATTGTGCAATAGGTCATTGTGTAACTTAATACCGTTGGGTAATATATGGGGTCAACTCGCCACGTTACAGAATTATTATTTAGTTAGGGTTACTTGGCACGTGGAAGCAGCAGCGGGGATATGTTTTCTCAGGTGATTTGCGGGATACGTGAGACATGTTTAAAGGGATGTTATATGAGAAAATGGCTTGGAATGACATGCCGGGCTTTACTCCTATACTTAGTCAATGGAGGATAGTGGTAGCGCCTGTCACGTAAGGGCTATAAGTCAAACGTAAGATGATTTCGTACAGATAGAGTTAGGTTTTCTAATAAACGGCACTAAACACATCTCCATATATATGCTCGCTATAATATAATACCTCGAGCGCGAGGAAGCATAGCCGGGTGCTGGAGATTAATAAGTGTTTACTGGTATACAAGCAGCATGAAGTGCTCAATTCTAGAGCTACCGGAATCTTGAATAAAATAGCCCCACCTAGTGTGATGGAAAGTCCTACGAGGTTAAAGAATAGACAAATGTAATGAGGCATTGAAGAGAGATTTCTGCAATATATCTCGGTCCTCTAATTCTGGCAAGCTTTTCCTTCCGGATAAGGATATCCCGAAAGCGGCCGACTTGGTTTGGTTTTGCCAAGCGGTAGATTCACAACATGAGAAGATGTATCTCTTTAGTTCACACAAGAAAGTCTATTGTTTGTACAGAGAGCATATCTAATACGTCCTCAAATGTTACGCTCATTTGCCCTGTTTGACCCAGCCCTCGACAACCTCCCGGCCCGAGCTAACTTTATCATCCACAATATCAACAGCTTGCTGGGAATGAACCTTCACCATCCTGCATGCCTTCTCAATCCCCTCTCTCGTTCTCATGTGGCCATCCGCTATCGCCGGGAACCGCTGTTCATATTTCCATACCAGATCCGAGATATTCCGCATAGTAACGGGCAGCACAACCCACCCCGCCCCGATGCCCACCGCAACCGGTACCGCAGCCCTCAACATAATATTCCGATTTCGAGAAACAATGCTACCAGCCATAGCGCCAATAAGCACGTATAAAGCTCCTGGCAAAAGTTTCTCCCCGGATTGAGGCGATGGTGCTAGGGAAGCGATTGTGCTTGTAAAGCTCTGCTCTAGACCCAGCGCTGAATCCATAACCTCGTTCACTTTGCTTTCAGCTGCCGCGACGTGCGCATGTAGGAACATGCGCGTCTTTCCTATTTTAACGGCTAGACGATCGGTTGGTGTTGGGTGGTTTGACTTCTTCGAGATCGTGGAACGGTCGGTCGACGTGGGGGCAGCTGGCGTATCCTCGAAGTCATCATATATTGGCTTTTTGGACTGCTAAATGGTAAGAAAGGATCATCCGGTATTTATATATAGAGTAGGACATGCTTACTTCTGGCCCCTCGGGAGACTCTGCGTGCAAAGTAGTCTTGGGGAACAGAGCTACCCCAGCGACGACGACCCCGGTGGCTACGGGAGCAAAGCCCTGCGAAAGTCAGCTTGATATCTAGTCAATTGGAGAATACATTACACATGCCTGCCGTAAGAACAATCGTGAAGCCATGGCTCAATTGGCGTCGATGTGGAGGCTCAATGGAGTTGGGGAAGAGGCTTAAAATCCAGCTTGTGATGGTTCGAGGTCGGGTGTGTTTATGCAGGATAACATAACTTACATAAGCGCGTCACAAAAATATCATTCCGATATCGAGTTACCTCGGTGGTACCACCCTCCACAGATACCTTCTTATACAAGCTTCCTTTTGTACATATGGGTGGGAGATATGTTCAAAACTGCAGTTTCTCGGCCATGGATATGCTCGACATGTATCCGCCGCCAATTGCCAGCACGCCGCCTTCGCTCGACTAGCTCGATAGCTCCATCTCTCCATTATGATAACGAACGAAACCCAACCAGCTCCTTCAAGGACGTCTCCAGTCTAATAGGAGCTGCCAATCCTGACGCCCAGCATGACGACCGAACGCTCCGCCAGATGTTCGACTCACCCGGCTTCTGGAAGGACTTTTCCCAATCCTCGAGAACTCATAATGGTCGGAATAGCGGGCTCGTTCAGAACAGATATCTGACCAGCGCTGATGGATTCCAAAGATTTGCACACACAAGTCTGAGGAAGGCACAACGGATAGTTGAGAAGGTGCTGGCCGCCAAAACACGAGAAGAGTACCACCAGGTTGTGCGCCAGTTGGACAGACTGAGCGACTTGCTATGCCGTGTGATAGACCTCTCGGACTTTGTTCGAGCTACGCATCCAAACCCGGAAATCCAAATGGCTGCTGCGAGGGCTTATAACACCATGTACGAGTACATGAATGTTCTCAATACTACAACAGGGCTGGCTGAGCAGTTAACAATCGCTATGAAAGATAAAGATGCTCCCTGGGGCGAGCAGGAACGAATGGTGGCTCGGATTTTAGAACGAGATTTCGCCAAGTCTGGAATAGATCTTTCCAAAAACCGGCGGGACCGCTTCGTGTCTCTGTCCCAGGAAATCTCCGATGTTGGGCTGAGTTACACAGACTCGATGGCACCAGAGAAGCATTTTTTGCCTTTCCGAAGCTCCCAGCTAGAAGGAGTTGACCCCCTCTTTATCAGCAACTTCAAGAGGTTGGGAATGATCATTTTGCCAACGGTTGGGGAACCTGCTATCACTGCTCTGCGTACTGTCAAGGACCCTGAGGTGAGAAAAGAGATCTTCATGGCTAGCCGCACAGCATCCCGTTCAACTGTGAACAAGCTCGAGACTTTGTTGCAGAAGAGGGCAGAATTGGCAAAGCTTGTCGGATATGATAGCTACGGTCATTTAGCTCTTGAAGATAAGATGGCGGGACAGCCACAAAGTGTGCTTAAATTCCTAAACCAATTATCCTCTCAAAACATTGATGCTTTATCACTACAATTTGAGCAGGTCCAAGCTATGAAGGAGCGTAAAACTCATATAGATGGAGCAGTTATTGAGCCCTGGGATAAGGATTATTATACTGCCAAAATACTCGAGTCAATGCGCTCGAAGAACCGGACACCTGATTTTCTGTCGTCCTATTTCTCTCTTGGCACAGTCATGCAAGGGCTATCAAGATTATTTTCACGTCTCTATGGGATCAGACTTGTGCCGAAGGAGACTCAACCAGGAGAGGCATGGAATCCTGATGTCCGCCGGCTTGACGTAGTATCAGACCAGGATGGCCACGTTGCTGTCTTGTACTGTGACCTATTTGCTCGCCCAGGAAAGTCACCAAATCCAGCACATTTCACTCTCCGTTGCTCACGATGGATTGGCGATGAAGAGATCAAGGAAGCACATTCCGCGGCCGATCCTATTTTCGCTTCTGCCGAAGAGGCTGCTAACGATGGGATGGCTATTTCCAAAGAGGGCCATCCGGGAGGTGTAATGCAACTTCCCACCATTGCTTTGATTTGCGATTTTGCACAGACGCCTGGCTCTAGGCGACCAGTCCTCCTCAGCCTTTCAGAAGTTATAACTTTATTCCATGAGATGGGTCATGCTATCCATTCCATCCTCGGCCGAACAGATTTCCAAAACCTGTCAGGAACAAGAGTCGTCAGCGATTTTGCTGAATTCCCGTCAGTGCTGATGGAGCATTTTGCTGTGGATCAGAACGTCCTGTCCCTTTTCGCTCGGCATTACGAAACCGACGAACCCCTTCCGTATGAGATGGTCGCTGAGCAGTTGGCATTTAACAAGAAATTCGAGGCGTTCGACATTGATAACCAAATCAACCTCTCGCTACTCGATCAGGAACTCCACTCCTCTAAGGCTCTGGATCCCTCTTTCGACAGTACCAGGATATTTCACGAACTACAAGCAAAATACTCCAAGCTACCCGTCGATCCACCAGGTACTAGGTGGCAAGGCTTTTTCGGACATTTATTTACATATGGTGGCACCTATTATAGCTATCTCTTCGACCGAGCTATTGCCCGACGTGTCTGGCAAAAGGTTTTCGATTCCGGAAATAACAACGGTTCGATCAGTAGAAGCTCGGGAGAAAGGCTGAAAACTGATGTTTTGAGATGGGGTGGTGGAAGAGATGCATGGCATTGCTTAGCTGCAACTTTAGAGGATGAGAGACTTATCGATCCTACTCCCGGTAGAGCAATGGATCTTGTTGGTACCTGGGGCATCGAGGGCAAGGAACATACGGAGAAACCGGAGAAGCGCTAATCTTGACTAGAGGCTGCCAAAACGCAAGAGAGTCGAGCTGTAACTGCACGAAGTGACTCGCAATGGTTCACGACAGCCCGACTGTTCAGATTATGTACACTATTTCTCTTAACATCAAAATTAGACTATTAGAGGATAATCTACCGTAATTTTCTCTCAAGGCGAGGTGGAGGCCTTAGTTACCTGAGTGATGGAGACGCAATGCGTTGGCGGCTTACCCCAAGTTCGTCGCTCATCTGCGCCCTGGTGCGGGGAGTTAGGCTCACTCCAACATATCCAACATACAGGACTGTTTGAGGGGTATAAACCACTGTCCGCATTGGATACCACTCCTATTCTTCCATACACCCGATTCACCCGATCTTGTGGCCAGGGTAGATACTACTAGGCTTCAGTAAACCAATCTCGCATAACCATAGCACTGAGTTTTAACTTGAGTTGTAGTGGAACCCAACATCCTATGAAAGACGGCCCATATCATGGTTCTAGGATCCTAGGTAAAAAATAACATGAAGGGATCGGACGCATACCCGTAATTGTTGATGCCTGCGTTCGCTAAACTTGAGGCGTTTACAGTATGTGCCAACACTCGGTACAGTCACCTACTCGTACGACAGTTCCTTCAACTTCAGCCTTCGCGTTTTCGGCCGCAGTTTGCCAACGATCGTTACAAAACAACGCCATAATTAGATGATGATGTCAATTCGTAAACCTCCCATACGGCGTTCGTTTAGGAACTTTCAACGAGCGGCTACTAAGTCAGCAAGAAACTATACCACGACAACTTCAACATCAATGGCAGGTCCTATAATTCTCCCACTTGATGTTCCAGTCGAGGAAGAGACATCCCCAAATTACGATCCAAAGGGCTATTATCCAGTGGACCCGGGGCAACTCTTCAACAACAGATATGAGATGATAGCAAAACTTGGGTGGGGTTGCAGCTCGACCGTATGGCTAGCTCGAGATGTCAAACGGTAAGTATCATATATATGCTAAATATAGGTATCTACAGTCTAACAGTTTTATAGTTGGTGGTGGCAGCCTGACCGATATGTGGCTGTAAAGGTCGGCACATACAGATATGCCACTAGGAATGCTGCAGAGCACGAGTTAAATATCTCTCGGCGTATTTCCAATCAAAATCCGTCGCATGAAGGCTTTCCTTACGTGAGGAGTATCATTGATAGCTTCGAGGCAGTGGGACCAGATGGCACCCATGTATGCTTAGTATATGAGCCTATGAGAGAGCCTCTTTGGATGTTTCAGCGACGGTGCAAAAATGACAGGCTCACCATTGAGCTTGTTAAAGGATACTTGGGCCTTCTTTTAAGGGCCCTGGATTATCTCCACTCTGAGTGTCATATCGTACATACAGGTAATCCGATACTGCACTCAGCCCTCAATATATGTGAGAGCTTACCTAGTAAATCAAGATCTCAAGCTAGACAATATCTTAGTCGGATTTGAGGACCCATCTGTGCTCCGCGACTTCGCTCAGGCACAGCCCACATACCCAATGCCTCGAAAAACCAGAGATGGTCGATCAATATACCTATCACACAATAATTTTGGTCCCCTTCGATCCTTCTACATACTCCCAAAAGTTTCAGACTTCGGACTCGCACAGCCCGGAGATGGTCCCCAACCAATGGTTCACCCCATTCAGCCTGATCACTATTGCGCTCCAGAAGTTATTTTAGGTGCAGGATGGTCCTATAGCGCAGATATTTGGAACCTCGGCGTACTGGTACATTTCTCATTTCATATATATGATTAAGCATCTCTAACATAATACAAAAACAGATTTGGAATATGATGGAAAATAAAGAATTGTTTACTAATATTAGATCCAACCAAGGTGAGTATGATTGCAAAGCACATCTTGCGCAGATGATTGCACTGCTGGGGCCTCCACCGAAAGAGCTCCTTGACAGGGGAGGGCAGGGAGGCAAATGGAACTGGGAACCTGAAATGGAAAATCCTGCCGGCGAGCTTTGTAATAATGCGATGGAGTTTTATAGAGGCCCCTATTTCGACTCCGACGGTGAGTTATTCCCAAATCTTTTATAATAGTGCCTAATCTTCTATTATAGGTGTATTCCTGCACAAAGACCTTATTCCTGGCGACTTAAATCTAGAGGGTACAGTGACTGCTCTCGAAGGCGACGATAAAAAAGCCTTTTTCGACTTCATCAGTAAGATGCTTCAGTGGATGCCGGAAGACAGGAAGACGGCTAAGGAGCTACTGGAACACCCGTGGCTACAAATGCCCGATGAGTGAAGAATGTACCGGACGTGAACTTGAGAATATATAATCGTGGGATCAGTCCTATCTCATATTTGCTCCGCTCCAAGAAGACTACTCCACACTAGAAGATCCCAAATGTATAATTATTCCCTGATCCAACCGCGACGCCGGCCGTACTGGCCTTTTAGGGTCAGCAGGATTTTCGAGATGCACTGCCCGCATTAAAGAATTATACGATCATAAGAGAAACTATAAGGATTGAAGTACATGGGGGGAAACCCTGAGGACCCAAGAAGGGTCATCTGGGCTGGGAACGAGATCGCAAGCAGGGCTTGAGGAAATGAGGGAGCACTTATACAGGAATGTTTGAATGCTATTATATTACCCCCGTACTACAAAAAATCACGTTATAGTTTGAGTTGACGGGTAATAGATCGAGGGCAGGGCGTCGGTCACGTAATTAATAGGTATTGAACTATAGTTCCTCTCGCAGATAGAGATAGCGGTTCGTGAGGACCCGAGTTTAAGATCACTTTTGTACTTAAGAATAGGAGGTCCTTTCAGGGATTTCAGGAGAATGATTAAGCTAGATGGGGTTGTGAGTCGGAGGCGCTAGTGCACGAAGTTGTTCTCGCATAAGAAAGAGAATTCAATTATATATATGGATAAGTAATAAAGAGGCAGGATTTAAAATATATACTTTCGAGCTTTAGGAGTAAGTCGCTTCAATCTAAAAACGTTTATATCCAATCCACTCTAGTTCTAGCATATAACATCCTCCAGTCCTAGCACATAATATAAGACTCTCATTTATAAGTAGCAGCTTATCACTTGTTTAGTTATTGTATATTCCAATATATTCTATACGTGAACGATCTTACAACCCTGCAACACTCACCTGCGAATCACTCATCCAGATTTCGGAAATGAAATGAGACAATTAGAGGTAAGCTGGCCTTGAGAACCCAGTGTGTAACACCAAGCAGCTCGCGTTTCATGCTCGAGGGACTGGAATATATTAACTGGCAGGCTAGAGATAGCACACTAGCTACTATATTCGTTACAATGTTGTAAGATCGCTAGCTGGAAGGCTAGGTCGATGTCTGCATCAGGTAGCCTGTATCTTGAATTCCCCCTATCTTGAGTGGCACAACTCAGTTACATTAGAGGACAGAAAACGTTATCTTCCGAGTCGGAATCTAGGAAAGCACCAGGCACCTCATACTTGTACTCAGAGCCATTGGGCTGGCTTTCATATCCCTCTTCTTCCGATTTAATATCGATTTTAAAAGTGTTCGTTGATGCATTAACCAGAGGTTGAATGGAAACAACACTCTTGAACGGGTCTCGGTCATCGGTGACCTGGTCGGTAGCGACAGGCTCTCGTTTCAGCCAGTCTATGTTCAAAACGGCCGTGGAACAAACCGTGCAATCCCCTTCGTGCACCAAGACTCCGTTTATGTCATCCTGAGTAAAGTCAACACCGCAGTTTGCACATATTAGATGGCGACACGGAAGTAGCCTAGGAGAGAAGCTATTAGCGATGCACCGCGAGTTCACGCCGGGCAACACAGACTAAGTTGAAAATGACCCACCGATAGCTCGCCCAGTTTACCACGCAGTTGTCGCAATAGCCAGGGATCTTTTGGTTCGAGGGAGTTCCTCCGATACCAGCACTCTTAACAGGTGGCAGCATTTTCTTGGCCGGCTTGATGCTAGCAAGCCCAAAGCTCAACTCAGCCTGTCCCTTAGAGCAGCTCGGTGTAAAGGGAATGCCTCTTTTCAAGTAGTCGTCGAATGAAATCGGGCACGGTGGTGGCTCTAAACCAGTCATTATTCTGAATGACTCTGCATTCACAATCTGGACACTGATAAGACAAGCATCGTTGACGTTCCAGGATCGAGGGTCCTCTTCGTCTGGCACAATGCGTTGCCTGATTTTCCCCCCCGCTCCAACGTCGAGGAGCGGTGAATAATCTGACTTCGTTCCTCCCCCTACGAACATTTGCCGCTCAAGAAGTAATACCTGTCCTGGTCTAACATCCGCGCGCTGCAAAGTGGTCCTGTCATTGGAAAACGTCCGGCGATCTGAAGACTGACTACGTATATAAAAGGTCCACATCTCTGGTTGTAGACATAGCGCGTGAGCTGCTTGGGCTGCTACAAAGCCTAGAGTTGTCTCCGGGAAGACAGATAGCCACAGTTCTTGTTTGCGTGGATATAGACACCGGACCGTTACTCGGAATGCTCTTGAAGGAGGAGGTGGCCAGAGCTGAAACTCTACGGTTCTCCGCTTCCTTTGGGACGATTTTACCCAATCCAGCTCGTCGAGAAGCGTCCTCTTCCTAGAGGGCCCCCCACGCGCCCGAGCATGTATACGCGTTTGCAACGGGATTTCAAGGTCTGAGCAGGACTCGAATCTCTGCGGGTGTTGCCAGTCTGCCCTGGTACGCTCGCCATAATATTGCAAATCTGATGGGTGGTGGTCTCGGCGCATCAGCTGGAATCGTCCCAGTTGTAGTTGTGGTATTATTTCGATTTGGATACCTCCCACTGTTGCCAGGCCCGTAACTTGATGTTCAATTGTTTCTGGTGATAAGGGCTGGGCGGCAACGAATTGTCTGACGAAGCCAGGAGCAATCGACACTCCATCCAGCCATTGCTGTGCTGGGTTGTCGCCACCGCGAACGTAGAGGTAGTCCTGTGTTCGCTCGATACCATTCAGCCTCTTTAATACAGTTGCCATGTTAGCTTTAACAGGCTCTCCGGACAGGCCATTAACCCCACCAATAAATACTCGAATGGCATATTTTGCTTCTGGTGCAAACATATCCGAGCCGTATACATGGAAGTTTATTTTCATAGCCTCCATATCTAATGAAAAATTCAGTTTGTCAGTTCGTAACTGGGCAATCAATAATGACTAGAGGACACACGTACCATACAACGGTACGACAATGCCTCCTTTCTCGACTGCATTTCTTGGAAGTTTGTCCTTTATTTTACTGACAGGCAAAAGTGGTAACGCGCCGAGACTATTGGGTGCCGGGTAGCTCCCTCCATCGTCCGGAATTCGCACCGTTCTATGGAAAGATATTGCAAGGCTATCACTGACGTGTATGCATGGGAAATTTGGCATGCTCTGGCTTGGAGACAACTGATCTCTCCTGAATGCCCCGAGCTCTGCTTTCAGCTTTCCGTTATTTCGAACGTGTGGTTCATGGACTGACATAGAACAGTCTGCATGAACGTGAGCTTCAAAATTTCATGTGGCAATTCTCGCCGAATGCGCTAGTATTGGTAAGAACGTACAGTCACTGAGAGCTTTTGAGAAGAATTCTATGACGGGCTCGTCTTTGTTGATTCTCAGATTGTTAAAGTCATAAGTCGAGGGACCACTGGACGTTATCGCTGGGATACTATCCGTGTACCATGGAATCTGTTCGTGATCAAAGGGCCTATGAAGTCCTGTAATGGTATTTGGACGATACCATCTCCTCGGAACTGCTGACTCGCACAGCTTCTCTATGGTGGTATGCTCTGGATAAAGAGCAGTCAACTGTTTAGAGCCATTGTATGAATTTATCACGCAACGCACGAAGCCTTCGGGAACGTCCTCCGTAAGACCATCAGAAGGACCTAGAGATTGCACGGAGTGAGTGAGGAGCTCACAGGCTGATACAGAACCACCGTGACTCTCATTGTTAACTTACAAGTCTCGGGGGCGGTCTGAGCCACCAGTTCGCAGACAACCTTCTGAAACAGGTGACAATCTCCACGAGTGAAGTTGTGCATCTGGGCAATGCTCCGGTGATCGCCGTTAAGGGGCATGGAAACCTCGTTGTTCAAACCTATCACGGCTGAATCCTTTGGTACCACCTGTAACTCGTCAATTAAGAAACTCTTAGAGTCTGGGGATCAAGACTTGTGAGGATACCATGATGCGATTCATTTCGCAAGTCTCGTAGAAGCTGAATATCTTGAGTCTAGAGCAAATTTTGGAAAACTGGTGCGACTTTTCGCTCAAAAAGTCATTATAGCGCTCTAGCCTTCGGATCAATCGTGTGTTAGGTTTGAATATCATGCTTAAGCGCGCAACACTGGCAACAATAGAGCCAAAGTTCGCGGTGGAAGAACCTTTATGAGGTGTTGCGAGAAATATGATGCCCACGGTTGCGTCAAATATTGGCGTATACAAGGCGTCAAGCTTCGCTTCGATCAATGCCTATAAGGAAGGCTAAAAGTTAGCATACACTGTCAGGTTCGATCAGTTCGATGGATATGTCTTGAACTGTTCGTAGAGTTTACCATCTTGGCAACAATTCCTCCCATGGAATGAGCGATCCATATAATCCGGTGACTCTGAGCAGATATTAATACGCGCGTGGTATATCAAGCCGCCGGGTGTCGATTACCTCAAATCTAACTCGCACTTGCCGAACACTCTCTAGGAGACTCCGCACAAAGTCCCCTAGATCCAATGAAGATGATACCGAGGAGAAAACGCTAGCATTATACCCGAAAGTCCAGATACGGGCATTTGTGCCCCGAATCTCATCCTTGACAAGAGAAGGAAGATGGTCTCGGAACCAGGTATTGCCAGGTCCATCTTCTGGAGATTGCCAAGTCTTTGTAGCCCCGCCGTTTAGACCATGGAGAAGAAAAATGCTATTTCGACCACCTGCAGTCAGAAGTAGTTCACGCGATAGACCCCGGAGAACAGCCCCTGCACAGGCAGAATGGTTGTTTCTTATACTCACTCGCAAGTATATGTCAGGGCAGGCTGGAGCGGCTGGACTAAGTACAGCCCTGGCTCATTTTGCCCACTGAAATATGTATAGCAGCCAGCACTTCCAGAGCCGGATACCGGATCTGCGGCCATATCTAAGTCTGCTCGTGAGAATTTTGGTAGGTATAGGCAGCGACGAAACCGTCTTGAATTTTTTTCAGATGGAGTCAGGCATTCATGAGGACTGGTTCACATCAGACTGCGATCCATCTCTTTGGGACTCGGAAAGAGGGGAAGTGAGCAACAGGTAGCATTGTCACCCTTGCGTATGCGGCACGTCGTTTCTCAACAAATTAGAGGCTGCTCTACATCTTATCGCCGGCTGCATCCCCTCCCACAGCATGTACATTGCTATTGGATCAAATTTAAGCATCACACACAAGAGCCTCATCAACAACATAGTGTGATTGCTATAAGTAAAGAGGTATTTTTAATGGCCTTCACATCACACGACCATAAGCAGAACCTTCCTCGAAAAACGGCCTCGCAAAGCAGTCTGTTAATTAACCAGCTGATATAGATGTCACAGGATACACATTCTATTATATAAAAGGGCAGTTTCTAGACCTAGAGGTATTTATTAGAGCCTCATACTCCATCCTCAGGTTTCTAAATCGGCATCCTGAAATTAATAATAGTTCAAGACTAGCGCATGTTACACTTAATATAACCGTTGTAACTTCTGCGTTATGAGACTACGGCATCTCTTTTGAGTTTTGGATTGCCCCTTGGATTATATTATCTACTCGAAGGATAACATAATAAAGGAAGTCCTTATCTCACATTAAGCTGCAATTTCCCTATTCTGCATCGCTTGGGCGCTGATTTAATCCCTTTTCAAGCGAGGGAATACTGATGTTAAATTGCCAAAATTCAAATAGACAGGAGGATCATTTGTCTCTTTAATGCACTATAAAAATTGCCGAATATAAGCTGAATAACCTCTCTACATATTCTCTCAAAATACAGATAGCTGTCCTAACGTTTAAACGACCTTTCCATTCCCAGTGCTTTTAAGCTTCTAGTACTTCCGTTCCTGCTGCCTTCAATTTAATCGCCTCTGTTAAATCCGCGTTCTTCCTGGAAACAATAAACATTTTCTATGCAGACTACATAACAAGCCCAAATGATGCAAGACGACAAAGTAAATGAACTGCTCGACGCAGTAACGTGTGTGTCATAACTCCAGGAGCCAGTCCCTGGGTCATGATATGTGGATTTTCCTCTATTCCATGGCTATGGAATATGGCCCAAATATGGGTGAAAAAACACAAACGTATTGGAAGTATCCCATCCACTCTGGGTGGACACTCCGCGAAGAAAGGATATCGGTGGTCAGTATATTGTATATTTGGTTCCTTGTGGTGTGCTCCTCGGTGCGGGATGTATACAACTTGTCCTTTGGTGCCCTGTCTTTCCTGTTTTATGTATACGGTAACGAAACGCGATAACGCAGACTGGTGGTCCTTACGTTCAACTAGTTGTTGACCGAGCTGCCCTAGTGATCGTCCTTATTAGATGTGGGACAAACAGACAGAGCGCAATAATAACCAGCCCTGGGGACATGCAATCTTAGCTTTTAATAATCATTCCCTTTTCCGCTACCGCATAAGAGTATAACTGGGCATGCCGTGGTCCAAAGTAGCGCCTCAAGAACCAATGCACGGTGGTACTAGACACCATTGCAAGGCATACCGACCAGGGGATAAGTCCAAGCATCACAACATCGGGATTGATTCCTAAACTCAGGCCAGAAATGGTAGCCGAAGTAATTGCCAAAATGAAAATAGCGGCCTGGTATTTGTCAAGTTCCTGGCGTCGATATGCAAAAGATGAGATTGCGCAACCTTCGACAATGCATGCAAATAACATTAAGCCAGGTGAAGGATCGAAGATATAAGTGAAATGGCCTGGATCAAAAGCTTGGGCTTCATGCCAGTTGCTCGGTGGACTACTACTCTGCTCAGTTAAATCAGACTAGGGAGCACGAAATGGCAGGATGGGTATACCAACTCGAAGCTCATTATGAAGAGCATAAGATGTTGTCATCAGACAGCAAAAGGAGACAAAAAGGATTTCCCAGCAAGTCGCGAGGGCATGGTGGGAACAGTGCTGGTGTAGAAAGGCCGCCGACGCCCCAGGGGCTGTAGGAGGACCCATTGATAAGCTCGACAACGAGCGACCTGTGGTTTGATACGAACAAGATTCCTGCTTCAATGATGTAGGTCTGAATACTTTGTCGTGCATAACCTGGCACACGGAGATAGTTAAATAGAACTTGGTAAGGTAACAATCGAACACGGCTGAGAGCCCAAGGGCAGTGACCCCACACTCTAAACAAGGCTCTGCCTGCAACCGCTTGGGCACGTGCAAGGTGTTGCCCTGAGAAGGCTGACGAGATTCCAACTCTACAAAAATATCAGGACTCCGGCACGAACGGCCAATGCAAATGGTGGGCCCAACCGGAAATACACATCCCTTTGATGCAGCTGTACAGGGAGTTATGAGCTTGTGACCATCTCGGTGATCTGATTTGGCTTGGGCAGACTGGTTGGGCCCTATCTGAGCTGCGGGCTGACCACAAGGCTGAGTCGGGCACAAATCGTCGCATTCGCTCACCGGGCGAGCAAGACGTGGATTGGTTTATTTTGGCAAGCCAATATAAGGCAAACTGACAAGGCTACAATCTGATTTCAAACAGAGTAGAGCTGAGGCAGGGTCGGATTACCAATGATATAAGCACCACTTGAAGGATCCCAATGACGAGGGATTTCGGCGCGGATGTAGTCGCTGTCAGTATTACAGATTGGGCTTTGCTGCCCAAGAACACTTGCGCCACAGCGTAATTGTTGATATCGTAGCGAGATATTGTCCAGTGCTATCATGGAAATGGTATCTAGGAAGCTAGATCTTCCTGCTGTGACTGAGACAGGTAAACTGCGTTACTGCCCGACGAAACCCACGACAGATTTCCGCTCTGGAGTCTTGAGCCTGTTTTCCCTCTGCAGCCAACTAGATTTGCGGAATCTCTTAAATAGTTGTGCTCGGTGTCCAGATGGCAATCCGCTTCTGAGACTCGGAAGTTTTGACCTCCATCGATCACGATAGCTTATGCAAAGATTGAACGACGGCACTACCACCAAAGGATCCAGATAAATTTATCGCGCACAAAACTGCCGAGTTCTATATTTCCGTTTGGCAATCGCAAAATCTAACATTGTCTCCTACGACTTTGAAGACGTGCCAAGCAATCACAACCGTATACACCATGGCGGCTTTCCTTCGCAGTTTCGTCGAGTCTCACCAAGTCGAAATCAAACGGGTCTCCTCTGGTGCCATGATCGGCTCGGCACTGGCCTTCGTAGGGGTTTCGCGACCTCCGTACGAAGGTGGATTGGTCTACTACGCGTACTGGCTTATCTCCTTCACTAATTGCTATTTTGTACTAATGCACCTTTAGCTCCATATCCATATATATTACCTTCATGGTAATATTCATGTGGATTCATTGGATCGAGCTTACTGAGTAAGCTTAACCATCTAGAGTCGTGGCCCTGACTGGTGCTAACTTTGTTTAGTAATGCTTTCTGTGTCATCCTGGCCATATTCGTCACTGGGAAACTTCTGTTCGTGCCATCACACATACGACATCACTTCGCTCCTTATGTGCCCTTCGTGGAGTCCCTGGCCATCCTCATGGCTGTTTGGTTGGCCCCAAGGTCCCCGTCATTCCTTGCATCAAGAGCCCTTTCGGACCAAGGTTCAATAAGATCCAATGGATACTTCCAGGAATGGGCAAATTCTGACGCACCGTGGAACCCGATTGAATTCTCCCATATGGACCAAGCATTTGACGAGGCGCGCGGACCCGGGGTCCCAAGCTCTAATGGGAGCATCAGCACTGATGAGTATGGGGCGGCGTATAGCGATGGCGTCAATTCAAGCCCTTGTTCATCAGAAAACACCACCGATCCGTTCTTTAGTTAGACATGCGCTTCGCAAGCCACAGCCCATCGCGGAGAATTGCGAACATATCCATGATTCCAGGGGCTAGGACCATCCATGCGTTTTTGATTTTTCTTGACACCTGACCGCATGTTTCTTGATGCAGGAGGTCCATACGTTATTGGCAATGCTGTTTCCTAGTTATATCCAAAACACGGACAAAATTCCAGGGATAAACCGGAGGAATACCAGCATCATGGCCATATTTTATTGAATAACAGCTTTAAAGAACCACAGAACAACTGCAGTGCCACGCAGATATGTATCTTGACCTTAGAGGGATCCAGACCCGCCAGAGGACAAGAACCAGATGAGACTTCATTAGCCGATAATCCATACCAGTGGAATATTTCTTTTCCGAGGCCATACGCAACGGGATGACTTCAGTAGCGATGTTCAAATGGCCACCCATTATGACACTAGCCATTCGGACCTCTTGTGAACCTTCCTGCGTTGTGGCAACAGCGCATCGAAGAGCTAAGAAAATTTCATCTCATCATAAATTTAGATTTTTCTGAATATACTTCTCTCGCTTGGTCTCTCTTCAGTTCAGGAAGCAAACAGTTGGCGCTGTGGCAAACAGTCGTTTCGTCATTGGTGCCTTGAACGTTAGCTTGTTCGGTCTAGAAGCCTTGTCCGGGATAGGACATCAAAATCCGTCAGATGGAGCCCAACTCTGTAAGTGCTTGCATGCCCCTCAGCGACAGTGAAGTGCGGGAATGCCGGAGAGTCGGACCCTACTCTCATGACTAGGTGCTAATACTACGAAGCTGGCTGGGAATCATACCACTCTGACCGGTTTCTCTATCAGCCTGACACCTAACAGCACCTATCAACGAGATCACCAAGCATACCAAATCTATCTCAACTGATGGCCGACACGATAGATCTTACACTATGACGAATGATATTGGCTATATTCTAGAAGCTCTAGGCTCCGTACAACGTCATTTTGGGGTTAATGATGGTGAGGACGGCCAGCGGCAGGAATGTTTGAATCTGATTGACCATGTACCATTAGCGAAGTCCAGAGGGACATGCCACGCAGGCGTACGGAGGCGGTTTTGATGATGTATTAGTTATCCATGTCATTGTATATTGGGGAGCAGATGGAGAGTTCGGGGATGATGTTCGGTTGTGATGGATGCGGTCGGTACATATGTTGACGACGTGCTTTTCGGACCTAAGGATGGCGGGTGGGTGGTCGAAGGAGATCGTAACTTCAATATAGAACATAACACATTGCAATGATATCGACGATTATCAACGATTGGCGTCGCCCCTCGGCTCCATTCTGATTGATATGTGACACGCTCTATGTTGTTGATGTTGATGGATGAAAGCTTCCAGAGACTAGTCACCAGTGGGTGACAAAACTCGCGAACCACCCGAATATTAGCTGATCCCAAAACAACAACACCACCCCTTTATAAGAACAACCAAAATGGCACCTTTAACACGATCGCAGGCTCGTCCTAGTACTCCTCCTAATATAACTCATTCTCTTGAAACTAATACTATCAAAAAAACGCGTTTTTTTAATATATACGACGCTCAATACCTCTGTAAGTTCCTTCTGTCGATTACTCGGCATTCCCAGACATCCCATACAACAGCTATTAGATAGTTACGGGAACGTCAGATACTTGGCTCTCCTGCCTATCGCCATAGCCGCCAAAGGTTACTTAAGCTCGGCCGGCCATCAAAAGTCACAAAAGACCAATGTCAAGCCTTTATTTCGCCTTCCCAAAACCCCGTCCGAGATCAGCTATACGAAGCCCAGATTCAATACTATAATCTTAACGTTCATAAACGTATATTACAACGACAGTTGTTATAGCATATAAGAAAGGCTCGGAGGTATAAACAGGTATATATCCGGAAGAAGATTTCTCAAAACAACTTCCGAGAACGGTCGCGATATAGTACTAAACACCAAGGCAAAGAGGTAGACGACTTTTGGTAATATATCTTCTTTACAGACAAGGTATATATTAATCTTTCTTCTATGTTCCAGGGGCATATATTACGGGAACAAGGAACCCGTTACAACTGTGATAATATCCATGAAAGAGGGGAGAAAACAGGAGTTAAACTCTATATTGGAGCCTAGGTTAATTGGCACTCAAAAGTAGATAAATTAGAGTTCTATAACGACGAAAAGGACTATATTCAAAATCTAGAGTTCCCGCGCAAGCTTAGGAGGACATTGTACGAGTCGACGGAGGATTTTTCTATTAGAACCTAGGAGTAGGAGGCAGCTCGCCCTCGTAATAAGGACGTGAAGACAAAGGGCAATGCTATAACTCAAATTTACTATATAGAGCGTCTTTTGCCTATATATATTAATGCGATTTATATAGCCCGGCAAAAAGAGCATTCTCTACTATGTAGTTGGTATTTGTAGGAAGATGGAGACCCCTCTCACGGGATCAAGAAAAGGGGGCTTGTAGCTAGGCTTAAAGAAGCTAATTGGGTTACAAACTTTACCTATCTACCCTAATCCCCTGACCTTAACTCTATAGAAGCTGTTTGTAATATTCTTAAGTAAAGGATCCGGCGGAGAGTGTGGAACTCAATAGAGGAGCTTAAGGAGGCTTTACAGGATGAATGGAGTAGGATTACAATGTAGGAGATTCGCGCGTGTATCGTAGATATGCCTAGGCGATGCGACTTACTAGTTAAAATAGGTGGAAAGGCTATTAAGAGCGCACAGTGGTAATACTTGTAGAAATAACTGTAATAATAGTAGATTTTGGTGTACCAGCTAATATTCGGGTGGTTCGCGAGTTTCGTCACCCACTGGTGAGTGTTGTTGTTGGCTTAGTAAGCTGGCGTGCCCCAACCACCGCTGGTGCCGATTGGCTACTTGGGACTCCCGGTTACTCGTGGTTGCCACCAAGTTCCAACCAAGTACAAACTTCGAGCCGAAACCCATTGCTTTCATTGTGGAAATAGACGGCCAGTTTATTCTGACGCGGTGTAGATTTAATTGTCTTGCTGGGGGATGCCGGTTCAACTGCCTCCGAAGCCGAAGTCGATGACGGTAGTCGTGCCAAAAGTACAGAGCCAGACTGAAGAAGCTCAGAAGCGCGCGGTTCCAGGAGCTCTATTCTAGAAGGTGTCGGTTGCGGTTTTTTCCGACAACCACAGCTAGCTGTTGAGAATAGTCGCCATGTCGGTCATCACGTGAGCGAACCGAGGTCGAGGCAGGCTGCGAAGTGTTCTCACCACCTCATGCCACTTCACGCAGTCCTCGGAAGCGCCGGGTTGAGTTGGTGCAGCTAAGGTTGATGTAGTTGCAGTCGCAGTTGAGGTTAAAGTCGAGCTGGGTTTAGTAGTAGTAGTAGGAAAGCCGGATTTCGCTTCCACGCAGAGCTGCCCGTAGCCGTCATTTGTCAGTTGGCTCCAGATACCAGTGTCGCATAAGGATCCAATCCATGGGTTAAAGCTGACCGGCTGTTGCTGGATATACCAAGGATATCGGGGATCATAGAGCAGTTAAAGTTGGCTGTAGAAAGTTAGTCTTGGATGTACCAAATCAATAAATGGTAAGGCTCGTGGGTACCTTTATCTTGAGCACGGAAATTAGTATAGCAGGTACAATCTAAGGGCTGGACTAAAGTCGCCGGTATCCGCGTAAGGTTTGCCGGTACGCAGTAGGCGAGTAGATAAGTAATATTTGCTAAAGGAAAGAAACAAAGTCAGTACGAGGTACTGAACATGGACTCATTAAAAGGGAGTTTCCGAGGGGTATTTCATATATTGCCAATACTTTTGTCTAGTCTACCACTTTTGGATATAATAACTATTCCCAAATTGCAGCACGTAATACCCCAATTGCAGACTCGGGTTCCACTCTATCAATTCTTGGAAAGTAACATCAGTATATTGCGCCCAGTCATCGTATGAATTTGCTACGGCCAGATCTGTTGATCTTAAAGTAGCATCAAAGGTATTCTCGTAGAGATAGTAGTTGATAGTAGTACCAGAAGTAGTCGGATTCAAAGTAGCCGTCGCCACGGGACTGGGAACAAAGACGGTCGCGGTTGCAGGGCAAGCAAAAGTTGTTACTAACGTGGAGGTTTTATATCCAGGGTAAGATGCGATACTGCCCACTGCTTTTACACAGTAAGAGGTGTCTGTATAGCTGGTCTGGTTAGCCTACTTAGACACAACAATGTCACAATATTTACCGGAAGACCTGATATAAAAGTTCAGAACCATTTCTGAGGACAATAGAATTTGCATTCTTGAGGACTCACTTATCTTTGAGACATGAAAGACTCGAGGTGTGCAGATAGCGATCAGCCAAAAATGTCGCTAGCAACAGAACAATTAGCTTCGATGCTTTATTTGGAGGGCGAACTTAACAGTCCGTCGACAACTTACGTGGATAAGCGACAGAGTTTAGAACCATCACGTCTAAAGACTTTGTGCATGCTCCCGAGATAGACGTCCGAAGTTTTTGCAGAGCAGCTATACAGGAGCTCTCGCAAGGAGTGCTAAGTTGCTCGCTAGGTAGAATCTTGACGCATGCACCTCTAAGAGCCATGTGTAAGTGATCCAGTCTGTGAGTTTGAATTTAGATAAACATACTCTATTCTAGCATATCGCGGCAGCCATGCTAGACAGGAAGAAATTGTGGTATTCGCGGCTACAAAACAGCCATTACTTAAGCCCAGCGTTTCGTAAGGGGATATATATCCATTAAACTGCTAGCCGTAGACTTGGCGAGTAAAGGCAATGACTACAATCTAGGAGAATGACTTGGAGAATGACTTGGAGAATGACTTGGCCATCTTTGGAAACTACTAAGAAATAAATATAAACGAGTAGCGGGTCTAAGAAGGGCTAGGAGAATCAATAGTGTTCAATTATGTTGAATCGACCCCAGATTTCGGTGTACATAGATATTAGCGGGAGCGCAAGATATTAAACGCGCCTAAGCCGAAACTCTCCATCCTTCCCGAAGGCAAAGTGTAAATCGCATGAAATATTGGCAGCGGCTATGGGAAATTGGAAATGCTACATGCTTGTCTGCAATTTTATTGTCGAATCTAGATGCGAGTAGAGTTCGAAGAAAAAGTTGTAGGGCTTTAGATGCTAAGGAGCCTGCAGGGAATAACTGCCAGGTACGATACGTGCAAGAAGGTCATAATTTTGGATCAATTGGCACGACGGCCGGGGTCTGTATATAAAGCATAAACTATGCCAGTGATGTTTATTAGGGCGCCACAATCATTTAGAAAACGTTTTGCAAATGTTCTATATAGATACGAGCACAGCTTAGTGTGAGCATCGCCTAGTCCGACCATCGCCTAGAACCCAACCTAGAAAACCACAGTAGCCGCTTTCTTCTATCCTAACCAAGAGTGACCTAAAAATTGAAATCTAGCTTCTAGAAATGGCTCCCCATCTTTCATCGGTCATTACAGACTGATCTAACCTTTTTCTGTCTCGAACTGCATAACTTCTATCCATATGGCCATATAATCGAAGGACGTGGGGGAAGCGGCGGCAGGCTTATACGCTGACGCTAGCGCAGTAACTTGGGTTATTCGGTTGTACACAGACCAATAGTTCCTGTGCTGTGTACGTTAAGTCGCTGTGACTACAAGTCGAAGCCTGGGATCCAGTATTATCGTAGCAGGTCCCGGAGTTATTATCCGTGTCCAACCAAGCTATTGAAACAGTCGTTAGCAATCACTTTCTGTCCCTGTATAGAAAGGACACATTTCTTACTCCATTGTGTACTACTGCTTTGCGTAAAAGTAAAGTTAAGCTTTGGCAGCCCGCAAAGATCCGCGGAAAAGTCATTTCCAAATGCATAGATGAGGTCAAAGTCGTTGCTATCCTTAAGTACCGAGAAAGGTGGGATCTGATCGGCAGCGGACTCGGTTTGTTCCTCGGCAGGATGAGGGAACGCTCCTCCCCACCAGGCCTTCTGGTTTTGGGCTATTGTGCCACATGAATCCTGGGCGGATGGGACAATCTCAAGTGTATCTTTGCAGGTGGCCGCGCTGCACCTAAGCGCGACGAGATGGAATCCTGTGGGGCCGGTTGGTGCAGTACTTGTTGTTGTTGTTGTTGGCGGTGGCGTTGGTGGTGGCGTTGTTAATAGTGGTGCAGAGGACAAAGGACTTCTAGATGTTGAGGTCGCTAAAGTAGATGCAACACTCGAGGTGCTAGACGCCGAACTTCCAGATAAACTTCCAGATGAACTTCCAGAGGTGGGAACAGCGAGGGACGACGAGACTGAATCCTCTGTTGGCCACAGAGCCAATGGGTATGTTGTTCCCGAAACGACTGTGCCAGCGGCGGCACGCTCACTGAGGTATACTGCGCTGATACTTGCTGATGCGCTCAAAGGACAAGCACCCACGGTTGTTGTTGAAGCCGTCGTTGTCACATCGCATCCCGTTGTTGTAACCTTGGACGTTTCACAGCTTGCCGAACCGAATGATGTCAATAGCGCCGTACTTGTGACTGAAGTGCAGGTAACGTATAAATCATATCCGGTGGTAGTGCTGGTACAGGAGCTCGACGACGATTTTGTATTTGTAGAGGCAGAATTGGTAGGCTGGCTAGTAGGCTCTGTTGATTCATAAGTAGGATCCCCAGCCGAATCCAACGTAATAGATGGCATGTTTGACGAGAATCCTGGAGGCGGTTCGACTCCAGGCGGGGGAGGAGGCAGGATGCCAGGACCTGTGATGCCGGGAATAACAAAGCCAATACCTCCAACACCTCCACTTGGAGGACAGAACCAACAATTAACAGCGGGAATAATTGGCCATCCATGTGAATCATGAGTTGCCGACGACACTCCAGATGTTGTAGTAGGTATCACCGTACTCCAATTTATGACAAGAGTTGGAGGCGATGTGATGCTAGAGGGTAGGAGAGTCAAGATTTGGGTACTTCCACTTGTAGTCACGGTCGTTATAATTGGTCCTGTTGAAATGGAAGAAGACCGCAAGGAAGATGAGGACGATCCGGATGACGCTGATTGAGATGTAGTTGCTGAGGCTAACGTGGTTGCTGGCTGAGATCCAGTTGATGATTGAGACCCTGTCGACAAGCCCGATGGCAAGGATTTCGACGATGAACCAAAGACAGTAGCTGTGTCATTTTTTGATGTGATTTGGCTCGATGAACTCGTGAGGGGGCTTTGGCTTGAGAAGCTTCCGCTTGAGGTGGAAAGGCTGCTGGCGGGCACCGTGCCCGATGGACTCGTACCGGAAGAGGTAGGAATTGTGCTCGAGATGGCAGAGCTCCGGATACTGGAAACGGCCGCACCTAAAGAGACGGGACGACTAGCAGTGCTCCGGAGGGAAGTGAGAGATGTTGTGTTTGGATGGATAGCAGAGCTCCGGATACTGGAAACGGCCGCACCTAAAGAGACGGGACGACTAGCAGTGCTCCGGAGGGAAGTGAGAGATGTTGTGTTTGGATGGATGGCAGAGCCCGTAGCTACTACACCCATGGCGCAAAGAAGCGATATGACCCACAAATGGGGCGTGCTGTGTAACATAACGAGAAATTGTCGGATGGGAAACGCCGAGGTAGAATTGGGCTTCGTAGGAGAAGTAACGATGTGGACTCAAGTCTTGATTTCAAGAGAATGGACGATGTTTGACGCGAATTGCTGGATCGCAGAGTTGTGTAGTGTTGGTTCGGAGGTGGATTGAAAAAATAATAATTCAATCTACGACGATCGTTCCGTCAAGGCAGTATAAAAGAATGAAATTCAATGAGTGTGTGAAAAAAGGGAGAAGAAGGAAAAAAAGGATTGGGTTTCTCGGGAGATGTAAAGATGTATAGGCGGGAATGAATCATGCTCTTGTAGTAGGGAAAAAAGATGATTGTAAATGATATAACCTAACCTTAACTACTCAGAAAGCACAAAGGATGAAGGATGAAACGGTGACTGCAGCCACTACCCACATATTATAAAATGCAAAAGAGTAGTCTTTGTCGAAGTAATTTAAATCTTCCGCTATGACTTTTGTCGTCCCCGGCCAAGAGCTCCTCCTGTAGGAACGGATTGTCATGTCAGCGGGAGGGCCATGGCGCTACCTTGTTAGGACCATTAAGTCAGCGAATAAGCCAAAGTAGTACCTATAAGTAGATAATAGTCAAAGTCAGGGTAACCCAAGTAATAGATTAGAACAATCAATTAATTACAAGCATACAGGCCAACTGGCCGGTGATATAGGCCTGGCTTACGGTAAGCCTAGTTCATTAACACTAATCTATGCACATATTTCTAATACTCCCCTATTAGTGATTAGGCTTGAATATTCATAATTCGGCTTCCAATTCGGTTAACTATACCCATATTTTAGAGTCAATTGCCGACTGTATTTGAGTCCTAGCCTAGGCCTTATTAACTCCCGTAATAGGCCCATTCAAGGTGCCTATAGTGCCTACGTCTCTTGAGTAAGAGTTTAGCCACCCGTACAAGCGTATTCTAGCTTGTAGAACGGTACAAGAGTGCCCCTAGCTTTACTAGCATCTGCCTGCCTGTATTCCAATGTGTGTATTCGTAACGGCAGTGCTTCCTCTACTGTAATTTGGGTAGGAGCAGCATTCCGGTCTTTCTCAGCCCGTGCGTCAGATCTACAGCTTACTTCGCTTGCGTTTTAGTTTACACATTTTAATTTAATTTCATCTTCATATTCAAGGATCAGCTCCCTACTCTTGCCCTTGCCACGGTATTTATGGTCTTATTTATTAACTAATTCTGTTTCAGATCCAAATTTAGCAGGTGGATTTAATTCAGGATTCTGATCCGCCGCCCTCGCCCTCTTATTTAAGCCGCTTGTCCTGCGTATCTTTACTTCACATCAATACACTCATACCGTTTTTTCAGTCCTTACCATTCTTTCGTTTCTCTCCATTCTTTCGCTCGCTCACTACATAACAATGTTTCCAAGTGCGAAGCTCTGGACGGCTTTGACTTTTATCGTCTCTGTCACAGCCTCCTCCTTGGATAAGCGCGGGTCGAGTGTCATTATTGGTTATAGAACCGTCAGTGCAGTACGTCGAGATTTCCAATATAGAGGTCGTGTTTCACGAGGGGAAATGCATGATTTCCGCTAGCGTGACCGCGCCCAGTCCTAAAATCGCCTGTCCGCTCATGAAATAGGAACTCAGCAGATAGTATTTTACTAACATCTATCTCGTAGGCACAAGCCCAAGGATACAAAAATGCTGGTAATACTCTGGCATGGTCTGAATCCCGAAGCTCTGATCAGCTAGGAGAGGGTGTTTATATAAGCCCTAGAATTGCGGATTGGCCCGGTGCTTCTACCAACTGGGACTGCGCTATTCTCGCCGACTCAAACGCCTGGAATCTAGTCAACAAGGCATGGGTGCCCGCATCCGACGGCTGTACGCCGCTATGGTGGAAAATAGGAGGTAAGTGAATTGACAGAGGAGCTGTACAAACTCTTCTGCAACCCCTCTATTCTTTGTCTGTCCTGTACTAACATCTTGTCTTCACAGATCCCAACAGGCCCGCATACCTGAAAGCACTAGGCGGCTCGTCGTTCACACCATCTAATACCGCGCTGCTGAGTCGGATTGATGGGTTTGAACTTCTGCAGCTATTAATTCCACCGCAATTGCTCGGTGCCAAAGGTGGGTTGAAAATCAGTGTTCAGTGCGCTGCGAAGACGGACACGGAAGGCATTGCAGCCATAAGTATATACGGTGATGTCGACTGGAGTAGCTGGCTCAACGTTAAAGGCACTGTGCAGATAATATAAAGAAAGATCCTTTGAGAAAATGAGAGACTTAGCCGTAAGAAGATTGAATTGAGGTCGGAGGATTATGTTAGCTCTCTGTTCCGATGTGTCTGCCAATTAGACTTTTACAGTTCGCTGGCTCATTATAGGATTGATCAAGATAAAGCAATATATAGAAGAGTTACTTATCATAATAAAACTTAGTGAAATCGCGAATTAGCAGACACTTTAGAGCAGAGTTCCTACAGAGTTCTATGTACAGGCCATAGAAATGATGAAAATGGCACGAGGGAACGCGACTTTTGCTGTGGAAGATGCATTCACTCATGTGGTGCTTAGTGCTTACTGTGCTGTGGTGTCATGTTGTCGATCTCAGCTTGTGAAGGATTAATAACGGATCAGCGATGGATCAATGAGAGATCAATAACGAGGGGATCAAAAGGGTGATCAATGTAAGGATCATGTAAGATGTAAAAATGGACAACAGCTAAGCCTCGTTACGGAAAGTGATGCGAGTCATCTAACGTTGCGGGTGGTGCAGGGGCGTATGGGTCCTCGCCTTTTCTACGCTAACCATATTCTGCGCGGCAGCAATTCCTCAGCAGCCAGGCCACGGCGCCTACACTCTAGTATGCGACACCAGTATGCAACAGTTCCTCCACTACAAAAGAAATATATCTTGACGCAAAACCCTTTTAACAACGATATCCTCGGCATGAACGAAGCACTTTGCTCTATTCTTTCCGGGGAGGATGAATGGTGCTTTGATACGGAAGGTAGGTCGATCAAATTCAACAAGGACGGTACTGGCGAGGTGTGTATGTCCCTTACCATGTCCCTGAGATGATTGCTGACTGCCTGAAAGTTATGGTGCCGTTGCAATTTTAACTATTGGATCGCTGCAGAGCTTGAGTGGAAGAGCATCGAGCCAGTTGACTGCGTTGAACCACCTGGCCAGATCGTCGAGATTGCGAGTGCCACCCAGAACAAAAGCCCTCATCTCCTTGGGCAGCTCGGCCTCGAAATAACTCTCGCCAAACGGCTGCCACGACGGGTACAAACCTCGGATTTGTCAAAAAGCACCATGATTAACGAGCTTGGTCTCACTGATGATGCCTTTCGACGCAAATCATATACTATCAGAATCGAGAAAGGCAACTTCACAGAACCTTGTTATATCGGGTCCTCGAGCTCGCATAGGCCAAGGTTCGCACTTCGTCTAGTATTTGATAAGTCGCCGTATCCTCCACGATCTGAGTGGAGGAAGCCGGATGGGGGTCCAGATGGAGGTCAATTTTGGGATCACAAAGAATTCGTCAGTCGAAATTCTCCGGAGCTGGAAAAGCAAGGAAGAGCTATGAACGACATTCCTCCAGCAGGCTGGAACACCTGCGCAGTCTCCTAGTTGTCTGGGTCTGTCTGACTATAGGGAGATTGTGCGTACTGGTCCTGGTATTTCGTCTACCACGGCTATCAGGTCGAGACACACAGTCAAGGGATACGTACCAAGGAGATGACTCCGATCTATACCTGAGCAATGGTCCGGGCAATGGTCGATTTCCCCGTGCCGGCTAAGCCATTAAGCCAGAATATGCACCGCCCATCTTCTCCATCGGCCCAGTCGCATACCTCTTGTAGCAGGTCAACTCGAGTTTTAGGAAGGCAACTGGGTTCATCTTGGCGGTTGACTGAGTTGAAAGGCGCTTCGATGGCATTCGGTAAAAAGTCGAGTAGATCTTTGTCAAGTCCTTATATTAATTAGCTCTAGTCTAGCTGACTATGACTAGGTAGCAATTTAAATAGTATGATTACCGAGCTCCTTCCGGAGCCGTCTAAATGCGTTCTTTTCCCCTTCGCTATAGATAAGCGGTATATAGACGTTACAGATACCTAATAACGAGTACGCCCTATCTTCTTCGCGTGTAGTCTGACGGGATTTCGCCTATAATAATCGGTCCTCGATGGTGAATTGAGACAGTGGCGTTCCTCGAAGCGCTGGTAGAGGGATTCCTGTTATCTCGTGGATTTGCTGCTCTAAACTTCTCTTATCTCCTAGGCGGTTTCTTTCCTGAGAGAAAAATTCAACCGAGCTTAGGCTCGGGGCCAGCAGCTCCTGGAGGGTCCAGCCTCGAGTAAACCATTTACTTACCCGAAATGCCGGTTCCCAAGTATACTTAGTGAACGAATCACTTGCTTTCCGCTTCTTTGTTGACACATCTGAGAGGTAGACATAGCATTTGGCCGCATTCTGATACCAGCGAAATATAGAGTTTATGGCTTCTGTAAGCCTAGCACTGCTCGATTTGTCGATACAGCATGTGTCAACCCAGAAGTACTACAAGCGATCGTGTCTAGCCTGATCTCCGCAGAGCCGGATCTTGTCAACCCCCGCCTTGCTTGTTCCATTCCCCTCTATTATGTCCTTGAAGGTGACCTCCTCCAGTCCCCATCTGTGTGAAAGTATCGCATGTCGGGAGATCTTGTCAAAGTAAGGTGCCGGTGAATAGTTTTTGCAGGGTCGATATGCATGTATTCGTTGCGGTAGGAGTACAGGACCAGCCGATCGTGGCCAGCCACAGAAGGTCATTGCGGCTGTCTGGACAATTTCAAAAGAGCCATGCATCGTTTTCTATCATTGAGACCAACCTTGTGATGAAGCAAAATGTACATTAGTATGTAGGTACCCTGCTGTACACAACGCAAAGGTGGGTGAGAATTAAGGTGGAATATGGCTATAGTATTTGGTTCGGCGGTATTGACAAAATTGCCAGCAAGCGGCGTGCATACCCCAGAAACCTGTACGCCAATACTGGAAAATCGCCATACTCCCACAGAAAGTCTCTGCAAAAGCTTCACAGCGTATGCCACCTCAGCAGCCAACTATGTCAAACCCCTAGACCCTCAAGCATCCAAAAAGCCTAACGGGTTGATAGATATTGCATTCCGCAGGATGACGGGGACCGAAAAAGAGCCCTGATTAGCAAAATGGGACTTATATACTCCTGCGCAACGCTGACAGTAATGGCCGCTGCAGGGGAGAACCCAGAGTACGGATTACCAGGTGTTGAGACAACGAAACGGAAATACACAACAACAATACAAGTTGGCTCGAAACGGTTTGCTATATCGCGCGATGTGCGGCGTGAGCTTGCAGCATCGAAGTGGAATCGGGGCTGGACGTACCAAGAAACCTTGCTCTCTCGCAGGCGGCTCGTGTTCACGGACAGCCAGTTCTATTTCCGGTGCCGCGCCATGCACTGCCCGGAGTCGCTTTCCTTCCCTCTTCAACCGATACACATCTCCACCAGTGAAAGATTCTCGGAGAAGCTCAGCCTCTGGAAAGCATTCCCCAGTAGGAGCGTGGGCAACGATCTGCTAAGCCCCATGAGTCGAATTGCGGAATTTATTCATCGCGACCTCAAGCTCGACGAGGATGCTTTGAATGCTTTCCGGGGTATCGTTGAGGAATTCGGGATGTCGAAAAGGCCAGTACGTTTCCTCAGTGGGGTCCATTTGGCTCCTAGGGAATATATAATCGGACCCGGGCTAGATAAGGCTGGTGACACTTCTCAGCTGGTGCTTGGCTTGACTTGTGGAGATACGGCGTATTTCAGTTTCGAGAGGAGAAGATTGACTCGCCGTACGGGTTTCCCGAGCTGGTCCTGGCTTGGTTGGAAAGTAGAGGTTGCTGAACCAGGGAAGACCAAGCCTGGTCCGGAAATAGGACTATTCGGCCTTACATCGACAAACAGTCCAATTTACAGCAGACGTCCTGGAAGTTTTGAGAATCACCTTAATGTTGGGGTCGAGTTACCTGACAGGACGGTGATTACCTGGGAAGGCAACGAGGCACTTATCCAAAGCAAATTCGACAAAGGGAAAATCCCAACACATCTACATGTCAAAGGCTGGACATTTGATCTCGCCATAAAACGGGGGACTTCTCAGGACGACTGGGAGGTGTCCTGGCCAGAACCTGCCGCACAACGAAAAGACTATAAGCCCCTTGAAAGATGCTGCGATGTCAACCTATCACATATCGGACTTCTGAAGTTTCCGCCAAGGTCACCTTGCTTATCCTCTGCAGCACCGCACATAAATTTCCTTACAAAGTGCGTCTGCTCATCAAATATTCAGAGGACATCAAGGCGTATGAGCGAATCGGCATCTGCGATCTTTCTAACCTTCTGCACTACAGTGGTGGGAGGATGGTGAGCTCAGAAGCAACGGTAGAGGAGAGGTCACCAACACACGCAACGCTTGGCCACTTGCAACTAGTAAAATCAGAAATCCGACTTGGCTGATAGAAAATAAGAGTGAGAGATATCTCGTAAGCAGGTCACGATGCCCCACGGTGCAGTACTACGAGTACTCTACGTAATACAAAGCCGTGAAGGATCAAGTCGACGGCGAGGTCCTGTACGCGCGAAGGGGGAATCCGGACGACATTGCTATTAAGAATTCAGATTTTACTTTATAATCTATAAATATTAAGATTTTAATGTTCTTAAACTTAATTTTGAAGTAGCGACCTTGGATACTTAACAGTGGCGTCCACCGAGCTTGGCCGCTTCGGGAGCCCGTAGACCGGATCCTGTGCCTTCCGGACAGATCAACAACCGAGAGTCGATCATGACTACGAGTAATCAGCCAATAGGAATGAAAGGCCAGTAGTGCACGCTGTTGGCCATGACATAGATACCACCTCCATTTTATGGACAGCAGCTCTACTTGCTGCTACAAAGTACTGTTCACCAAGTAAGACAAAACGCTGATTAATTTTCTCATCATTGGGATTACAGGGTACAGTGACTCAGAACCCTATCAGATATTTGAAACTACGAATCAGAATTGGAGGGGATTATTTATAATAAATGGGATTAAATTAAACTGTTTTAAGTACAAGCATCGCCTGCTTGAAAAATAAGAATGACTTGAATGAGAAGCGATCGCCACACAATTGTTCGAGTTGAAGTACCTGGGATTAGACTCGCACCACATACTTCAAAGAGTGAGCCGCAAAGGCTCTAAAAGAACTCTGGGGTTATTACTTGGTGATCTGTCATGATAGTAAACTACTGCGTCTTATCTGTACTGGGGGAATTGACGAACCTCAATTAGCGCTGGGCCAGCCGCTGTCGTGTCATCTGTGACAGTCTCGTTGCAACTTGTGAGCACAGAGTATGATTGACCGTAGAAGCCTTTGGGAATAGTAACGGAGAAGCCGCCAGAGACTGGAGTTGCCGCGACGAAAGTGGGCCCAGTGACTGAGATAAAAGCGGCATAGATCGTGGCGACACCGCTAGCAGGCTGGAGGGTGTAGCCGGGGGTCAAGAGGGTGACCACGCTGCCGGATTTTATAGGCATGGGGGTAGAGGGGTCGAGAGTCAGCGCAGGGAAGGCCTTGACAGGGAGCTTTGGATTGCTAGCCGGGCAAGAGGTGATAAATGCCGCGGCGATGGTATAAACTTCGTCGATGGTCAGAGGTGTGTCGAATGGCTGGGCAAAAGGAGACTCTTTTATGGATGAACGAAGGTACGACGAGTGACGGGCCTCGACAGTGAGAATGGAGCCGGCTGCAGTAAGGTAGTCCTTGCTCAGAATATCGGCAGCGGCGCCAAGGTAGGCACTGACACCAACGCCTTCTAAGACTGAAGCAGTGGCCACAAACATGTCAACGTCGGTGATGCCGAAAGCGTAGGTGCATTCCGCAACAGGTGTAGCACCAGCCGCTGTAGAACGGTTAGTTTCGAAAGTCCAAGAAGTCTGTCAAGAGCAGCCTACCTGTCAAGGCCGTTGTCAGGAAGTCGACATGAGCAGTCTCGTCACTAGAGACCCTCATTATGTTTGCATAGAAGGTTGCGTCGTAGCCAGCAGCTGCGAATTGCGCTTGTGTAAAATTGGCAAGGCCCTCACGGTAGAACTTGTCCTCAAGATGCTCGAGGGTAAGAGCATAGTTGAGAATATCGGCTAATACAGCATGTTAGGACTGTTCGTTGTAGTTCGTGGGAAGGTAATTGATGAAATACCATCAGTGATAGCGGGTGCCTGGCGCTCGGTGAGAGGTGCAGCAGTGACGATGCCGACGGCAGTAGACACAGCGATGATGGACTGTGAAAACTTCATGATGAAGGTAGAAGATTGACTGAAGATGAGAATGACAAGGGTTTTATGGGATAGTAATTAATATATTCGTGGGGAATGGTCGGAGTATTATAGATGAGTAGCCATAGTTTTAACGAGGCAAGAGCGACGAAGAAGGGGCCGGTAAAGGAGAGAGAGTGGAAAAGAAAACAGGGATTCCCCAATGGCATTCTCGGATAGTGGTGTATCCGTGCAATGTAGGACGTCATTATTTTTCTTTTTTGAATTCCATAGTCATTTTAGCTGCCTAAGGCGCTATATAGACACTACTATTTATAAGATTTAATTACAAATTATACTTTATCTACTTTCTTTTTACACTAGTATTACAACGTGAGTAAAATCCTTACTATTACTTTTTAAGTAAGTTAAATTTACTACTAGTACTTTTATTTATCTTCTTCTCCTAAGTATTAGTACTTTTATTAGAGTTAAGATTACTTATTTTATCTACTTTAGTTACTTATTTCCTAAGAAGATATTAGCTTTTATTCGAGAGTCTATTATTATATTAACTTATATTAATACTTAGTTCTATTATTATTAACTATTATGGTAAACTACTACTTCTCTAGCGATTTCCCGGTGTCCACACTACTTTGCCTAGATGCTTTATCGTGACTGCGTATGCCGAATTTCATGGGCAACTTATCTTTAGGAGTTCCGAGTCCCTATAGAATGTTACCTATAGAGAAGTAATACGGAATTATTTTACTTACAGTGTACCACCACAAGTGCCTCTTGCCCTTTACTTGCCTCTACTCTATCCCTCTCCAAATTCTGCAGCTCAAGTAGAAGTAGCGCACGTAAGGTGAAATTTGTATCATTTCCGACGGTACGGATATGCTGGAAAGAAATCTGAACTATATTTAAGGCTCTTCAGCTGATCCTCCGCGTTAGCTGGAATAGGTGTTGAGCAAGCTTCTGCGCATCTAGTTCATAGACTAGTTGTATAGAGATTTTAAGCTCCTCGACAAAATTTAAGTCCATTTGCCCATGTGTTACAAGCACAATGCTCTTGTTATTAGGGAGTATCTTTGCAATCTGTGGTTCTATATCGTCAAGACGACATGTTTCTCATTGTCTAACGAAAACTTTTTGAGAAGCTAGGTAGTAGTATTTAGAGTAGTTGCACTCTAATCCTTCAATCTTCATTCCACATTGGGTTGGTAGGCATGGCCGCTTCTACTCAGGTGCTATTCACCCTCCGCTCACCCTCCGCTCAGCCAGCTCACCTGTGCTATCTGAGCAACCTGAGCAGTACCCACTTAACTAATAAGGCTAGATTTTGGCTTAGGGTGCATTATGTTATTTTGTTAAGTTTTGACAATTATCCCTAAGAGCCCAAAAAGGCTCCCAAGGATCCCGAAAAGGGCGTTAAATTATTCCGAATACGTCGTTTTTACCGAGGGTTCTGCCACAATATGCAACATACCATTCAGTATATTAGCCTATGCAGCTCTATTTATTCTTATCTATATATACTTCCCTACCTCGTATAATAGTTCTATCCTACGAATATGACAAACTCGGGATTTTCGAAAACTTTAACAACACGTTGAGTTCTTAATCCTCCTCTACTAACTGGAGTTTTACTTGCACCAGTCCAATACAATTCTACCTCGTCGATAATGCTTCGAATACTTCTCTTTTTACTTCCACTCTGCTCTGCATCTTTGCGTCCAATGCCTACTGGACCCTACCAGTTAACTCTTAATGTCTCCCAACTCATCGATGCCTCTCGCAAAGACCCGTGGGGCAAAGACACAGTCAAGTATCGCCGGCTGATGATATCACGTTTCGACCCACTTCCTCCCAACACTTGTTATAGGAACGAAAAAGTGCCATACATGTCACCAACTATCTCAGCAGCTATGGACGGCATCCTTACTCCCTTCGACTTTCCAGCAGGCATCTTTGGGTCTCTCGATATGGTCGTCTGTTTCCAACCAGACTTTTACAAACCGAATAAAACTTGGCCAGTCGTCCTGTTTTCTCCAGGATTCAACGCTACTCGTCTTATGTACTCAATGCTAGCACAAGAAGTTGCAAGCCAAGGCTACACCGTTATTACAATCGACCACCCTTTCGATACAAACGTGGAATTTCCAGATGGGACCATTGCTTATGGCGGGAATGTGAACTTCTCGGATATCAACTCTGTATATCATGCTCTTGACATTAGAATGAACGACATCTCGTTTGTACTCAACACCTTGGGCATCCAATACAACGCACCACCAAACGCAAGCGCGTTAGGTTTTGGGGGCTCTTTTGGTGGAGCTGCTATTGCTGCAGGAATGCTCAACGACACACGAATTCGCGGCGGTGTGAATCTCGATGGAGAACTATTCGGTGGAGTCATTAACGCGGGACTGGGTCGACCTAGGATCAATCAATCATTTATCCTTTGGGGAGCTGACGGCCATAATAGCTCGAGCGAGCCTGAGTGGGGATCGTTTTATCAGAACCTTAAGAGAGAAGGGATGTTTGAAAGAGAATTTGGGTTGCTAAATGCGTCACATATTACGTTTTCGGACCTGCCACTAGTTGTTGATGTTACTGGGATTAGGACAACTTTGTCTGCGGAGAGTCAAGCAGTGGTTGGATTTCTCCCCGGCAAAAGGGTGCTACAGATTTTGAGCAAATACTTGAGTGATTATTTTAGGTTTGTTTTGCGGGGAAACGAGGGGGAGGGGCTGCTATATGGACCAAGTAAAGAATATCCCGAGGTCGTATTTCTGGGATAAAATATGAAAAGGCATTGCGTTCAGGCTCCGAAGCAATCTGAGTAACACAAAATTCAAATGCCTAGCATTAAAAACGATTTGACTTAAGGGCTTGAGGAGACATTGATAAGAAAGGGTATTTAAGAGCCCAAAGACTTTCTGACTTACAAACAAATGGTGCATTGCCACAATGAAATGATGTAGGGCAAACCAGGTAATATGAGAGGGATTAAGAATATAAGCTCTGCTCTAAATGTTTAAGTTAACGTAACTTGATAGAAGTCTAGCGTTTATAAAAACCGTGGAAAGCTATTAACCTCGCTACACACCGTCCCATTGATGGCTTAACGTATACCGTGGTAGAGGTCTGCCCGGGAAATAATGCGAGCTATTGCGGGAGCACACTTAGCCAATGCTTCAAGTGACGTGGGATTCCGGATCTGACAGGCAGCCCAGAGGTAAGACTGCCAGGCATATCGCCCATCGCATCTTGGAGGTTCATTAAGAGGGCGATTCGATCTGGACTAGGGAGGTTAAAACCTTCCATCGTCGGCTGGCTTGAGCGGGTTGATTCCATGTATATAAAAAAGATTAAAATACACCTCGACGAAACATAAAGATGTATTGAGAATTAAATATGGCTTCGCGGAATGAATGAGCAGGTTTTCGACAGCTCCTAGCAACCTGGTTCCTGGATTGGTTAAGAAGAATGCGCAGCCTGAATTTTGAATGTTGGATACAGAAAAAGAGGTTATACGAAAAGCAAGTTCTTAATTGGCAAATTGCTAAAAACCACCAACTTGGGGGCCGCAATGGAGGAAGCATGTTTACTCATCCGAATGTCTGTTTTAGAAAGCGCTCCCACTCTTGTAGCTTGCAGTTCCCCTCCTGCTGGAAGCCTAGAATCATGCACATAGAAAAATACGGACAAGTCTCGCTTCGCCGGGTATACTTTGCTTGCTTGGTACTGTACCTGATTATATATTGCCTCCCGGGTATTGCATACATGTTCGTGCCAATTGCATTCCCATGCGTTTTGCGTTCGGGGCATGCTCTGGGTTTTCGTGCGTCTTGCATTTGTGTGTGTTACTAGAATAGTCCAAGTCGAATATGTATAGACTAATGGCACCCGCTACTATAATTTTGTTAGATATCATCATATCACCAACACGCCTTCAAGACAGCAACTGAGGATTTGGTCTCCGGGAGCTCTTCCGTGATACCATGTACCCCGCTTAGCAAGCAATCACAAACGGTGGTATTAAAAGTGAAGCCAAGAGTGAACGGTAATTGCGCTAACCGTCGGGGAGAATACAGGCGTTTTTCTTATTTGATTACACGCCTACCTCGTAGGCATTCCGTACACCACCTTCAACTGCGCCTGGACTCCGCAGCTCTTAGCCAGGGCAGAGGATCAATTAAGCTTAAGCTTATCGGAGTAGCTGTTAGATGCGGATATGATGACGACAAAGCGGTAAACTACTAGACAAAGTAGCCTAGGAGTTAGGACGCTTCACGATGCACGGACAACTGCAACGTACCATCTTTCACCCATCTATTCCCCCACCTATTACCTATTATTACAAGCTCGTATCCAAGAGACAGGGGCAAAATGGGCAAATGGGCAGATACTAAGATACTAATATACCCCGCATCACGTGAACCCTGCCAAATCAACGCGAGTGTGGAGATGGATCGGGACAATTTCGGGCCTACTGGGCGCCCTTCGATCCCCCCGGACGGCAAGTAAACAACTTTAAAAGCGCCACGATGAGCGTTTGCTTCCGGGCTTCCTATTTCGCTATTTCTCTGTTTACTTCTCCACAATTCGTTCATGTGCCACGCCGGTTCTTCTTCTGTACGGAGCACTCCGTAGTAGGCGATATGTATAGTACGAAGTACAGACAGTACATAGTACAGTACAGTACCTAGGTACAATAGCTTGGCCTGTTCCACTTTCTTAGTCGCCCTTTATAAGCCTCCGACGATCGAAATTTCGCTTCATTTTACCGCCATTCTGCCATTGCCAAGAGTATATCTGGAGCCTCGAAGGGCCGGAGAGGGAGCCATTTGGACCCGAGCGAGAGAGTACCTATGTACCGAATACAGTACTTCGTACTATGTACACAACAGCCTGTCGCTGGATTATTCACGGCGCGGATGGCTTCCCGGCGCCGTTTGGTGATCCACCGGTGACACGGCGCGAGGTAACTCCTAGGCATGCATGCAGATATTAGAGTACTATACTCGTACAGTACTTGGATTATGCAGAGCAGCACAGGGTGAGGGGCGGCCAGAGCCCGGCGACAAGATCCGAAGCATCGCAGATGGAGATGGAGGTGGAGATGGAAATGGAGATGGAGGCGGGGATGGACGAGGAGTCGGAGACTTGGAGCTTTGAAGTCTTGACAGACTAGATGAACGACGCTATATCAACTCTCTCCGCGTTCCCAAGAGACAAGAGCCTCTCGGTCCGAATGCCCACGATGCTGGCACTTGTTGGCGTTGCTGACTTCGTGGGCGTTTGCTGTTTGGTCTGGTTTGGCGCGTGAAAGGGACGGCGGAGGGAATGCGTCCACATCGACATACTCGGCCATTTACCGAACCCCTGCGCTCGTCTGCGGCTCCAGCCTGTCCCCGACCCCTGAGCTTGGCTCCTTAGCTTCTTAGCTGTCTTATTATTGTGAGTCTGGGGCTGCTGGAACCCCTGAACCCCTGGATATCGGGAGACACTCTCGACTAGGGAGCTCTGGTGAGTGACATCAGAGAAACCGCCCGTTGGGGATTTCATCCGAAATGCTGGGGGAACGGTTCACGAGCTTAGCATCCCGTATTGCCGGGGCCAAGATAGTCGGATGATGCTCCAGGATGCTGCGTGGTTGCGTGGTTGCGTGGAGGGGCGAACGCACGATGCTGGGCCCGCGGCTCGATACTGGTACAGCCATGACAGCCGTTGGGAGGGGACCAAGTCGCATGGTAATCAAAATTGCGATCTTTCACGGTGCGGACTATATAGTCCCGAGCTCGGCTCCCAGGGATTTCTCTTTTTTTTCTTTTCCTGTCACCCCTCTGTCCCGTTGCTCGATCCCTCCTACTTCTTCGCCGTCAATTGAGACGTCTGTTGAATTGTATTGACAATGCTTTGGGCGGCTTCCCTTGGTTCAGCTGTGGCATTGGCAGCCCTTGCCAGTGCCCAGCATGATGGCGACCACTCCCCTCCAAGCTACCCTTCGCCGTGGATGCGAGGTGGAAATGGCTGGCAAGATGCCTATATCAAAGCAAAGGACTTTGTGAGCCAGCTTACCTTGTTGGAGAAGGTCAATCTGACAACTGGCGTTGGAGTAAGTACTACGTATCCGTACTGAAGATCTAGTCCTAATTATTTTGCAGTGGGAAGGAGAAGCTTGTGTCGGCAACACTGGATCCATCCCTCGTCTGAATTTCCGAGGTCTCTGCCTTCAAGACGGTCCTCTTGGGATCCGCTTTGGTAAGTTACCCTGACCCGATAAATGGTTCTTGGTTCTGAGCAAGCACCTAGCGGACCAAAACTCTGCGTTTCCGGCAGGCGTCAATGCAGCTGCGACATGGACTACCCGCCTATTCAAGACTCGCGGGAATGCAATGGGATCGGAACATCGTGGCAAGGGTATTGATGCACAACTTGGACCCGTCGCGGGTGGTCTTGGTCGAGTCCCTGCAGGCGGACGGAACTGGGAAGGTAAATCGAGCCTCCCATAATATGCCTGAAAGTAACTAACATCCCATTACAAGGCTTCAGCCCTGACCCGGTTTTAACGGGAGTAGCCATGGCAGAAACGATCAAAGGCATTCAAGATGCTAATGTTATTGCCACTGCAAAGCATTTCATCATGAATGAGCAAGAGTTCAATCGCGAGGCTTTAAGCGATGGAACACCTGCTTACTCGGCCAATATCGACGATAAGACCATGCATGAGCTCTACTTATGGTAGGCAGAATATTCGTCGGCTTGTGGCGCATACCGTAGCTAATAGCATCTCTCTAGGCCTTTTGCAGATGCTGTTCGTGCTGGTGTCGGTTCCATCATGTGGTAAGTGTTATCTTGAGCTCAAAACTTGATATTGTGGTGCTAATATGTCCTTTGAAGCTCCTACAACCGCATTAACAACAGCTATGGTTCAGAGAATAGCTACACCCTTAACCACTTACTCAAGAATGAATTGGACTTCCAAGGATTCGGTATGGGTCCCTCCTATCATGTAGAGCCAACACTAAGTGATGTTTAGTTATGAGTGATTGGTGGGCTCAACATTCCGGTGTCGCGTCGGCTTTTGCTGGCCTCGACATGTCAATGGCTGGAGACCAAAATTTGGGCTCGGGCAACACACATTGGGGATTCCATCTTACGGAGGCCGTCCTCAATGGCACGATCCCGCAGTGGAGACTTGACGATATGGTTGTGCGGATTATGGCAGTAGGTCTCTCCCCGAGCTGCAAGGTCTTGGCGAATTTGACATGACCTTGTCCCGGAATATGGTCTCAAATAGGGTCATGTTTTGGTCAAACATTAAACTAACATAAAACCAGGCATACTACAAAGTAGGTAGAGATACCGCTAGAGTTGATGTTAATTTCAATTCTTGGACCAAAGAGACGTTCGGTTACCGTCATGCAGGAGCCAAGGAAGGTTACGAACAAGTCAACTTCCACGTCAACGTCCAAGGTGACCATGCCCGTCTCATCCGAGAAATTGGCGGGGCTTCTACAGTCCTGCTGAAGAACACCAACAACGCCCTCCCTCTCAAAAAGCCAAGCAGCATTGCTGTGATCGGTGAGGACGCTCATGACAGTCCCGACGGCCCCAATGGATGCGATGACCGAGGATGCGACAAGGGAACGCTTGCAATGGGATGGGGCAGTGGAACAGCAAACTTCCCATACTTGATCGCCCCCGTCACCGCACTTAAGGCGCAAGCCGCAAGGGACAAGACAAAATTCACAAACGTTAGCGACAACTATGATCTTTCCGCTGTTACGGCCGCTGTTACTGGTGCGGAGGCAGCAATCGTCTTCGGCAACGCAGATTCAGGGGAAGCTTATATCACCGTCGATGGTAACCAGGGAGACCGCAAAAATTTGACACTTTGGGGTGATGCTGATGCACTTATTGCACACGTTGCATCAATCAACCCGAATACTATCGTTGTTCTTCACACCGTCGGACCAGTTATCGTTGAGGCTCTCAAGAACAACCCCAACGTAACTGCAATTCTCTGGGCCGGTCTGCCAGGCCAAGAATCCGGCAACGCCATTACCGATATTCTATATGGCGCCCGCAACCCATCCGCAAAATCGGTCTTCACCTGGGGCAAGAAGCGCGAGGATTGGGGCGTAGACGTAGTTTACAAGAAAACCTCCGACAACCCCCAATTGAACTTCAATGAAGGCGTCTTCATCGACTACCGCCACTTCGACGCTAATGAAATTGAGCCCTCGTATGAGTTCGGCTTCGGTCTCTCATACACCAACTACAGCTACTCCAACCTCCAGATCGAAAAGAAAAGCCCAGGGCCATACGAGCCAACTCTGGGCAAGACGGAACCTGCGCCCACATTCGGCACCATTGATATGGACCCGGCAAATGCCCAATTCCCACCGGGATTCCATATTGTTAATAAATACATCTATCCCTTCCTCAATGGAACAGCCATCCCCACTGGTCTCCCCCAGACCTTCCCCAAGGGAGCAAACGACAGCTCATCCCAGCCCAAGCTAGGAGCTGGTGGATCGGGTGGCGGAAATCGCCAACTGTATGATGTAATGTATACAGTCACTGCAACTGTCACTAACACTGGCGCTGTCAAAGGAACCGAGATTCCTCAACTCGTAAGCTCCCCTTCCCATCTTAACAACCTATCTCGCAACAAGCGCTAACCCAAGCATTAGTACATCTCCCTCGGCGCCCCCACTGATCCTAAAGTCGTCCTCCGAGGCTTCGACGACCTCATCCTCGACCCTAAGGAGTCCCGAACCTTCAAATACGATATCACCCGCAGAGATATCAGTAACTGGGATACCGCCAGCCAGAACTGGGTTATCAGCGAGTTCCCCAAGACCGTGTATGTCGGTGCTAGCTCGAGGAATCTACCTTTGAGCGGGAAGCTGAGTTAGTGGTGGATGACGGATATGGAGTGAAAATAGCCTGAAAGAGGAACCTCTGCATATAATTTATGTGATGAGATGAAACGAATATAAAATAAAAATAATGCTTTTGTTAAGCGGATGCGCTATATAAAATGATGTGTGACAAACCCTCGAAGTAACATTTTCTTTAATTGTAACGACAGTGCTCCGATTAAATCAAGTAAACGTCCAATTCAACGAAGCATAGAAATTCTCCATCCCATCTCCACCTCCGATCCAGACGAACTTCGGGCACGTGACCAGCACCCCCTTTCTCCGTCCTATAGGTCTCGAGTATCCCTTTATCTTTTGGGCCCAGCCTACAGATCCAGTGCTACAATCGATATGCTACCCAGTGGCGCGCATTCGATTCATGGCTTGCTTCTCTGATATCCCCATATTGTTCAAGATAATAAAACGAGAGTCGATGCCAATGCGGCTACATTCATGTCGTAGTGTGTTAGGAAATAGAATAGTTGAACTTCGCCGGCTTCCATTTTTGCTCCTCATATATAAGCCCTCCTATATATCCCTTGCAACGAGGCTGACTAGAGTTTGCGAATTTTAGTAAGGTTTCTGTTTTCGGTCCTGGCAGAGAAATTGTAGGGAATGGTAAACCGTACCGCATTGTATTAATACCGCCGCTTCTCCTGCTCCATCTTATTTACTGTCAATATCTGTAGTAGCACCTCGGTCCTCTTCTTCATCGCTTGAGTGCCTTGCTTTCCAATTCCGAAGACAAACCAACATATCTGGCTGCTCATCGCTCTCTTGCATTGCTACCCAATCCTCGAGAAAGGAGAGCATACACCTCCATTCAGATTTCACTTGGGGCCCATGTTCGTCATTTTCTAGCCGTTCCAACAAATCCTGACATATCGATTTCGAAATGCCGCTGTCCAAAGAGTGCGCGCCAACCTCTAGAAAGACTTCTACTCCACCCATCCAGCCACTAGAGCAGGCAGCTCCAAGGGCGGAGCCGTGTGTTGGACTGTGAAGGTTAACATCTGCGCCACCCCGAAGTAATAGGGGAATCATATCGATGTTGCGGCTCGGACAGTGGCACATTGCTAGCAATGCATTCCCATATCTTCCACCTTGGATATTAGGGTCTGCCCCTTTATCAAGCAAGAGGCTAGCTACATCTATTGAGCCACAATCACAGGCGACTTGTAATGGAGTCCCAAAACTTCCACCTTGGATATTAGGATCTGCCCCATTTTCAAGCAAGAGCCTAGCCACATCTATTGCGTCATAAGTACAGGCAACTTGCA